CACCGAGGACCTCGCGTTGTTGATTCGGACTAACACTCATCATGTATTGCCGCAGTGGGTGCGCGACCTCCTGAACGACCCGAAGAAGGCCAAAGTCACTATTGGCTTTGATGTTTCTGATCACGCGAAACTGCAATTCACGTTTGATTTGGAGTGCAATAACGTCATCGACTTGTACGAAATTAGTAAGAAAAACCGCAGTGTTCCGCGTGGTGGTTTGAAGCGCATTGCGCATCATTTTGGCTACTTCCTGCGCAAGGACAAGAAGATCTCGATGAGCGATTGGTCCGCTACGGAGCCTCTCAGTGACATCCAAGTGGGTCTAGGAAAACCTATACTACGGCATCAGTTTTCATGGTCAGATTCATTACGCGGCTGATGACGCCTTCTTTCCACTTCTGCTTGTGGCCGAACTGGGCGGCCTATTGAACTCAGGCGTGAGGATGGAGAGTCTCAAGGAAAACGTGAAGGTTGTTGATAATAAGGACAAGTAAAGTGGTGGCCACTCGGTTGGGTCTTGACTAGGGTACTTAGGTACGATGCTATGGTTAAGAAGAGGGCGACAGTGGTAGACACTCTGAAGACGGACAGAAGTCAGCAGAGCATAGACGGTTGGGCTGCAGCTAGTCGCGTTGAGCCTGGCATCGATCGGGACTTCCTATTGTGCAATAGAGATGTAGCAAATGAAGGGTATGTAGGTGAATTCCGTGAGTGTACTTATAATTACCCAGGGCCTTATTATTATTACTATTATTATTCATACCAGCAATCGCCGAACTCGTGTAGTGGTTATAACTTTGTACAGCAAGGTGAGGAGCAGTTCTACTATGGCGCTCCTGGAGGCTCCATGAGCTTTCCGTATCCAAATGAAGAATTATACAATTATTATTATACCACTCCCGCCTCAACTCCCCTCGGAAATGTCACGACGCCGTCGGTCAGCTACGACAACCTCCACTAAAAGCATCGATGTGTTGTCGTCCTTGAGGCTACAGAGAGTTTGTCTCTTTCCTGTACCAAAGTTGGCGACGCTCTCGGGTTTTGCGTTCTCCCGTTACAAAGGGAGTCGGGAAATGACTAGAACCAAAGAATATAGAACACTGTCTTTCGGAACGAGTATCGGTCATTGTATGCGAGACGATTTGAAAGAAAGTTGGTATCAGAATACACGAATACCCACGTTTAGGTATTTGAGTGGCGACGAAAGGATAAAGTCCTTCAAATTCGACTTCGTGCTGGTGGGCTGGGCCTCGAGGAGAGCTCTTCTGAATCGGAGGAGGATGACGCTGAAGGCGACTTTGGCGTTCTGAAAAAGCGCCTCGCGCGAAAGTTAGTCGCCGAATGGGTTCCCGAAAACGTGCTAAGTAAGTGAGGATTTGAGATTGCCAATATGCGATTTGTTTCAGCGGCCAGCTCTAGCAAACGTGAGAGGTTTCGTCAAGAAGCATTGTCCCATCCGGAAGAAATCGAGGCGTGTTTCGATGGCGATTTTTCGCGCTACATGTTCCGTCTGAGGCACCACCCATTGGCGGCTGACAGGAAGGCGGTAGTGGATAAAGTGGCCAAGTTCATGGAGATGACGCCTGATGAAGTGGAGGCTCGCATAGAGGAGGACGAGAAGCTGCAGGCGTGCATGGAGAGGCTGGAGACTGCTATGGTCAATACGGCTTCGGAAAGTAGTATCTTTGTGGGCCTATTCTGTATCTTTTATGCTTGAACCTTGGATAGGGAGTGTGGTGATGGGCTTGGTGGCTCGCTTCACAGTGCTCGCGGATAGTGAATGTAAAGATAAAGAGTATAAGCGTCTGTTAACGCAGTGGATCAAGGCTCTGTGTGATGGTAAGAAAAGGTTGGAAGCACATGGTCAACTACATGTGTTGGTTGTGAGGAAATATTGGGAAATTCTTATTGGTTTCTGGACATTTTGGATTCGTAAGCTTCTATTATTAGTGAGGAAACCAAACTGGGTTGAAATGTCTGGTGTGCATGTTCAGAGCGCAAGGATGCCCCTAGTATACGGGAGGAGATGAAGAAGAGGCTCGCTGAGGTGCGAGGGGACGATGGAAAGCCGCCCGTAAAACGTCAACGTACTGATTAGTTTACTTCCCAATCACTGAACGTTTCTACCAGCTTGTCGCTGAGTGATTCTCGTTGAACAATGCAAGGGGCGGTAGAGTCGGTAGGGAATATCGAGAATTTCAGATTTTTTTCATGACAATACGAAGTGGCTGCAGCCGAAGCGAGATCCGAGTTGGTTGCACAGTTAGTAGTCTTGGGAGGTGCGGGGTGGTATGAGGCGATCTCAGGTCAAGCTCGAGAAAGTACGCAGCAGATCGTCTCGACGGTGCTCCTGTGATGAGCATAACTACGCCCAAGACGAGTGAAGGCAGGAATAGCCCCCACTGTAGTGTCTGGTTCGTAGAGACTCTTTTGAGTGGGAATGTGGTCACCTCAACCTCTGCCGTCTAAGATGGAGGGCCCAGGGATCGAACATGCGTCTAGCGCAAGAGAGTCCTCGACTGTATCTCATTTGACTACTGAGAAACGATTCGATGAGCGAGCAAGGAGCCCTCCATCACTACCAGAGAAGAAGGTTGTTTCACCGCCGCCTCTGCCATGTAAGAGCAGTCCCGAGTCCAAGGACACCGTAGCGGCAGCGGCAATTTCAGTCTGCTGAAGTATTCAACCGCTACCTAACGGTACTTTCCATGATGCGTCTTTAGCCCTCCGCGAACGCATCTGTTGATGATGGGACATTCGCTGATCTTCTGAAATGATGATTTTTATCACCCATCTTATTCGAGTGTCCAGCATTGCTACTTGTGGTAGTTCAAAGCCGTTTCATACGACCATGTGTGGGGCCTGGGTTCGGTGGGCTTTGGGACCACTTCGGCATAGGTAGAGTCACAGAGGTCCAATGACCGTCAAGCCGAGCGGTGGCTTCACTCCTCTGATGGAGCTCCCCGAGGTGGCATATTCCTCCAGCAGTCTGCCGACGAGCCCGGGGGCGCACAACGCGATCGTGCTCATCGTGGGCGTCCTCATGATAACGTGGACGGTCCTTATCGGCCTTCGCCTCGTGAAGACGGTGAGCATTCTGAGGCACTTGCAGCCTGGGAGTAAGTGGAGATTTTTCTATCGCCGTGTTGTCGTGATAATGTTTTCTCTATTTTTTCAGTATCCGGTAGCAGTGAGGATTGGAACTTCTCGGATGCATCTAGTGAGGACTCGAACACAACAGCGGAAAGCGGGCATCACCATCATGCTAAGGAGACACACGTTCTGACGGTCCCTCGTATGTCGGTCTACGCCGATGATTTCGATGCCATCACTCGGAAGCATGTTGCTCAAATTCTGCAAGCTTCTAGAGAACTGAGGAAACCGCCTGTGCCAATACCATCCCTCAGCCTCTCCACCACGTTAACCTCAGTCGTTTACATTGGAGGAAAGCTCACAGTGAAGACTTCATCCCCCTGCAAGGTCCACATTGCCACGGGTGTCAGTGCCAGCACCCTCGACGCACTCCTCAGCCCTGCATCGCTTGCGGGTAGCAGCGGCCCCATGGGAGCCGCGGAACGGCGGGCTGCGAAACGGCATTGGTGGTTGAGCATAATGAAGGAGGCCTTAAAACCTACCCCTTTGCCGACAGATGAGGCTAGGCAGATGCGCTGGTCTCGTATCGTGCCGGAAGCTGGCGTGATGCCCCCCATGGTGGAGCCTCTGGCGCCGGCCTCGAGAGCCCAAAGTGAGGACGATTGTCGCCTTGAGCTAAGTGCCAGTATTGGAGGCTTGCAGCAGCACGATGGACTCAGCTTCCCAAATTCGAGACCGGACTTATTGAATAGACTACTTGCTCTCTGCACTGCTACCATCGACTCTGGTAGCTCGATGGATATTGTTATACCGCCGTTGGCTGGGGAGGTCTTCCCCCTCATGCTGTTGCTCTCTGAACCCACTCACGCCGGCTGGGTGCTCGCCCTCTGTGCGAACCAGACAGTTCTGGGCGAATTGGTCGTGACGGATGATGGAGCACTCAAGTGCCTTACCTTGTTCGGGCTCCGCCCTGAGGACGACAAGACGTGCATGATTTGCTATGACAACGTTCGTTCAGTAGCCCTTCTGCCGTGTGGTCATTGTTGCTTGTGTTACCGTTGTGCCCGGCATCTCAGGGACCAGAAATGTCCAATGTGCCGGACCGTTTTTGATGCCTATGTGACCATTCCTGTGCGCTTCCAACGAAGCAGTAGTAGTCTTTGAGGCTCGACGGAGAGCGCTCATGTACTATCACCATTATTTGTATTGGAAGATCTCTTGCGTTGTAGCTCTCAAATCACAGCGAGTGATACTTTTCTCGGTATATCCGATGCTGGTGCAGGTTGTTTACTCGGCCTAAATGGCTACGTGTGGGATCTGGGCTGTCTCCTGGGTCATTTCGCGACTCTTGCGTGAGCCCGAGTCCGACGTGCCGACGGCCACGGACGACGGGCTATCCCTGCCTCAACTCGAACCAGTCCGACCGTTGATTCCTCCGGTTCGGGATGGAACGAAGAGCTTGTGAGCCTCGATCGATCCATCATTTGTGGTACTATGATTTGCCGTTCATAGACCTCTGCCCGTATTGCTCGATACGAGTAGCTCTATAACAGCCGATCTGGGCGATGAGGCCCTCCGATTAGCTGTCGAAAGTGGTGCTGCGGAACTGGTATGTTCAGATATAGTGTGACGACCGAGATCACAAATTTTACACTCTTGCGGTATTAGTCTCTGATAAGACCGAGTCGATAATCTGTTCCCCAACTTCAGTGTTGGAATATATGTTTGGTATCCTCAGCTGAGTTCGGAAATTCTACTTCAATCTTTCAAAGTAGAACTGTACAAGTAGCATCAACATCGCCTCGATATTTCCTCGGAATTTCCCAATATACGTAGTGAATCATCTGAACATTCTCTCACACTGCTCAACTTCGAGGACAATGAACACGATGCGATATCTCATGCAGGTTTCGGAAGTACTGACGCGCCCTGGCACCGACATCGACCGGTTTTTTGATCGTTTTTCATATCGTCATACAGCGCTCTTCATAGCCACTAAGCTCAATAGGATAGAGCTGATGCGTCTTCTTCTCGATGCTGGCGCCGACCCCAATCTAATTTGCACTAGTAGTGCTTCACTCCTACTGGCGATGTGACATATTTAATGCTCGAAAGGTACGCAAATCTATGAAAGAGATACCCTCGACTTCCACGAAACCGCACTTTATCACGCCGTGCGAACAGGCAAGTTAGAGGCGGCTAGGATCTTACTCGCGTATCCCACCACGGATGTGAATGTGATATGTCGGTGAGTGAGGACCGGTGAACTTTGCTAGTCTCGGTGACGATGTTCGATGCTATCAGGCACGAATACATGCGTGGGGAAGAGGAATGGGGCGAGGTAAAAATATTCACTTTGTGTTCGGATTATGGATCTTTTCTCCTGGATTTTTGTCGAAGTTCCTGGTGTGTTCCTAGGATATCGAGTCCATGACTTTCCGGGCGTTGGACGTGGTGCCGATCGGGCCAGGTGGTGAGGGCATTGCGGCGGAGCTTCGCAGTAGAGGCGCCGTCACGACCGCGGATGCAGCCTGATTTTTTCTCGGTAGAGTTTCTTCTTCAGCGTATCAGCGTGGTGGGCGTACTTTTCTTCATTCCTCATTTCGACGTAGGTAGTATTGTGTGTCATGCAGTGGCTCGAGTATGTCAACTCAATGGTGACCTGGGAGGTCACGTTCGGTTCAGCATCCCATATGTATACTCAGTGCGTATAGGAAAGCCCGTAAACAGCTACCAAGAGGTCTTTTGACATATTAAAAGGCTATCCCATTTCACCATCATCCTTCCCTTAGCAGGCGTCGTGGGCTTTCGGCAAGACAATATCCGTAGAGGTTGATCTGTCTTCCCGCATCCGATGTAGTTTCCTTTCGTTCTATCTTCCCTCGCAATTTCGTAGCTGGTTAGGATGTGGAAGGTCACGTCTGATATTGATGATAGGAGATGATATATGTTATCGATCATCATTGAGGTATCATTCGACGAGATAGGCCATACATTTGCCACGATTCTTCCTCACGACACAGGAAGCATCGATGCTATTTCTACAATCGGACTTGGTTCTGGTTGTTTCCGCGTATAATTGGCTCGGCCAGCCTTCGTAGACTTCTTCTTTGATCCTATCAGCTCCGATAAGTCCGTCTTGACCTCGTAGAGTCATCTGGTCGAACAGCGTCCAAGAGCGAGAGATAGAGAGAGGACGACGGAAACATTCAGTTTGATGACCAGCATTCGTTCTCATCGGGGCTACTCGGGGCGTGCCCGCGGAGCCGATTCTATTGAGGAATTATACCTTGCGGTGACATAGTTCCTCTGCCTGGAGAAATCGTCTCTATTGAGGCACATCTTGGGATGGCATAGTTGCCCCGCCTGGATAAATCGTCTCTATTGAGGCACATCTTGGGATGGCATAGTTGCCCCGCCTGGATAATTCGTCTCTATTGAGGCACATCTCGGGATGGCATAGTTCCTCTGCCTGGAGAAATCGTCTCTATTGAGGCACATCTTGGGATGGCATAGTTGCCCCGCCTGGAGAAATCGTCTCTATTGAGGCACATCTTGGGATGGCATAGTTGCCCCGCCTGGATAATTCGTCTCTATTGAGGCACATCTCGGGATGGCATAGTTCCTCTGCCTGGATAATTCGTCTCTATTGAGGCACATCTTGGGATGGCATAGTTCCTCTGCCTGGAGAAATCGTCTCTATTGAGGCACATCTTGGGATGGCATAGTTGCCCCGCCTGGAGAAATCGTCTCTATTGAGGCACATCTTGGGATGGCATAGTTGCCCCGCCTGGAGAAATCGTCTCTATTGAGGCACATCTTGGGATGGCATAGTTCCTCTGCCTGGAGAAATCGTCTCTATTGAGGCACATCTTGGGATGGCATAGTTCCTCTGCCTGGAGAAATCGTCTCTATTGAGGCACATCTTGGGATGGCATAGTTGCCCCGCCTGGAGAAATCGTCTCTATTGAGGCACATCTTGGGATGGCATAGTTGCCCCGCCTGGATAATTCGTCTCTATTGAGGCACATCTTGGGATGGCATAGTTGCCCCGCCTGGATAATTCGTCTCTATTGAGGCACATCTTGGGATGGCATAGTTCCTCTGCCTGGAGAAATCGTCTCTATTGAGGCACATCTTGGGATGGCATAGTTGCCCCGCCTGGATAATTCGTCTCTATTGAGGCACATCTTGGGATGGCATAGTTGCCCCGCCTGAATAATTCGTCTCTATTGAGGCGCATCTCGGAATGGCATAGTTGCCCCGCCTGGATAATTCGTCTCTATTGAGGCACATCTTGGGATGGCATAGTTGCCCCGCCTGGATAAATCGATCTCTTCAAAATTGTAGTAGATCTCTAGTAGTACTACTATCGGAGCTACGACCCACTGGAACGTGATGGAATGTGTCGAACTGGCGGATGCTGTTCCTGTTGAAGTGGAACTACTATTCAATAGTCGCAGAAGACATATATTGGCTAACGACAGGAACAGTGTAACTTCATAGAATAGAGAGTTGATCGCGCAGTATTGGGCCGCATTTATCACATAGAGCACCGAGCCATTGGATGTACGGCAGTTAATAGGTGTGAAGGGGCTGAGCGTTGTCTACGGCGTAGATCGCATGATTCTTTTCAAGATTTTATGGGAATTTTCGTACTTTCTACACCGGGTTGGCATCCGTAATCCCGTGAGTGTGTGTGTCCGGATCTGCATTGCTCGATTGAATTTCATTTAAGCCCTCGGTCGTTATCACAACGTTCCCGTAAATGCCCATGGCTCCTCGGCTTTGTATCATCACTATGACAAAGTGCATTTTCCGCTTCCTGTTACTCCAACCGTGCTATACGGTGACCATATGGGAAACGGGAAGGAAACAGGGCCCTGTACCAGTTCTCAAGCGCTGGCCTAGTCCGCGAAAGTTCTTCGACGATCTCTCGGATGTTCCTTTCGTGGTGAGTGAGGATGGTGTTGTAGTGGCCATCGAACCACCATCAGCTAGATACGTTCAGCTGGGCTAGTGAATACCTCTGATCCTATATGGAGCGACGAAGGCCTATTGCAGGCTCTTGGTCCTCAATACAACCTGTGTGTTCACTGTTGCCCCGCTCGTCCCCACCACGAGGTTTCGTTTCAGCTCGGCAGTCGAAGTGGAGTTAACCGAGACCCGAACTATCCCAGCACTAAGGGATTTCCCCTTACCGAAGTAGCATAGACCTACCAGGATGGCTCCAACGGACTGTGACAGGTTCCTTAACTTGTACAGGACTGAAGAGCTATATTCAGTGTCACAGATGCCGGAAGGCATTCAAAGTTACTACAAGCTCTTTCCAGTAGGGGTCTATGCTGAATTAACTAGGAGAGACTCTCGACAGTTTCTTTCTTGTGGGGGTTGGACGTACCACCTGTTGGAACCTATACTGTGGATTGCTGGAGGGAGGACCCGCAGTGTTATTCATCATGATAGCCAGCATAATCAGCATTGCGTCATTGATGGCTCTAAGAGATTCATAATCTGGCCCGCTGATGTACCATATTCGTCACAAAGGTATTCACTGCACCGCATGACGTACGCAGAGTGGCATAAACTCGGACGCCTTCGGCTGGATCGACGTAGATGATTTTCCAGACCACAAGAGAGAGTTCCCGGAGGTGTCCACGACTAAGGAAGCAACCTCTTGTGACTATTGCTAATGCGAGGTATATGGGGCGTTCGCAGCTAGAGTCAACATCAGTGACGTGGATCTCGAGAAATACCCTGCATGGCGAGAAGTTGTGTGGTGGGAGGCAACACTGGAGGCCGGTGACTGCCTGTAAATCACGAGTACAGTATCATGAGGATGTACCCAATCTGTATATAAGATACATGCCCCCGTGGTGGTTCCATCATGTCGAGTCTGGAAGCAGCCGGACCCTTTCTAGTCATATATGGTTCAACAAACCGCTAACATGGTGGAGGACATTTCCTTCGGCAATCGTCGTATCCTCTTTTATTCAGGTACGGCTTCGCTTCAACATGCGACAACGAGGAGGATCCCACCAGCATTGCGGTGTCGGACTGCGAGTTCTACGATATCACCGGCAACGATCCTCGTGCATCATTCAAGTCACAGACAAGTGCATGCAGCAAGTCGCAAACCCATGATAAAGAAGAGTTGTGAGGTCTCTCGGTTTTTGCTCAGCTTTCGTTTATCTTCAATACAGCGGTCTAAAGTGTATGCTCCGTTAGTTCACTGGCTGCAGTGCCAGTGGCACTGTGCCACAACAGCCGTCTTGGCGTAAATGGCCGAAGAACCATCAACGGGACAGTTATCAATACGTTAGTGTCCCTCATCCTATACGTGATGCCTGCATGAGCAATCTAACATTTAACGATGGCTATCTTATCTTGATCATGGAGGTGTACGTCTGTAGCGTAGCCTGTTACAAACTAGTCGACTACAGCTGTGTGTGAGAGTACCGAATGCAACACCCTAAATACCCTGCGCTGGAGGAAAGAGCTACGCCCTGTTCACTTCCCCGCTAATACGGTGACCCGGGTCGGGTCACCTGACGCGGTCGGTTCGTTCTGGACTCGCTGGAGCGATTTCATTACTCATTTTCCCCTTTCAACTTGCTTCACTCTCAGAGAGTGTATAGTTCCAGTTGCGATATATGATACTTCATTGAGGCTTACAACGTGGACGGGGCTAGTGTGTTTTCAGTCAGTCGGTGTTGCTGCTGGTTGGGACAGCTATTCACGTCTCCTCAGAGCTGCAGTGAAATTTCACTTGAACACGTGAGTTGGGAGTGATCAACTGCTGGTGATCATCTTCCCTTGTCTTCAACAATCGAACTTCCATTATGGAAGTCGTCAAACAGAAGCTGCTTCGATACTGCTAATTGCAGGCTGATATTCCCTGCTTTATTTAGTTGATCGTAAGTTCTTGATTTAAGCGCACGCGCAAAAACGCGTGTGGACGTTTTGAAATCTTGCAATCTTGCGGTTCATGAGATTGTGTCGCGGTGACACGCGTACGCTCATCACACGCATGTTTTTCGACAGCACGGATCGCACACACACTGGGTTTCCGACCATTGAAAGGATGGTTAGAAACGACATGGACAACTTCGACGACTTCTTACTTGGAGAAGCCCGTGTTACGCTGCCAATCGGTCAAGCGATGGATCATGAAACGGTGTCCTTCTCCCCTGTAAGGGGACATAATCGGCACGCCATGAGCACGGGCCACGTAGCAGGTGTGTCCGTCGGCATGATGGATTACATTGGTGGACAGTACGCTCAAGACGGTAAGGATATGACTGGTGTTCGTAGCAGTCGTGAAGTAATGGCGGAGCCTTTCCCGTTCACAGGGGAGCCCCTCGGGGCTGGGGGAGGGGCTCTTAATGTGGCTGGCTCGCCAACCTCATCATTTCCTGCAATCAATATGGATCTACATGGGGGGTATGACTATCGACTTCCCTCTGGTATTGCTGATGGTGATAAGATGGTAGTACCTCCGTTCGATGCTGGTTTGGGTGGATCGATCCAAATGGGTTATGCTTCAAGGCCAGGAGTTGCTCCGGGAGGTGGACCATTTACGTCACTCCCTGATATGACTGACGTGACAACGCCGTTCGTTGGGCACCTCAGCAGTCAAGGAACGTATCGTTATCCTCACCAGCCGAGCCTTTCTCTGAACTCTGCATCACATAGTACTGCCATCCCATATAAATCATCTATCAAGGTGATACGACGAGTCAACGGTTACGTCACAAGTCTGCGAGCAGGGCGGAAACAGGCTACTGGTCCCTATCGGTCGACATTGGAAGAGTGTCTCCTCGATCGAGAGCGGATTCGTAGAGTGCAACGCGAAGGAGGCCTGTCTAATGCTCAGCTCCTGGATGTAGTTGAAGAGATGAAGTGTGCCGCAGAAGGTAGCGGTGCCAGCAGGTTTGGGTCTCGCAGGAATCAGAAGTCGGATTATACGGCGCCAGTGGGGGTAAGACGTATGAACAAGGGTTTCCGAGCCAGTGTCAGAGTCGATGGTCGTGAGGTTTATGGCCCTTTGCGAACTGATGTGGAAGAGGCGGGCAAGGACAGAGCTGAGATGCTGGGCTTAAGGCATGCATTGGATGTCCCTAAGATGAGGGAATTCGTCAAGTCGTTAGCGAGCAGAAAGGCCAGGATCGATCTGACCAGCGGAACCTCGATTGCCGAGACAGGGTCCGCACGACGGAAGCATTCTCATGTCCTGCCAACGCGGCTTGGATTATGAGTCTTTTTCAGATATGTTGTTCAAAGAAAACTTCGTATTTTGCTTCCTTGTAAAATTATATAATTTTCACTCTCAGAATCATCAATCATAGCGGCTTGGCCTTTTTTGCGATGTCATTATTCTCCGTTTTCGCACACGATCTCTGGTAGAAGACTTTTCCTACACTCACTCGTTTGGTTGTTATGAGTCAAACTTGCGAACGATTCAAGAAACCAGTGCTATGAGGGTCACAAATGCTACGCGGTAATCACAACAGCGAGATGTGGAGTTTACGATCAGACATGGGTGTTGAATAACCATCAACGGCGAGCCTCACATGAGGGACTCCCGCTTGGAGTTACTCGATGAAGCTGGCCATTCATTCGCACTAGGTCGTTCACTCGTACTGTGTCGTTGATTCGTGAATTACCATGTCCTTTTCATGCACTGTGTCGTTTACTTGCACTGTGGAGTTTACTCGCACTGTGTCACCATCTGAATCGAACATCGATCTCTCCGAACAGCGGAAAGGTGAGGGATGACACACACATCGACAGTTATCTGCGACGGAATCCATGACGTCAGTGCGAGTACAGTGTATCGCATTCGACTTTCTGAAGTGTGGCCTCTTTCAATCAGCAAGGCAGTAGTAACTTCGATCACGCCTCCCCACCGATGCTCTGTATTCTTGTCCTACGGTCTGGCACAAGAGTTCTATGGCGCTCTCTAAACTTAGAAAACGGAGTCCGGAGCCGATACGTATATACGGAAATACTCTCGCTAGCTGGTCTCCTTCCAGGAGAGTGGCCTGTCGGTCAGTTCATGCAGCTGTATGAACATTCCATTTCGAGCGCTCCGGAGATCCCTGCGTTGGTCCTCTTTCGCTTAAGAACATGGTTTCGAGGATGGCGATCAAGGAGTACGATGATCTGCTTGGGTTGATACGAGGCGTTGGTGTTTTGAGGGCTATCCTAATTTGGGGAGGGAATTGTCTCATTGCCATCTATAAGGGTGCTGCAGTCGTTCATTTTAGTGAAGATATCCTTCTCCCCTGGACATTATACTCGCCAAAGGTCAAAGGAGCTGTCAACGCGCAGCGACCATTGTCAGCAACCATGTCATTGCAGATACGGAATGATGAATCCGACCAGAGCGACGCCTTCCCACTAGCGCTGAGTTCAATATAGTTTTACACGACTAACATTCGTTTTATTACCAATAGAGTCGAAGAAGCATCGCAGGGAGAAATATCTCGTCGTTTCTGCTCGAAAATTCTCCCTCAGGTAGCGAGCGTGTTACTATCAATCGCGAGTTCGGTTCTCTCTAGCATTTTGAACTATGTCTTCTGATAACCCAACAACTCTGTATGGCAGCACAACAGGTGGACAACTACGACCGATAAGCTGCGAGGTTCGCCAGAATTTGCACGAGCGGCGTCGAAAGCCACTACTGCTGTTGATAACCCTCCGCCGTAACTTCTGTGGTCGGTGTGAACGGTGAGAATGAAACCGACCGACCGTCACTAGCATCGCGATCCGCACCAAACTGAATGAAAGCCGAGTGTGGCTTCGCTGAAAGCCCTTCATTACTCCCCAGCCTGTCCGTCGTAAGAAGGTCGCTGTGAGCTCTTGGTGACGTTCGCTCTGAAGAACAGATCCATTGACCTGTACAAAGAAATGTCAGGAGTATTGAAGGCTAGTGAGGCCCACTTTAAAATAATACACCAAAGTAATAATGCCTGTCGTCATCATATACATGCCAGAAATGACGCAAAAGAAGGCCCAAAAACTGAAATCGACTACGCTCGCATTTTTCATGACCTAGTGGACAGTACGCTGAATTCACTCTTATGGAAATATCGTCGCCGATTCCGGCCAGGGCACGGCTGGTCGGATCAATCTTGTGAGAAGTACTCGACACATAAGTGTAATTACCGCTGCATATCATACCAAAAACCTGCCACATCACTGTCGTGCGATAAAAAAATATAACAATTTCTTACTATGTAGACGAGAGCTCGGCCCAACAGAGATGTCATGAAAGGTGCTACAGCTCGAAGCCTTTTGTGTGCCGGAGAATCACGAGGGCTGACACTCGTGAGATAACATCATCGCACTGCATTGGTGAGCTTACCAAACCTCAGCGATGATGCCTGACGCTCCGAGAGCAGCACATATGCATGTTTCTGCCATGTTACGCATCATTCTCCACACGGAGTACTGTGGACAGAAAATGTATCTGGGAATAGCATCAGGTAAGCACTGAGACTAAGAGCCCGATTGCGCTCCAGGATGTGAGCCATTGATAAAACTCATCCTCCCCGTTAGTACGATAATGAATGTGTGCACAACATAATGCACGCCCCGCATCCCGAGAAAGGTAGAAGGCTCTCAATGACCTGTACAGCCCTAAGTGTTGATATCGGTGAGATGAGCCAGTCCATCTTGTTCACACAAGCTGCCTAAGGCGAACCTTGCGGGAGTTATGGAGAAAGACTATAAAGCTGCAATTCTGATATTATTATCCCCATAGGCTACAGTTGACTGATAGAGCATACCACTAAGTTAGGTCTACAGAGAAGGCTGACGAAAGACCGCCGCCTTAACAACTCAACACTCCCTCATCACCTTGTACTCAACACGCTGAAAATCGATCCAATCTCACGGGACCAATAACAGAGAACTACTCCCAGAGAAGCTCCTGATAATATGCGTAGCGATAACAAGTATATAATACGAAAAGCAAGTCCGTCGTTATTGAACCATACGGGACTCGTGACGTTTGATAACAGCGGAGTTAGTGTTAGTTATTGCTTGGAATGAAGTCGTAGTTTTTATCACTGAAAAAACCAGCTTGAATTGAATGGAAAAAATTTGTGAAAATTTGGAAAAAATTCTGGCGAGCGCTATGAGTGCTGTGACGACACGATCGGGAAAGATCGGCGCAAGTCGTATCGCGCACGCCCGAATATCTGTGGAGTAATAAGTATCTGAAACGATTGGATTTCTGTAACCGCTCGTTGGAGCGATCTTGAAGTATTGACTGAGTATTAGAGTCTTATTACGGCTATTATTGCTGTAACGCTAGTCAGCGCTCTGAGTATATCTGTAACTAATTGAATCTAAGTTAGTCTTGTCGCGCTGAGTCTGGGATGGTTATCACACGCAGTGTCTATCAAGAGTCTGGTGAGCCTATAGTATCGCTAAGAGCATCTAGGATTCCTCGATTAAGGCCTAGATCATCCTCTGCTTCTTCTCTACAGCACAGGAACCATCATGCGTCCAACATAGCTATCACTACTGACGTCTCATCAACCGTCCCACCCTCACATTCTACCGGGATTGGTATTCCCGCCCAATCGTCTGGCTCTAAGAATCAAGACTATGAACGTCTACCTCATAATCGAGTTGGAGACCCTAATGAGCTACAGCATCATTCTACACTGGTACAAGAACATCATCCTCGAGCTCACATGTCGGATCTAAATCTACAAGATCCTCTATCGGTGCAAGACCATCTTGTTCAACCTGAATCACGTGATCATTTTCGCAATGATCAAGGCTTGATACGAGACCATTCTCTTCATGCTGGGTATTCGGATCCCTTGCGTAGGGATCAGGTTCCGTATTATGACCAATCTCCTCATGTTGGGAACTGCTATCCGGTCCCTCTTACAAACCGGGCTGTCCTAACGAGATTGAACTCCTTACGAAAGGATCAAGGGTCAGCTCTATCGGACCAAACTCCCCAACAAGAAGATCAACATCCTTTGCGAAAGGATCCTCGGTCTCCAGTATCTTGCCCAACATCCCAGGCTGAACTCGATATTCTATGGAAGAATCGTCTATCCTTGCCGATACATCATCAACGAGCCGAAGGTTCCAATGGTTCTAGAGACGAAGAATGTCATCAATTGGTACCAGAACATCTCCTTCAACCAGATATCGAGAGTATAAGACAAGTTCATCTACATCATGATCAACGCCAACAAAGGAACATACCCTATATGAACGACAACGACACTAACCCCGGGGTCGCCATTCATCAGCCCGATCAGGAGTTCGGCACTGGAAACTATCCGTATGATACATCTTTGTCAAGTGGTTATCAGCTCCAATCAATGCACTATCCGGATAATGTGCATCTATCCAGACCGGTGTCTATAAGAAGGTTCCCGACAACAAGAGAACACATTCGTCCAGTACATCCTAACACTGGGACGAGGCAAGGTCATCGTGAAGTGACTCTACCGAGTAATGATCGACTACATCGTCATCAAGAAGTGGTAACATCGAGTAACGTTAAATCTACCGAAGGCTATCGTGAAGTGTCTCTACCGAGTATTGATCGTCTACATCATCATCAAGAAGTGGTAAAGTCGAGTAACGTCAAGCCTATTGGAGATCATCGTGAAGTGATTGTACCGAGTACTGATCGACCACATCGTCATCAAGAAGTGGTAATGTCGAGTAACGACAGACCTATCCATGATAGACCATATGAGCAACAAGGTCATCAATTAGATCATGGAAGAGTCTCTAAGCCTCCAGTAACAGATGATCGTACGACTATCAAAGGTTCCTATGTTCGTCAAGAAAACCTTATCAAGAGACAGGTCGGATATGAAAGAGCTCAAGAACATCCACTACAAGCTAACGTGGCATCATTAAATGGTCAACATCGTCTACGAGAGAGCATCCTATCAAACTTGCGAGTTAGTGACAAGATCCTGTATAACGAGTTCTATCTGGACATGATCACAAAGGATAGAGAGCTACTCTATAATATCATTCAAGACGACTATCTACGACCAATCTTCCTAAGCCACCCCATTATCATCGAGAAGTCAATGAGTGATCCCAACTTCCTGAACATCGAGCACTACCCCAACCCTATCAAAGATTCCCAACATAGTGAACAGCATCAGTCTTGTGGTACGGTCATCAAAGACTACTCGTCAGCTGCTGCTAGCTCTACTCTAACAGTTGATGGTTCACGACCTCAGCAATCGGTTCCTATCTACGACACCACTGTCAAGGATATCACTACTGCTGATGATCGAGTCCCTCTAGAACAAGTAGATTCTACTAAACCTGTTGAAGTTATTTCTATTTCATCTGCTGCTAAAAATGGTTCGAGAAGTCATCACGAGAATTATCGTGAACATCATCAACAACCATCTCCTAGAGCTGCTATGAGGTCTACAAGAAGACGTGATCCATCTGGCTCTCCTTCTGGTTCATCGGATTCTTCTGGTGACGATCATGATTCTCGTCGTTCTCGACGTTCCCATCAACGCCGTCGGAGAAGCCTATCATCGAGCTCATCTTCTTCTAGCCCTTCTTCTGCTTCGGGTCGTGCTCTATCAAGACCCTACCCTACGTTGAAACATCTGCCTGGAATCACTTCTGGCAGAATGTATCGACCCCCTAATCTGTTCGGCAACAAGACCTATGACCGCTGTCCGGGTTGTAGACATACCAAATGCCGACACAAGATCTCTGATAAGGATCTCCAAATCGCTACCAATACGGCAAAAGGTCTCGCTATCAAGAACCACTATCAAGGTGCTGATGATCGACGCTCTGGTGCAGCTTGGATCCAAGAGATCTTTAAACGGACGGTTGGCCAAAGGAATCTTGTTCGTTATACCTTTGCCCGTCTCAATACCATCAACACCGTCTGGGACGATCTTGTACGTGACGAAACTGATCCTGCACTATGTCACAAGGACTATGATCGTCATTGGGATCTACTAATCAACAAGATCAATGAGTTCTACAGTGACCAAGAAGTCCTACTGAAACTCCAGAACGACTTCAATCATCTACAACAAGAACCTAAGGAGACGGTCAATCAGTTTATCTCAAGATTGGATGGTTATGCTAATCAACTATGTCTACTAGGTGTCAGTATCTTGGATGACATCATCAAGCGACGTCTGTATGATGGATTATTAAACGACCGTCTTAGAGATAAGATGGATCGTGACGTCGATGATCACCGTATAGACTATCCCCGCTTCAAACGGCAGCTGATCAAGTATGATCGAAGGAGACAAGGGCGCTTATCTAAGAAGGAAGCTGATCCCGCTACTCTCCGGTTGTATGGTGGACGACATCCTGATCAACGACGTCAAGCTACGGTGAGCAACATCGTCAACAACGACCACTCTGACGACTATCATGATGGATCCCCTATTCCTTCCGGATCATCAACTGATGACGATGTCTACTATGTCTATGCGGTGGTTCGTGATCAACAATCCATCACGTGTTATAGGTGCCTACAGGATGGTCATCCTGCTAGGAATTGTACTAATGATATCGGTAAGAAGGACGAGAGATGTATCCGGTGCGGCAACCCTACCCATACCATCGACAAATGCAACGTCTCTACAACTGCTACGTGTCATCGCTGCGGTCGAGAAGGTCATCTAGCTTATGTATGCCCTGATCCGCTACCATCTCCTACGGTATCAATGAGGAGTAAAGGTGGTAAAGGTAAAGGCAAGGGCATTGGTAAAGGAAAAGGGAAATCTCCCGGTCCATCAAGTATCCAGGCTACAACCTCATCTACGACCGACGGTAATCTTCAACAGCTCCCAACACCACCTACTCCCGAAGTCAAGATCTCTGGTGTAGATCCCAACGAGAATAACGATGATTCAAGTGATGCAAATAATGAGTACGACATCTACAACGACGCCCAAACTAACATGATTGTATCGCATCACTATCCTGAATCATCGATTCTAACGGTATCGGAGTCGGTTCCCAATCAACTCAAGACTATGAAGGCCAACAGCTCGGATAAGGTCTTTGGTGATCCTAAGGTAACATCTACCTCGAATATCTGCTCATCTTCAACTTCATCTACTCGTTGCGATGTCGTTGTTGGCGTGATCAAGATCGGTCCTGAGACCCGGCCTGTTCTGTTTGATACTGGAGCCGATATCTCTTTAATCGCTATCGGAGCCTTGGAGAAAATCTTCGGTGGTGACTGTCCTATCTTCTCATCCACCACAAATTCTAATGTGAAGGTTGCTAACACCACCAGCATCAAGGTCATCGGCCATGTCTCTATACCTATCGAGACCAGGCACATCAAGATCACAGAAAGGTTCGCCGTCACAGACAATTCACTATCTAGCCCAGTTATCCTTGGATGTCCGGCCTTACAACAACTACAGTGTGCTATTGTCTTCACGGTTAGTGGCTCCGTGGTCTTCACTGGGATCGAAGATCTTACTTCATCGTTCCATAGGCAGATCTATAAGACTATCTCTAGATCAGCCAAGCAACGACAACCTGCTGAGATCAAAGGTTTTGGTGACGTATCTATTACTCATCAACCAACCTCTCACGTCGTCAGGGTGGTGAATGATGACCTACCAACTTCATCATGTTCTACGATCATGGCCTCTAACGACGTCACAACCCATCTCGATCTCCTTCATGGTGGTATCTGGAATGGGAAGGTTACCAACAACAATGCCGTTCCCCGTATCATGAACTCAATCCCGGACGTGATCACCAACGATCCTTATGGTGCTACTGATATGGAAGACGTTCCACTACATCCTGACCTACAACTACAATCTGATCCTACCGACGATCTCCCGCCATGGGAAGTCATCAAACGACAATGGATACCCGACTTCAGCGCTCCGTTAGGACGTTGCCAACTATCGGTACCATGGTTATCATCAGACAGGCCCGATCACAACTTTAGGATCGCGGCGCGCCGAGGAGCGGCTTCAGTCCAACGACTATCACCCGAGGAAAAGGATCTATTTCACCAATCCCTGAAGACCTTCATCGACCGGAAGTACTGTGGTATTGTCCAAGACAACTCTATCGGCCACTATACAATCCCACCATCATCTGAACGTTGTCAAGCTATCTGGCGTGTTCTACATGAAGGTACATCTATGGCAGGATCTATCGTACCTAAGCCTATCCACTATACGCCGAGCCATATGGTGTTTCGTAAGGATCACTGCACTACTCCGTGTAGGATTGTACTAGATTATCGAGTTCTAAATCGATTCTCGAATCGAGGAGGATCAACTCAACATAATCTAGTTGGTACTTTACTATCGGTAAGATCAATGGAGTATATGATATCAGCTGATATATCCAAAGCATTTTGTGAAATGTTCGCGGATCCAAGCGATATTCCGTTTATCGGATATACTTGCATCGGCAACTTCACTCTGTTGTGGAATCGAGTCAGCTTTGGGTCTACTTGTGCGCCAGCTATGTTGGAGACTGATCTCAACGACATGTCTGATGAGATCTATCAAGTTATTTCAATCGCTAAAGCTAGAGAACCATCAAGCCGCCTACATCGACAGTTCCTGGTTGGAATCTACCCACAGAAGATCTGATGAATGTTCTCTTATGCCCCACTAACGACAATGTCGACTGGATCCGATTCGGACCACAAGTCCCTATCGTGATATCGATGGTCTGGTTCGTTGACGACGTCTACATCGGTGGTTTATCTAGATCACACACTATCGACTGCTACAGCTTTGCTGCACACATCTACGAGGGACATCATAAACTATTCGATCCCAACAAGAACTTCACATCATGGGTCGATGAACAACATCAAGATCAGCCCGAGGCACTGAAGAAATTACTTGGCTATCTATTTCGTCGATCCTCTGATCTTCTACATGCTGTTTACGAAGCAGATCGACTATCTGAAGAAGACTGTATCACTAAAAGGAAGGCTAGTTCCTATCTCCTATCTCTATATGATCCTCTCGGGCTTGTTCTAGAGCACACAATGGTTGGTCGACTTATCTGGCGGAAGATCACTGAAGCTACAACAGATTGGGATGCTAAAATCACTGACGATCATCGACAACAAGTATCTGATTGGGTGAACGCCTCTATCAATCTCTGCAACGACGCCAAATATGGAGTCCCAAGATTTGTCGATATCAACAACCACCCGGTGGTATTATCAGTCGATGCATCATTGATTGCATGGGGTATCGATCTAAGATGTCTATCATCACCAAACGATCGCTTGATGAGTCGTGCTGGTCTATTCCCTAAATCTCAGAAGAATTGGAGCATCCCCCGCAAGGAATTGGACGCGCTATGGAGAGGCTTAAAATGGATTAAGAACTTCTCGATCTATCTCCCCATCAAGACCAATCTAAATAAATCACAACAACCCCTACATCCTCTCAGGCCTAATCCACCTGTAAGAGGCTCTATATCATCACTGACTCCGAGATCAATGTATATCGTCTAAGAAGACCTTCTAATGATAAACGTCTACCTTCACCTGAGCGTCGGAGACTCTCGGAAATCCGCCAACTCTGTGCCGATCTCGATGCGGTAGTTTATCATGTCCCCTCCGAGCTCAACCCGGCGGATCCTCTATCAAGAGCTAAAGTCGGCATCTACTGTTATGACGATAAGATCAAGAATGCTGTCAAGGTTGCAACAGTTCTCTATGACTATCTAGATTCCGTGGAAGATCCGTCAGATGATCCTCTTGTGATCTCGGATCCACCCCTGGCCGACTTTGTTGCTACTGCTATCACCGTTAACCCCGATGGTATTCCCCTACCTGACTTATCTACCATCGAAGATGTTGAACAACGAGCAGAACTACAATGTATCTGGGACTATGCGAAACATCGGTACACTCCTGATGAGGATCCACCAGTGGATACTATCGAGTTCACCGAGGCCGTCGAGATCTGTGCTAGAAGATGTCAACTACTAGACGATGATCTACGTCTCTTGAAGCTATATTTGGAAGGTAAACTCAATCTCAGTGATGCCGGTAGCAGATATACCCATATCACTAGATTGGCAACTATCTGCGAGCTAGATGCTAATAAAATCATACGTCGATGTCCACAAGAAGCTGATTGGAAGCGTGTACATGAGGATCCCCACGGTGTTATCTTTCTTGGTGGATCTAACTATGCTAATATCCTAATGGTCCTATTAACTATCATATTCCATTATGTCTATCTACATAGAGCCCATCGTAAGATTACCGGTCAACTACAACGTCGGTACAACGGTAAACGACTGCCCATCATTGTTAAGAACACCATCGCCTCTTGTATCCCCTGCCTACGATCTAAGGCATACCGTGGACTTAATTATGTATCAAGATCTGTCCAAGCCCTGGCAACGAAGTCTATCTGGCAAGTTTGCGGAGCCGATATTGTCGGACCCTATCAACGAGACGAAGCTGAACAAGGATCTACTCGTGTCTTAACTCGTAAGAGGTATATCTTACTGGTCCACGACGCCATCACGAGCTTCACATGCTCCAGGATTCTGTACGATGCTACATCCCTGTCCGTGGCCGATGCATTCCACTCTATCTGGTGTGAGATGGGAGCGCCATCGGTGCTCATCACTGACAAGGATATGTCAGGATTCATCAATCGCCATGTTAAGAACAATTTGATCAGCCATGGTATAAGACATCTAGTGTTGCCTCCCTACTCACCCCATCTATCATTCTGGGAAAGAATCCATCGAGACTTCGTCCAAATGTCTAGATCTATCTGCTGTCAAGTCAACTCTGAGAACGATTACATCAAGTCATATCTACTGGCGATTAGGGCTTACAATTGTACGGCTAAGGACTGGATCCCATTCACGCCTGCATCTTTACACCTTACTTATCATCAACGACTTCCTGGAGATCCGCCTGCTTCCAGCGACATCATCAACTATGGAGCCTTGGCTGCTGGCACTATCAACTCAGATCAATTCGGCTTCGCTAGAGCTATGCTACCCTTCGTTAAAGAGATTCAACAAGAAGTGTCATCTACCGTGGCCGAGTACATCGAGTTCTGGTACCACAAGCAAGCCGCATATCGCCGCCGGATCAACCTATCTACGGAAATGACTTACCCTGATCCTAAGCCCTTCGACATCGTCTTCATCACCAACTACAGCGATATTGGATGGGCTATCAATAACAAGATGAAGTCCAGATGGGAAGGACCCTTCACTATCGCCAAGGTCACCTCATCAGCTACGGTACTTGTGGCGCCCGAACTGATCCTTCCTAACAGAAAGATCTGGGAAAGGTCTAACTCTTCATCATCTAGTCCAACGCCTCCATTTGGTCCTACTTCACCAAGTATCGACAATTCTGGTCCATGCTCTTCCACTGATCATCGATCACCCGGTCCTACTAATATCACCGATGACCACGACTATGACTCTGGTATCGATCGGTTGTTTAAAGATCATGAACTTCAACTAGTATCATTGAAGAACGTAGTACATGCCAAGGCCTTCCAAGATCTGGTACGAGATCAACATCTACGAGGTCAAAGGATCTACGTCGACCATCGAGGAGCTATAAGGTCTATCGACTCTCTGAAGGATGAGTCACGAGATCTACAGCGAGTCAGAGAATTGATCACTGAGGGCGCTATCAATGATGCTTTGAAGGCGTGGAGAAGTCCAACTACAACGACATCCAATGATGAATCATTATCTGAAGGAGATCAAGATCAAGGCAAACAACCACAAGGTCACTCTATCCCAGAAGATCTACATCAAGCTCAAAAAGATGACCAGTTAACTCCTTCCGACTCCCCCGATCTCATACCAGAAAATGCTCATCCCTCGAGAGTATCGAAGCCAAGGACTTCTCGGAATCGCCATCAACAAGATAAAGAGAAGACTGGAGATCAGCATGATCCTACTGCTATTAAGGTTACGAGACCCCTTCCCATAGGTATCAGTAACCTCAGACGACATCTTCCCCAATCGGATCGATTATCCACTGGTGCTATCTTATCTATGAGCCCTCCTGATGGAAGTGTGGTGGTATCCCTATCAAGTTCAACATCTAACAGAGGTGTCGGTATCGTAGCCTACACCGACGAAGACGAAGGGAGAGTTTATCTTGGCTCGATCGGAGATGATCAAACGAGGTTACGCAAGTGCTTCTTCTCTGATCTGGTTTACATCTGTGGTTCTACTACCGTCTTAACTCGGCAGCATCGATCCTTTATAAGGGAGCTACATTACAGCTTAGGGATTGGGGATCCATGGATCTAACCCTTGGAGCTCTAAGTTAATCGATAGATTTAATTAAGGTTTTGCTCAACTATCGGTTAAGTGTATCCTGCATGGTAGCCCTCACAAGTAGCAGATCTCATAGATAAGTATTCTCTGAGGTTTATCTTTATCATTGGTGATTACTACATCCCCACCATTGTGTCCTCTTTGTTTGCGCCCGGAGCGTTTTCATCGATCACCTGATCGATTTAGTCCTTCCGGATTCTACGCGCTGTTCATCGTATTAGTGCTGCCTTGTATCATCTATAGTTGATAGATCATTCGACTTTATTTCAAGTATTATCTGTATCCCCGTATCTATCATGGCATCCAGCAGTCCCAAGTCTATCATCAACGATAAGTCTGTCATCTATCCGACTATCAAGAACGGTGGTAATCAAGAAGAAGCTACTCCTATCTTCACTCAAGAATCTTGAGTCAAGATGGTTTGGATGGTTATCGCTATCTTGTCTGGGGATCTCAAGTTGGTACTGAGGATCACAATAAGCTCATCCATGGTAAACCGTATCTCCCTGTTGTAGACCATCCTTCTATATCTCCTGAAGTCATCATCAAGTTCAAGTCGCTAGCGACAGAAGGAAGCTATCACTGGTGCCCCCTTATCGACGAGCACATCTCAGTTATCAAGCCCTTCTACCCAAATCGTGTTGTCGACATCGACGACTCTATCTACACCGAATTTGAGAAGGAGATCTCTGCCTTGAATATATCAAAGCCAGGTTCAGTATCTCCTTACATCTGGGCTTCACTATCGCCGGTGTTGAGATGGTATATCTTACATGGGGAGACTCACACCATCTTATCTAAGGATGAGCCTATCAACATGGATCTCTTGGAGGAGTTAAATCTGATCAACATCCCAAGGATCCTCAACTTGGGTATCTTCGCCCGTTATATATCTGTGGTAGCCATGGGTATCGCCAGTGACAACTATCTATTCGATGGTGATCACCACATTGCCGTTGGCCTAACACCTATGGTAGGGTTTGATCTACAGTCATCAAGATCTACTACGGCCGGTTGTATCGCCATCCCAAGAGATATATATGAGGGTACCATTAAGATCAACTATATATCTAAAATGATCTTGTATAACTGTATCATATCTGATACCAATCTACAGGAAGAGGTCGATGTTAGATCTATTCTTGGTAAATCTGGACCTATCTCAAGGGATCTCATCTTGAAGAATGTGGGCCATATCGGCCATCTTATTGTATCGTCTAACGACCTCATCACCATAGATCGCCTTATCAAGGGTATGCAAGCCTATCAGAGAGTCGAGGATATCGTTGGTTACAACATCGCTGCCTTGGAGGCCGACAGTGATCTGGAGGAGTAACTACCTATCTATTTTCCACGGCATCGTATTGAGTATCTATGTCGTATCAACTATATCGTGTATGAAGATCATCAAGGGCAGACGTAGATGATGAGATGATGATCATTATTATCTTTATCTGATTAAGTCCTAGTATTTCATTGTCGTCAAAGATAGCTATCATCGTCTAATTACTATATCTTCTTTTGCAGTCAATTTTGAGGATTATCTATTTGATTATCGCTGGCGCCCACTGTGACGACACGATCGGGAAAGATCGGCGCAAGTCGTATCGCGCACGCCCGAATATCTGTGGAGTAATAAGTATCTGAAACGATTGGATTTCTGTAACCGCTCGTTGGAGCGATCTTGAAGTATTGACTGAGTATTAGAGTCTTATTACGGCTATTATTGCTGTAACGCTAGTCAGCGCTCTGAGTATATCTGTAACTAATTGAATCTAAGTTAGTCTTGTCGCGCTGAGTCTGGGATGGTTATCACACGCAGTGTCTATCAAGAGTCTGGTGAGCCTATAGTATCGCTAAGAGCATCTAGGATTCCTCGATTAAGGCCTAGATCATCCTCTGCTTCTTCTCTACAGCACAGGAACCATCATGCGTCCAACATAGCTATCACTACTGACGTCTCATCAACCGTCCCACCCTCACAGTGCGCGCATCTTCGGGTGATATACAAAATCCAAGGGAGACAAGTCAAAGGGTAAAATTGAAACCCCACCCGAAACCCGACAAGGCAACCAGAAACCCGAACTGCTGAGAGCGAACGACAAGCCTCCTTGGATTTCATCATTCTTGCTTGGATTTTGTAATTTACCCGCGCATCTTCAAAGGATCTGAGGAAAAAAATGAACTCCTCACTATATTCAGTGAAAATGCTGAGGGACGAGGCGTTCTTCTCAGCATCACGTAAGTTCCGAGCGTCTTTGAAAATCTTATCCGAGACAATATATCTATGGGTTGAAACCAAAAGAAGCGAGGTCCATCAAGTACGCGTGAGTGCTCTACGAGAACTCATTGGAGTTGCAATTCACGCTGCACATTGCACTCCCCCGTTTCAGGGGTCCCCCGGAGAAACTGCACGGAAGTTCCGTGAATCTCACTGCTCAACGCTACCAGATACCCGTGATCAAACAAAGTCAGAAACCACCAAAGAACTACAGAGCAACACCAACGCCACAGTGCTGATGGCGTAGGAAGTGAAAATTTGCCGAACTTCGGCAGGCACACACCACCCTAGAATGTCTCTGATATGGTCAACGGACTCTACATCTGCTATTCAAATACAGAACATAGGTAATTCGGAACGGCATGTGACACGGCGTGAATATACCGATGTTCCTACTGAGTTACTCGTTTTGAGTAGGTTCCGGTTTAGAGTTGATACGTAGAGGGTTGTTGGGTCGATTCTTGATGACGATATGTACGTTTTTTAAAAACGTTTTACTAAAAACGTTCACTAACGTTTTTCGTTAGTTAAAAAACTTTTTTTCGTGAATTTTTTTTTGCGACACGAACTATGGAGCCGGATCCGTTTTACTTTTTCCCGATTATGACGGCCACGCGCTCGAACCGGATTTGTTGGGTGCGCAAATGCGAGCGTGCTGGCTACGGGGTAAAGTTTTTCGGATTGCACTCCGGCAGGCAGGGATATGTAGCAAGAAGGTAAGGGTTTAAGGGTTCGGGTTCGGGTTCGGGATACTTACTTTCTTAGGGCCCTGGAGTATTTTCGACGAGGTCAAAACTGGGACGACCTTCGTGCGAAGCTCGTGACTCATGAGTTATGGTACGCCGATTCCGATGCTCCTAAGTCGTATATCGACTTAAACATTCGGAGGTTTGCTGGACACAAGAAGAGGGAGTTTAACAGACTCTCTCCAATTGTGCTCCACGATCTTCTCCGTTTGTGGAGCGTCAGACCGGCGCAACTGACTGCTCGCAGTCGAGCTACGCCCGAAGATAGGCTGGTAAGTCCGAAGCCTATCCCGAACCCTAGATCCAAAACCCTTTTCCTCAGGTATTCTTGCATGACCACCATGCCAACACCTTTCTGAGAAGGTTACTTAACATTCCAGAAGGTGGATTGGCACGAGGCGATTACGACGCTCTTTACAGTGCCGCGACTTCAGCCGTCAAATGGTTGAAGTATCTCGGCCTGTGGGAGCAGGTGGAAGTGCAAAGATTCGGTACGATCCGACCTAGAGCGGTAAGAAACACGAATCCGAAGGAACACTCCAAAATTGTTTCCTTTTCAGGTAGTTCGTTTGCAAGACGCTCTAGTGTCCAACATGGCTGCTAGAGCCCTGGAGGGAAGAGCCGCTCTTCAAGAGCGGAAGAAGGGAGGAGAGCTCAGTCAAGACGTACGGCCCCTACTGTTTCAACAACAGTATTCGGGTCGTACAACTTGGCTGCTCTCGAGGAGTCCCGGTTGGAAGCGACGCGGGCGCACAGCCGACATGTTCGGCTGGGGAGAGTTCATGGAACCTACGTGAACCTCCACGCGCCCGGGAGATTGGACTCAACCATCGAGGCCAACCTCCCCAAGGCGTCGCAGATCCTTGCAGGGAATGTAAGGATCATGGAAGGAGAGGCTGGAAGCGAGTAAGGCAAACACACGTTCGGGTTGGAAGGTCTTTGATTGTGCCTCTTTTTCAGACGTACAGCTTCTGGGCAGTCGGGATCGGACCACTCAGTCCATTCCGACCGTGAAGCCGCCCATCGACCTCGCCTTCAAGATCGGGGCCCTGATCCTGCCGTCCGTGACCTTGAACCGCGTCGTGGCCCCCGTGCTCGTCCTTACCTACCCGAATACGAGGTAGAACGAGACGGTAGGCGTCACAGGTTAAGGAGTCCGGGTAGGGTTTTGGGGAACTACCTGCTAACTCCACCTCGACATCACCCCCCTGCCCGGTCTCCTCGTCCTCCCAGTCACAGCGGTCTTCACCTCCCACGGCGACTAACTCCACTCCGACATCATCTATTCGGTCGGCCTGCTCGTCCTCCCAGGCACACCAGTCCTCACCTCCTCCGGCCACTAACTCCACCTCGACATCATCTATCTGGTCGGCCTCCGCGGGTTCCAGAGTAGTATTAGAGGGTTTTCACGAGTTCGTGGATGATCTGCCACGAGGAGTGAGTGCCAGGATAGAGCCCCCCACTCCTCCGTCCCTTTCCCCGCAATGGCCTGAAGAAGATTTACCGACGCCAGAGGTTCCTCCGCCAAGTGAGCCCTCCTCCGCCGGAAGCCCAGCCCGGCCCGCCCCCGCAACCCCCTGACGTGGTTCGAGGGAGACGGGGCAGCCACCGGAACGCCTGCAGGACGTATTCCGGGGAGACCGGAGAGAGAACCGGAGCGAGTGACCCCAAGAAGCTCGCGACTACAAGGGCTGGCACGGCAAATCGACTTTGGTGAAGAAGAAGAGAGAGAAGAAAAAAGAAGAAGAAAAGACTAAGAATGGCGAGAAGATAGATATACAGAAGATAACGATGTCCATCATGATAATGTGAATATTGATGTTCGTGTCGCAAAAAACGTTTTTCGTTAAAAAACGTTTTTCGTTTTACTAAAAACCTAAAAACGGCTTTTAGGATATACTCTTTTGTGAGTATACCATTATGGTATGCTTACGAATGTGCATTAGCGCGCGAAATGACTACGGTGGATCATCAATGATGATTCATCATAATGGACGTGCATGTGGACGTGTAGTGTAGTTCACACAATGTACTCCACATATCACACAGTGCACGTAATCACACGCAATGGGTCAAGTGCTTAGCGCTCAACCGCGCTTTACACTCGTGAAGTGCAGTGAGAGCATCGCACTTCGCGCAGTTCGTGCTTTCCACTGCGTGCATTCCTGCAGTGCACCCAATGCGGGTGCATCTGCATTGTACAGAAGGTAGAGTGGAATACAATGAGTCAACCAATAGTCCCCGCATCCAGCGAAATCGGGACTCCTCATAGAGTTCTCCGCGATCCCCAAAACTGTTCCACCCATATTCATCCCCATCATGAACTGTTTCGAACGACGTTCCCACTCTTCTACCATAAGTCGATAAAATCAAAGGAACTGAGGGAAATGTCTACTAACAACACGACCGGATTACTGTCAGGAGTTTCGGAGTGAAGGCAGAGGAGTGATATCCGCTGAATCGAGGGAATCTCTCGTCGGAGAATGGTCCGTTACTAACGGGCTGTTAGAGGCTCGCTAGCTCAAGTGAGAGTGTCACGCGCTTGAGTTTCCCACGACACCAAGTTCGCAGTGAATTACTCGGTCCGCAACGGAGCGAAAGAGTGGAACCTCACGGACATTCTGTTCCTGTTCTGGTGACCAGGAAACAAACTGATCATCTAAGCCGCCTGGATGATCAGTTGAATATAACAATTTGCTCTATTCATCTTGGACGGGAAGTGTCCAGGACCTCATCAAGACTTGGTGATCAAGTCGTCGAGGATGTCCTTCCAACTCAACTTTCGGCCGACCGTTGTGAACTATAGAGAAAATACAACGCCTCCATCGAATCTCTGGCCCCCGAGGTCAGAAGCGCAACTTAGCCTGCCATCATTTTATATCCACCAAAATGAGAAGTAATATGTTCCAAGAGCCATTGCGTTCTCGTGTGATTAGATTAGATACCAGGCTAATGGTATGCAAGACTGAAATTTAGTCACTGAATCTTGGAAGGCGCAAGATAGGTCAGCTTATTCCCACGGTATGGGCCCCACACTAAATCTCACTAGGATGGAGCAGTTAGTTTCAATGTACGTCTTGAGCAGTCGGAAAAGGCCAAAATTCCTAAGGAGTTCCCTGGCGACTCGCCAGTGGCGAGCCGAATGGGTTGCGTTCAGCGGTTCAGTGTCGCCTGTGCTCATCGTTCAATTGAGACCATGTCACTGGGGAGCACCCTCAGCCTATCGGTCAAACTAACAGCACAACTCTCTAGAGCTCAGCGAACATCGACAGACACCTCAACAAAGAGCACACATGCGCGGACACCGAAGGCGACTCGCCTTCAGATCCATCCTTAGATAAGATCAAGAGCGCGAGCATCGATAGCACACGGAAAAAACTATGATGTATCGTGCCGATGCTGCCGACGCCGGATGCACATCGATCAAACATAGTCGCGGAGAAGGCCCTAAGCCTTAGGGATCGAGTCTCCGCCGCTTCGAAATTGGCCTCGAGCCTTCGTCCAACAAAGTTCGTCGTAAGCCGTGCGACTGCGGTAGTGCGTCATCCGGAGCAGGCCCCGAGGAGTGGAGTAATTCAACACCGTTCTGAGTCGATAAGCGCGGCGGCGAAGTGACCCGCCTAGCATCGTTTGGAGTGATATAGAGCATCATGCTGTCCAAGTTCAAGAACGTATAGTAGGCGCGGAAGAATGGGTGTCCAAGGTTGAGTAAGGTGTTCGAGGTCACGAGTAGGTCAAGCATAGATTCCCCCCAAAGGTGTTGACGAATGTAATGCCTCGGCGAGATCCTAACAGGGACAGGCCGTGCACCAGAGTCGTCGATCAAGTCAAAACTCAGCACAGGAAGGTGGCGTAAAGCTCGTGAGTCGACCCAGACCATACCCAGTTCATCCACCCGTAAGGGCTCGGATAGATAGGGGCCATATTTCCTCATCCTATATCTCATCTCACTCATTATCAGTTCGTACTCCCTATTTGTGAGAGCCAAAAGCGAAGCTCCGGTATCCACAACGACGTGCGTGAGTTGACGGGAAACGCCCGAGAGGTCACGGAAGGCGCCTCTCCTACGACGACGATTCCGGTGATGGACTGGCTTAACCTCGGACCGCAGAGAAGCGAGACACCGGTGGAAATACGTTGGGTGTGATGTGCACTTCACTGGAGTGAGTTCTGTTAGACTCTTCGGACTATCGCCAAGAAATAGTCTACCGGTTATGCCTCTGCCTGTCTCCCTCGCTTCAATCGCCACAGAGTTTTCGCTGATAACTTTATGCAATTTTAACTGCTCTAGCATGGAAAGCTGTTCTCCACCTAGAGCTAAGCCCAAGATGCCCTTGGGCGGCATTTTCCGTAACGGGCTCCGAAAACTGATAATGAGGAAAAATTTAACTTCGATATCACTCACCTCGCCAATGGATAGTGTTCCAATACGGTTGATGTACTCCATCGTATCCCCATCGAGGTAAGTGATGGTTTTCCCTGGCTGTTCAGAGATATCATCACAAGGCTGTGTAGGAGGGCAGAAATAGCATCCTGTTTCCAGATCACGACACGCTCCCTTGCCGTGTGCTTTCTCATAGGCCTCACCGGACATAACGAGCCAATGAGGTGTGGCTGAATCGAGGAACAACTTGACGGTGTGACCATCGAGAGTTATCGGCACAAGGTTGTTGTCGATGTCTAAGTGTAGCGGAGCCGATGCCCCGTGGAGGACCAGAAAGGCGAGACTGAACGAGGCAAACCATGTATCCATCATAGGAAGAACTGGAAGCTAAGGTCTCAGTTCTCTCTACGAGGTACAGAGGAAGGCTTCCTCTGTAGCAGGCACTCGGCAGTAACAAATATGAGATGCTCGTCTTGAATGGAACATCTCACTGTCGAATGGAGTTGGAGAAGTCCATTTAATGGACGCCTCCAACTCGACTCAACTGCGCGGATACCATGGTTAAGAATAGAAACTATTCCGGTTTTGGTGAAAAGTATCGGAACAGACGGGAGAATCAACGCCTCAAGTTCAGAGCGTCAACAAGGTCTTGCGCAACAGCGCGTCGGTGCTTGAAATGCTCGCTAGTTAGCGAACAGAAATCATCCTGAGGTAGCACCTACAGTTCCTCGCCAAATGAAATGAAAACCTTTGCAAACGATGCAGGTACCCCGAGTAAATGGCGAGACACACATAACATTTCTAGTCGTTGCAGAATTATATACGCATAGCGCTGAATGAGCATGGACTAGGATGGAGAAGAGTAAAGATGCCCCTCACAGCAGAGACAAGGAGTCTCGCTCGTCCTGAGAAGTACGACAACCCATTGAGAAATCCTAAGCAGTGCAAGATCATTGCGTGTAGCCGTTTCCTTGTTTCTTGCGTTGCTATAGCTTGTTAGCTTTATATGCCTCTCAGATTGTAAGCTTACCTCAGCTTGGAGCGTTTCTCAATTCCACGTACTGGAGCGATCATTCTGCTAAATCTCAACCATCTGGTCTTGGGTCTAAGTTACGCTGGATTAGCACACGCGACGAACTGTTGGGGGAAGGACACCAGCACCACTAGTATTCCTTCCTAGATCGACCGATATCTGCACAGATGATCTCGAAGCAGTCAGACAGGCAACACTATTCTAACATATGTTTCCTCTGTACATCTGGGCGCGACACCATTTGATTCAGCCCGGTCTGCCTCACAGTCATCGACTTATGGGCTCACACCAACGGTAAGCATGACTAGGCAAATGTATCTCCCATTCTAGTCCTTATTGGATTGACTATATCCGCTCCCAGGGAAGAATATAATACATTACGTGGATCATGGTAGATGGGCCTCTCAAGTGGTCGAGGACAGGAGGAGCAAGAGGCTAATGAATACCCAATGACTTCGCCCGCATTAATAGTATATTCGTTGGCCCGGTCATAGCGATGCTCATCGAATTGTTTGCTGATCGATTTAACGTGCTTCTCACAAGGGCGAGAGTTGCTGTCGGCAAGAGCGTAGGCATTGTGGCAGTGTATTTGGGAACTGACTTCCATTCGCAGTTTTCATGCCTATGTATCATGCCGATTAAGATCAAACTTCCCAACGGTACCAACCTAGGGTCGGTCGCAAAGCACTTACGAAGCTCTCTTAAATTACCTCTATCGGTCACAGAGAAGTTGAAGGCTTTCAAGAGGACGGAAACGGGTGCTAAAGTCAGTGAGAGTTGGGCTCACACCAAAGAGGCAGCGTATGATGCCTACATCAAGAATCCGGCATGTTATAGGGGAGGAGGTGGAAGTGTTCATACTAGAGGGAAGCCGGGTACTCCATCGTATTACCGAGCCATGCATCCTCAACGTATAACTTACCAGTAAGAAGGGCTACAGGTTGCATACTTCCTCGTAGCTCGTCGTCTTCAACTGACTGGTGGAATGAGCTGGATTCAGTTTGGCAGTGTAGGTCAATATGCACATGTATCGGTGACAATATGAGAGGGGAAATTCCTTTTGGTTTCTGTACATTTCCGTCCGATATGAACTTCTGTGATTAGCGAGGAAACTCCAGAGCTTAGTTGAGGAAAGCGAACAACAACACTGCGCGCGGCAGATTTGAACGAGTTGTTTGCTGACCTGTTGCTCATTGTGATTGCGGGTGCCAACCGTAGTAGCGAATTTGAAGGGCGATCGCCTAGAGTGTGATTCAGTATGCAGTTGGATCCTCTTCAGGCGACAGAGCATGATTGTTGGCGGGGTAACATTGGCAACGGCAGTAGTGCTCTTTCTGATGATCAAATATAGATTCAACGACCAGCATAGACAGAAGGAGTACGACGAGTTCCTCGCCAATCGATCGGCAATCCCGATGCCGCGTGGTCAGGCTAGAGGTGTCTCTGAGACCTTCTACAAAGACTCATGATAATTGTGGTTTCAGTGATTAAGAATAGAGCAGTGTTTCAGTAGTAGGCTCGGGGAGGAACTTCAAGCAAGCAAGGACAATCTGGTTAGACTTTGATAGCTTCCTTTCCTTTGTTGTGGGATGTCCTGAAGACTGGGCCTGTTTCATAGGAGCAAATTGCGCCTTAAACTTAGGTGACGCCTTAAGTATACCTTGAGTGATTGGGACATTCTATTTCACTACATAAGTAAGCACGTTAAGGCGCCTCAAGTTTAGGAGTACTTGAGTGGACCTCAAGTTAAGGAGCTCCTTAAGCTGCTTCTGAACGTTGTGAAATGAGTTGAGTACTTCTTAAGTATACCTTAAGTATATTAAGCCTTATAACCTATAAGTATAACCTAAGCCTATATTAACCTTAAGTACCTTAATATATATTCTTAAGTAACTCCTTAAGTTGCTCCTAAATTTGAGGCGCCTTGAATTAAGTCTCCTTGTGAAACAGGCCCACTATACGCGAACGAAATCCACTATACTGATACTGAAGCTACTATCAGTGTTGTATGCTCTCCCGAAGGATCTTTCACCGGCGACACTCTAGTCAGCGAATTTACCTAATGAATAGGTGGAGAGATCTAGCTATGTAGTTCAACCGCATCCTCTTCCTCTCTTAAGAGGTCTCATCCTATATGCGAGTCCACAAGGCAATATTACTCACTATGAACCCAATGATCTCGTAAGATAGATTCACAACCATGGTAGCAGTGATGAATTTAGCTTTTCAAAAGTATTCTGTACGTATCTTGGGGTTCTCGCAGAGGTCGATCTCTGCCGCTGCGACCGGTACTGGCCCACTTCCACCGTAGAGTTATGTAGGTTGAAATAAGTATAATACGTCCTGAAGAAGGGCATGCCGAGAGACACAGTGTCAGAGTCGGTAGGCTCAATGGCCAGCATGCGCCACAGACTCGAGTACGCTTCGGTGTAGTCCGCAGGGGGCAGCACCAAACAGGCCTCAGCACCCTCGTCACCAAGATCGAATTGGATGATCGGCATGTCCTTCAGGCGAGTATTGTGGACTAATCCCTCGTAACCTCCCGGGGAGTCCCCTGTCCTCTCCAGCATCCGAATGAACTTTGTAAAATGTTTCGCCGGAAGCCGAATAAGAGCGTCTCCAGTATCGAGTATTGCGGGTGAATTGTGAACTTCGATGAACATGGAATTCTCAGTCGCTACGCTTATCCTGCCAAGACGTACTTGATAGGGAGCTATTGACACTATAGGCTGCATCAGTTTGATGGACTTCATCGCGCCAACTTCACAAGAACCCTTCCCGCCGAGAGTCAGGATTCCATCGAGATGTGTCCCCTTCCCAGGAGTACACACACTGAATGACTTCTCATTGATTATTCTAGCTTCGTAGAGTTGAAAGACAAATGACTGAACTGCACCTGGGTGATAAGACTGGCCCAAACCGACAAGGCCATGGGGTTCTTCATCAGGCGATGCTGCGTTAAAACCAATGATGAGCCCGAAAGTTGCCTTGTGGAGCACTCGATCGCCCACCTTTATCGTTCCCTCATGCATGACGAAAATAACCTCAGTCTTATCACCAAAACCAACGCTGAATTTTCGAGAGGCTCGATGTAGGTCACAGTCATCCGGACAGGAATAGCATCCTGATGGCAGTGCCGCACAGCTTTTCCCGATATAAGTTTTCTCATACCACTCCTTGTACACAACGAACAAAACCTGACTGCCAGTGTCCACTGTCAAACGCTGTTTTTGACCGTCGAATTCCATCACAACAGAGCCACCCTCAATTGGGAGGTAGACTTCGGCATAGACCAGCCGCTGTATGAATATAATCACCGGAGTGAGAACTCTGGGGATTGATGACATGAAGTACGAGGATTGTGACGGATTCTCGTGTCTTCTTTGGTGAAGGTTGAGACAACAAAGTGACGAGACGGATGAGAGTACTTTACGTCTCGTCGTGTGGCGAGAGGCGCTTTGAATCGCACGGAGGAAAGCCTCCATCTCCCACTCGTTTTTCACGCGTTTTTGACTGGGTGAAAACTCAACCTTATAACAAGCAGAAACCAAACAGATGAATGATGTCAACAGACTAATTGCTCTTCCAGAATGCATAGCGGAATGTGAGACTGACCCTCGGACGGTGTTCCCTCTTTCGAGACGGCACACTGTGCTTCCACAGCTTTTGTGTGCTGCCTCCCATCACCAACAGCGACCCACTGCGCGGCGTTAGCTGCACCTACATGGACTCCCCTGGCTGCCGCATTAGCCACCCTAATGACAGTACCTTCTTCTTATCCCTCTTGGCGTCCAGGACAAAGTCTCGCTCGGCCCCAAGGGACACGCACGCAATTGATGGGTTCACTCCAAGGACTTTCTCATCGTCCGAGTGCAATCCAATACTATCAGACCCGTCCCGGTAGTAGTTAAGTACACAACAGTTGAACTCTTGTCCACATGCCTCACCCACGGCCTTCCTTAAGCGGTCTATAACGATCGGACCCCGCCTCCACGGTGAAGGTACCCTCAGGGGCCCTCCAGAGTATCTTACCGTAGTTCTACTCAACGAACTCGTATCAACCTACTACCTATACTGCTGTCCATCATCAGCATAGAAGGCAGTCAGCCTCCGTTCCAAATGCTCTTTTCCGAATATCTTAACTCTCCCTTGTTCCCACGGAACTTCATTTATCATTTCTTCCAATGCATCAGCAGGATTCTCCACAAATTTCGGCAGATACGTCAACCAGGACCCCTCGTGGTCCAGCGGCCATCGGTCTAACGCAGAATCGCCCCTTAACATTACACTCTCTTGCGGTCCTTTCCTGAGTCGTTTCGGCGCTGGAAGCTTCTCTATCGAATCATCACTGTCCTCAGAGCTAGAGCCCAGCTCTACCACCTCAGTCGCTGTGTTAGACATTTATACAGTCTACGATGAGACTCCACCCACTATAACGCGAGACGGCCGAGGTCAACTGCAATAATGATGACGGAGATGATGAAGAATTATGGTAATAGTCCAAAGAAGATGATGACATTAGTGATGACGTATAGTACCAAAATGCATTACTAATGTACCAGGTACTCAACAACAACAACAACCGTGAAATTTCTACAAAGAAAAAAGCAGGGTCGTTTGCCACTCCGATGGATAGCAAAGGTAAGAATGTGTACTTTCAAATGAAACTATCTCTACAATGAGACTGCAAAGGTAACGGCGGAAACATAGGGACTCTTTCGAGACCAATTCTCCGACGCCAGAGACCCGATCGAGACCACCCTGACTCGGGATCCATCTCCATCCTTAGGAACCCTATATCGCTGTTCAGAGGGGCCACCGTGCTAACCTTAATTTCGAGTTCGCCACTTCTCGGAGGCCAACTACTACGATTGTGAACTTCTGATGACCACCGTCTATCAGTACTTGTCTTGGAACTACTCCTCGGTTTACTACCGCCCGAATTTGCGCCCCTTCGACCTTGAGCCTTCTTAGAAGGAGTCTTGGCAGAGTTTTTCTTAGGCCGACCACGCTTCCTCCTTGTCGAGGTCTCGACCCCTGCGCTCTTGTCAGATACTACAGAACCCTCTCGGGCTTCTCGTATCCGCGAACTTCGACGCACTGCGCCCTCGAGGGCCCAGTCCGGCAAAGCCCCGTTCAGATTGGAGTCGATCTGAAAGCAGAAAAATCAACAACATCAACATGGGTATCGAAAACGGCATTGAGCTGCTCACATCGTCATCAGCATCGGTACTCGAAGTGAATTCATCTCGGAAACGTCGACGTCTCCGTTCACCAGGGTCACCGTCCGTGCTACTCTCAGTGGGAGACTGCAGCATGATGAAGATAAAAACAAACAAGGGGAGGGTACCTTCCGAGATCGTCCCCGAGGTCTACCCGACTTGGATTTCTCCGGCTTGGTCCGCTTCCTGACGAATTATCATTAACATGATCACATTCTTAATACGCTCGAGGAGTGATATAAAGTGAAAGCCGATACTACGATGTCAGATGGTCATCTCGGAGCTTTCCAGAGGAAACGGTGAGGATCTTCGGATGTAGTTCTTCCTCTAAACTGAGTGAATCGTCGATTGCGAATTTATTCCGAGTTGACCTGCCTTGCCACATGGAAAGTTCGTATCCAGACTTGCACTACCTTCTCTCAATGAGCAACTCTTCGTCATCAATGAGACCATTTCCACCACAGCTAAGCCCCGATGAACTCGATGGAGCTGAAGACGCCTCGGGCTGCCGGGGACGCTTCCGCTTAGCTTTCTCCGACTTCTTGTCCGATGAGAACGAAGTCTTCTTCTTTTTCTTCTCCTTACCGTGCTTATTCCGACCCTTTCTCGAGCTGCCCAACCTGCACGGTAAATGATGAGCAAAACCACATCCAAGTCCACCTACCGGTCATCGGCCCCAGGAGCAGTATCAGGGCGAGGCCTACGACGGTCTTGAGGAGGCCTGTCAGCCCTATGACCATCCTTAGAGCGTTGCTGTTGTTCCTTCTCTCGCTTCTCAGTCTCGGCGATCAAATTAATGTAATACATCATTATACGGTCCTCTGAAAGCCAATACCAACATTTTCCCAATTCACAGTTATATAGCGCTGCTGCTGTGAACCGTGACCGACGCCTACCCGAAGACGTCATTCCGAGTTGAAAGTGGATTCAAGCGGCAGTTGTGCGTGTCTCAAGACACACTATATGAAACAACTAAAACAGTGGAAACTCGCGTAGCGACTCCAACCGTGATACTAACAAACACGAGCCGGACAGGTGAGAGGAACAAGACCAGAGAAGTGGCATGAGCTGCATGGAAGTGACCTTCAGATTGGCTCACACAGTGCCATCATCCTTCTGCGCTCGAAAGTTGATGTGCGAGTGGTATCACTGAAAGGGCGGCAGAGTAGAGAATATTTATTTGAGAATAATGACAAAGAGTTCCCAACGTGTAGACCCTCCCCGAAATTCGATTTTTCCAAAAGTGAAGTGATGATGGAAAGATACCTTCGGATTAACTAGGCCTCGGCACTGTTCCCACAATGAACGAACGCTTACGAACAAACACAGCATGGAGGCTTGAAAAGTAAATCGATTATCAGGGCGCGCGCAGTTGCCAACGCCGCTGACCAACCTACGTTAGCTATTCTATACTTTGCAATGAAGTTCCTTTTACCTACACTTGCCTTGGTGGCAACCTCTGTCCTAGGGGCTAAGGACAGCAATGAAAACATTGACGGCCCCGTTATTGGTATTGATTTGGGTACTACCTACTCCTGTGTGGGAGTCTACAAAAACGGCCGTGTCGAGATTATCCCCAACGACCAAGGTAACCGCATTACCCCTTCCTACGTCTCCTTCTCGGATGACGATCGCTTTGTGGGCGAAGCCGCTAAAAACGAAGCTGCCGTGAACCCTCACAACACTGTGTTCGATGTTAAGAGGCTCATCGGTCGTCGTTTCAACGACAAGACCGTTCAGAAGGATAAGAAGTTGCTACCGTACAAGATTGTCAACAAGAATGATAAGCCTATTATTGAGGTCGAGACCAAGGGTGAGGAGAAGCACTTCAACCCTGAGGAGATCTCTGCTATGGTATTGGGTAAGATGAAGGAGACTGCCGAGAACTACCTGGGTAGCCAGGTTAAGAACGCTGTTATCACCGTACCAGCTTACTTCAATGATGCCCAAAGGCAAGCTACTAAGGATGCTGGTACCATCGCTGGGTTGAACGTCCTCCGTATCATCAACGAGCCCACGGCTGCAGCTATCGCTTACGGTCTTGATAAGAAGAACGAGGAGAACATTCTCGTGTATGACCTTGGTGGTGGTACTTTCGATGTGTCACTGCTGACTATTGATAATGGCGTGTTCGAGGTGGTTGCTACTGCTGGTGATACTCATCTTGGTGGTGAGGATTTCGATCAGCGTGTTATGGATCATTTTATCAAGATTTTCCAAAAGAAGAATCACAAGGATCTTCGCACTGACAAGCGTGCCTTGGCAAAGCTTCGTCGTGAGGTCGAGAAGGGCAAGCGCGCTCTCTCCTCGACTCACCAGGTCCGCATTGAGATCGAGAACATCATGGATGGCATTGATTTCTCTGAGACTCTATCTCGTGCTCGTTTCGAGGAGCTCAATGCTGATTTGTTCAAGAACACTCTAGGTCCCGTAAAGTCTGTCCTTTCCGATGCCGGCATGAGCAAGAGTGATATCGACGAGGTTGTTCTCGTCGGTGGCTCTACTCGTATCCCCAAGATTCAATCCCTTATTAAGGACTACTTCAATGGCAAGGAGCCCAACCGTGGCATCAACCCCGATGAGGCTGTTGCTTATGGTGCTTCTGTCCAGGGTGGCATCTTGAAGGGCGAGGCTGGTCAGGATCTTCTGCTATTAGACGTGACTCCTCTTACCCTTGGTATCGAGACTGTTGGCGGTGTCATGACCAAGATCATCGGTCGCAACACCGTTATCCCGACGAAGAAGTCCCAGACCTTCTCCACCTACCAAGATAACCAGCCTGCTGTCAGCATCCAAGTCTTCGAGGGTGAGCGTCCTCTTACCAAGGATAACCATCAGCTTGGCAAGTTCGAGCTTTCGGGCATTCCTCCGGCTCCCCGTGGGCAGCCTCAGATCGAAGTCACTTTCGAGATTGATGCTAATGGTATTCTCAACGTCAAGGCTGAGGATAAGGGTACTGGAAAGTCTGAGAAGATTACCATTACTAACGATAAGGGTCGTCTCAGCGAGGATGAGATTGAGTCTATGATCAAGGATGCCGAGAAGTACGCTGAAGAGGATAAGAAGGTGAAGGAGCGTTTGGATGCCAGAAACGCTTTCGATGGCTACCTACGAGCAATGCGCTCTGCCGTCGAGGGCAGTGGCTCCTTCAAGGGTCTCGGTGATAAGATGGACGAGGACGAGAAGAACGAGGTTCTCGATGCTGTTAGTGATGGTGAGGAGTGGCTCCAGGCTAACGGTGAGACGGCTGAGCCTGATGAGATCAAGGATCAGCAGAAGGAGGTTGAAGGTGTTTGCGCTCCTATTGTTTCCAAATACTACAACGCTGGTGCTGCCGACGAGGAGGATGAGGACGATGACGATTACTACGATTCTCCTGATGAGTTGTAGAGTGTGTTTATCTGTGTTTCTTCATCCAAACACTGTTTTTCTACTGGTTCCTTTTCGTGCTTAATATCGCAGCGCGCCTCGCGTTGAGTGCACACGTCCTAACTGATTGAATAGCCAGTCTCGAATGATGAAAAGTGTCTAAATTGGAATTCCTCGTTTCAGTCAGAGCATCTCGCTCGATGCTGATTGAGTACACACCATTCTGACGAGATATACTGGTAGAAGCATCGATGATGAAACGTGTCTAAATTGGAATTCCTCGTTTCGGCCAGGCCTTGGTCGATGCCGATCTTAACACACTGTCTGAGATGCATTAATGATCCCGATATTTGGGTGAAAGTCAGAGGAGAGAAAACAATTGGTTGTCTATGATGATACGTGTCTAATTTGGAATTCCTCGTTTCGGTTAAGGTTACCCTAATGCCGATTTTTTACACACTATCTGAGACAACGCCTTTTCACAGAGGAACGCGACTAGTAAAGAATCTCGCGGAAAAGGATATTATGCGAGCGTTGATGTCACACATCCAATAGCAAACTTTCACAGAGTTCCTGTTAGTGAGCCGCAAGTGTAAAAAAATTTCGACCTTGCTGACCAATTTAAACCTACTGGGAGGAACTCTAGGGAGGAGCCACATTCATGGGCCAACATGGCCACCATTGAAGGATTATCTCAAAACGTTTTTCCCTGGGACATGTTAGTCTTCGGACATCAACCCTTTCACTGATTGTGGTACGTTTCGGCATTCCTGCGTAGTTCAGTGTGTTAGAACTAAGAAAGTTGTACAAGATGTGACCAGCCATCACAGGCTCACCAAGCGTCCCCTTCTTATTCTCCGTCCAGACTCATTCCCTTAGGCCGTTCTGGCATGACGGTTGTGATTATACGATACGAAAAATGACAGGTCGCAGCACAGAATCACTGACCAAGTTCACTTAGGGCTCCATTACTCCCCAGACACGTTCTGCTATTCACAAGGTTCTCCTGAACAATTTCCCTTGCTATCCATTACCCACAGTTGACTCGCAATCTCAAAGCAAGGAAGTGACGGAAACAGCAGTCAGAAAGATATGTCATGAATTAGCTATACTAGGGCGTCCATAAAGAACTTCTCTAAGGTAAGCATGTTGTGCATGCTTATGAGTAGGCCAACTGTCCCATCTAATATGCCGTACATCGTACCCGAGATGAGTTAACAGCCGATGCTTCAGCTCAGTCGTGACCGTCGGGCGCTCAGACCTAAAGTATGTCTTCATTCCTTCAAACGTGTCTTCACCGATACCCGTTGATGAAATGCCGTGGCCCATCAATCTCAAGCAACTTCCTCGAGCCCGAGATGGCGATATCGATCACATAGGGCTGCTGTAGCGCTACCTAAGGACTAATCAAAGACCATCGAGAAGACCGGCATACCTCCAAAGTGTGCGACACTCCCAGATCCGTAAGCTCCCGAGAGACCACTAAGTGCTGCTGCGAGGACATTGCCGGGAGCGCATCATACTGATTGTTGACCCGAAGCTGATCAAAACAACATCGTTATAGCCGCAAACAGTTCGTCTACATTTACCTGGGAGACTACAGCCAAGAAGTCTCGCGATTTATCGCTCAACTCACACCATAAGAATGGCCGCTCTAGTCTGATATGCAGCTCGATAACACAGAGATTGATCTGGCAATACGTGTCCAACGCCGACGGGCTAACGCCAGAATGAGCCAAGTACTCGAGGACACTACGAAGCAGGGCCTCCTTGAGCTCAGCGAGGGCGAGTCGACGCTCGCTAGGGCGATGCCGACACACCAATGATAACATGAGATGGTTGAGAGTGTCCACCAGAGGCTTCGACGGCCGAGATGGCCATTTATTCATCTCTGCTGCTACGGCACTCATCATCTCGTGAAATCGAGGGTGTTCCTCTAGGTCGAGTTTAGTGCAAATTTGCAGCAAAACCGCTAAGCGGAATGCGCAGACTTCCCCCTGTAGTTCATGAATAGCAGCGGCCTCCACCAAGGTACCAAGGATTTCCCGATCAATGCAAACACTGAGGTTTCCCATGATACCGAGAAGAGCCCGAATCGCATCAAATTGGTTGTCGTCACCACCAAGCAGCATAACCCGTCGCGCCAGACTCGCCGCCAAGTCGTTACTAAAGATGCCGACCCTCTTATAGGCGCCACAGAGAGCAATGATTTGATACGACCGCATTTGCCCAGTTCTATTCACTAAGGCAGGGAATGCATTCTCGAATATGTCCTGCATGCCAGTCTCGTGTTCACGCACGCCCAAGTTGGCCAGTGTGCTGAGAAGCCTCGCAATATCGCGCCCGTTGGCTTGGTCCAGCAAGTCTTCCTGCCGGATTAGAACACGCCGAGCCAATTCCCGAGCGCCCTCCTTATCATCGTTCTGAGCAAATGCGAATACCAGCCGCACAATATCAGGAACCGGTAAGCGCAGAATATTGCGGGAGACCCAATCTCGGCAGGTGGTGAAGTACTGGTCGGATTTGCTTCTCTCTGATACTTGCATGAACGCAGTTTCACTCATGGCCTTCATCGGGCACTTCCTGGAGGCTCCTTCGAACTGTTCACGATGTGCTGGGATAAGGCAACACAAGCCAGGCCAGCACGCTGCTGCCTTTGCTCCTACTGGGACAGCTGCATGCCGACACAGCGACACAACGGACATCAACAACAACAACAACGACAATCACGCGATAATGATGCTGCGATATCACTCAACAACTCTCATCAGAAAGTTAACAAGATTCTGAATAGTGTAGTGTACAGAAACAGGGCTCATTTCTCGCCGCCCGAGAAAGCACTTCCAGCAGCGTAAGGAAGTTCGACTATGATTATGTCGTGAATCGATCTGGAACTGCATATGGCTTTCTCAGACATCTACCGAGCCCAGTGTGGGAGAATGTGCACATGGTCAACCACATGTGTTTGTGAGAAAATGAAAATTCTGAGGAAGATTCTCATTGGCTTGTGTACTCTTCTACCTAAGCTCAGCTGAGCGGAGTGAACATATATTCCAACACCCATCTCTAGAAGAAGACGATGATTTCAAGAGGCTCGACTGATCGACGTTCTTCCAACAGAGAATACATCTGCTGCGACTCACACGTTTGTACGCATTCATCACCCTACAAGATCGGATGACCTCATAGACACCTGCGAACTACTTGGTGTATGTTAACTTCGCAGCACACTTTCCAACATCGTTATATAGGAACTCATCTTACGTAATTTGAAATTACATAAGATGTTGAAAAGTGATGTCGAAATGACTTGTTTCTAAATCTGTGACCCTAGCCCTCCGCTGACCCTCCGATAACTAAACTCGATACACAGCATGGGCTATAGGAAAACAGGCCATATACTGGTAGTAAGGAACTATCACACACCCGATCACACAGGCGTGCCCCAATGGGACAACAATAGAAAAAAGTATAACATATTCACAACGGGTCAAGGCAGTACTAAAGTATCGCTTTTACCAAGGGCGCGCCAGTATCTAATCACACACAACTCCTATGCCTCTTGAATTCTCGATCATAATGGAATGCATTCCACGAAAATCACAGCTCACCCGATACTGAACTGCCCATGCCCCTCGCCGCGAGAGTGCCCTCATGACAAGCCTGTGTCACCGGGCTAGAAGTAGCGGTCGAAGGTGCCTCAACAATCTTCTTATCATTTTTCCCCACTATACTCTCTGACAGCGGCTCGGCAATAGTCTCCTCAACTTGCCGCGGATCTGCTGAGTCCTGGCCAGCTTCTTGCGGGTCAACTGCGACTGTAGTGAACTTCTGAGACACCTTCAGCAGAATTGACAATCGTGACAAGCTCATAGGCCCCCACCTGATTCCTGAGCGCCCGCAGTTCCTCCTCAGTATCCCACTTGTCCTCCAACGCCTACAACAGTAACACAACAGTAACATGAGCAACTACGGCTGAGAACAGCAGAACTTTGTTCAGATGCGTCCATAACTCATCGTGTTGTTGTTGGAGTTCCTTCAGTTCCTGTCGAAGTCTATCGGTTGCCTAAATCGGAAACCTCCAAACACGCATAGACTACCGTAGCACTCGTGATATGGCTGTTCGCCTATACAGTGTTATACGAAGTAATATTTTCAACTTCGAAAGACAACTTTGAGTAACATCAACAAGATAACAATGCGAATCGATTGACAACGTTGCAGAAGCGTTCCGTAGTCTATATTCCCTAATTGGAGGAAGCCATCTCGAAGATCTAGATATGCATAACTGTTTGGTTCACACTGTACGAGCCACGTATTAAATTGAACAACACTATAGTGACTGCCAACAATAACCTTGCAGTGTGGGAAGTATGCACATAGTCAACTACATATGTATGTTGGTGAAAATATGAAAATTCTGAGGAAATTTCCTGAAAGTCTTATTGGTTTCCATATACTTCTACTCCAATTCATATGTAAATTTCCATGATAAGTGAGGAAACTGCATTCAAACATTGTAAGGAAAGCGAACATATACACCAATAATGTGAGCAAAGCGAACATATATTCCAATACTGTGAAGCAAGCGAACTTATTTCCCAACACTGTGGGAAGAGCGAGCATATACCCCAACACTGCTATCCCCTGTCCCTTTCCCGCCCCTACCTCAGTGGAGTCCTCTCCAACACTACCCTTCTGATGCTCCTTAAGATCAGCCCTCAGTCCAGACAACTCCACCTCCCTAATAGACCCACTCACTCGCCTCCCATCAAGACTACTCCACGTACCGACTCCTCAACTGCCGTTTCAACTCTACATTCTCCTGAGCCAAGGCTTGGATAACTCCTAAGACGGCTCCCTTCAAAAAGAACCTAAAATTCTTCAGCCTACCACGTGATGACTCCGAAGAGCCTCCATCATTTCTTCCTTCCCAATCTTCAACTTTTCGCCTCAACTCGGCGTTCTCCGTCTCCAGTCGCTCCACTTTTCGCGACAGCTCCTCAAGCTTCTGTTTTTCCTCCTCAGAGCCTACAGTATGAAAAAGACTACTAGAAAATATATTTTACAATTCACTTCGCGGGAAACAATAGTTTCATCGTAGACGGTGTAAGGAAATGTTGAACACAATGATCTCCTGTAATTTTAGATTCTTGTGATACTTGTCTCCCTTGCTGGCCTAGCGTATATTTTATGACTACTGTATTGATCATAAGTTGAGAACCACTTGTTAATAACTCTTGTTGATACATGGAGTATTACACCACTTCACGTTGAACGGGTGAAACTCCAAACCCCACCACGCACTCCTACCAGCATTCAGCAGCTCTTCATCTCCACCAGGAGTCGGCAGGCTGGACTGCTCCTGAAAATCATCCACCTGCTTCTGGAGCTTCTCGACTTCTTGACAGAGATCGTCGCGTTCCTAAAAATAACAAGTTTGATTTCTAATCTCTAACTCTCCTCAGCTCACCAGTGTTGGAATATATGTACGCTCTCCTCAGCTAAGTTCAGGAGTTTCCTCATTAATTATAGGAGTTTACATACAAATTCGGGTAGAAGTGTACAGAAACCAATGAAAATTTCCTCAGAATTTCCGCTAAAGTCATATACGCATGTAGTTGACCATGTGCATATTTCCCCTCACCGCAGCTCACTTCAATGACAGCATCCATCTCATTCTGCATCTCCTCATTCGTGTTCAACAACGCAACATATGCCTCAGCGGGATCCGTACCGTACCTGCGACAACTCGCATACTATCACAAGAAATCGGTGTGGGAAAATACACACATGGTCAACTACATGTGTAGGGGACATTTGAGAAAATTCTGAGGAAAATTTAGGAAACTCTCATTGGTTTCTGTACACTTCTACCCGAATTTGTATGTAGACTTCTATAATTAGTGAGGAAACTCCTGAACTTAGCTGAGGAAAGCAAACATATATCCCAACACTGCCTGAAATAGTAAATTCTGGTCAGTCTAAGAAAGCCGACTACATGTGTCGGTGACGAAACGAAAATTTTGAGGAAATTTCTGGAATTTCTTGTTGGTTTTTCGTATATTTCTACCGTAATTCGCATATCAACTCCCATAATCAGTGAGGAAACATATATTCCAATACTTCCCCTCAAAATGACATTCAGCCTGCTTCTCACAGTGGCCTACATTTTCCTCACAAGTTTCATCAGCTCCTCCTCCTTCTGTTTGGATCCATCCCTTTCTGTCAACAGTTTCTTCTCAAGTGCCAGCTTCCTGTCCAGATCCTCCTGGAGATACCTAAACTCTCCAATGACCAACCACGACTTCATCTCAGGAAGAGGCGCCGCCTTATTTCGTACGACGGTCACATGGGCGCATGCCTTCGATCAAGTAGATGTCCATACCGAGTGTACCCTTATATTAGTATTTCTGCGATTAAGGCGATATATTCGCGCGAATGGTAGACAGTTTCATCAAGACTACTGGCGGACTGCGTCGAGCTATCAGTCTGAGCAGGGCTATGTCGTCGAGAGGGCAATAGGCCCTGCCGCGCCCGAAAAAGGAAAGGTGTTTCAAAACCTCATGAGCACCTCCCTAGGAGAGTTTATGACCTAAATCTCGCAAAAATTCAGCCAGCGTCATCATAAATACGAAATTGAATCCTTTTCGTGGTGCGTGAAGGAAGAGATGACCGACCTCTGTGTACTCAAAAGTGCTCACGAGGTTTCGAAACACCCTGTACGTAGAAAAAAGCCTCTCCAAAACTAGAGCCCTACAGACTAACGTATTACGCTATATCATTTCGCATGGTTTCCATATCAGCATACGCCGCGCGGAGCTCTTCCTTGCTATTCGTCAACTAAAACAGCTCCGAGTATCCAAAATCGATCGCCCCAAAACACTTCCTACTTCCCGCTGGACTCTAACCGCCTTTTTCAAATACCGTTTCACTTTCCGTAGGAGTAAGCGTATCACCACAGGATCCGACCAGTCAGCCCCGTCCATCGCTGATAGGAGCTCCGAACTCTGTCCCCATACCACACCTCGCGCAACTTCTCTAACCCTTTCCTGCCTACCTCATCCACACTAGGAGGAGCTGCCGTATAGCTACTACACTCATCACTAGAAGCAAGCTGGTCATAGTACCGCTCCATCGCTGGATCCTGTACTGGCAAAAACACTTGCGGACTTCCTTCCGACTCCCCAGAAGGTGCAGCCTCGAGAGCCTGGCTAGGCATCATAGGAAAACCAAAGCACAACCTTATCCCATACCACACCATCTCCACTTCAACGCAAGTCATGTCCGACTAATCATGAATCAGACTGCTCACAGTGGTTCCCGACCATACACCCAACATATACGCATACGAGCACCCAAGCTGCTGAACAGACAAGGTCGAGACCCAGTCTTCAGGAGCCTGTCGATATCTGCGGTAGATTCGGATTTCCACACTCCACAGTATCGGAAAATACACATGCTCAACTACATGTGTTAATGACAATATGGAAATTCAGGAAAAAATATCGGGAAATTCTACTTGGTTTCCATACACTTCTACCCGAATCTATATGAAAATTCCTATAATCAGTGAGGACACTCCTAAACTGATCAGAGGAAAGCCAACATACTTCCGAATTCATAGGGAGCTCGTCTTACCCCTGTAAGTGAAGTAACCAACCATTACTCTATTCAGACTAACGCAACCAGTGTTGTAATATATGATCGCTTTCCTCAGTTGACCCTAGGAGTTTCCTCACTAACTATAGGAGTCCATATACAAACTAGGGTAGAAATGTACAGAAACCCGCAAAAATTTCGGAAATTTTCCTCAGAATTTCCATATTGTCACCAAACATATGTGGTCAACCATGAGCATATTTTCCCACACTGAACGCAGCACGCCTTGGGAAACGACGATAATATTACTACTACCTAGAATAACGTCCTCAGAGGGCAAGCAGGGAATGTACAGAATGAGCTCATAATAACACAATAGTCAACGATGATACAACATATTACTCAATTGCAGAGCAGAAGAAGGAGAGATAATAGTAATTCCAAAGACAGCTAAAACCAGCTGGCATTGCTTCGCTCCGCTAGGCAGTGGTATTATTTTCAGAACAGTCAAGATGGAGTGAATCGATAACTCACAAATGGTCGTAATAAATAGTAACCATCAACATCATCTTGAGACTGCCCCAATGCCCTCTTCATAGAAAACTCGCTTATAAAATGATTATAACAGATTACAGTCAACAGCAGTTAGACGTACGTCCGTCACACTTCGGCACTTTGCCAGGCAAAACCGACCGGAGCGAATCCGTATCCAGCCATGATCAACCTAAGATACGCAAAGATACCCTCCAGACAAGCACCCGTGTCACCACTTCTTCTCTGCTGCGGCCTTGTGCTGAGCCTCTCTTGCTTTGTGTCGAGATTCTCGACAAGCCTGGATCCACTTCACTGTCTCCCTTGCCAAATCCTCCACATCCATATCACGCAAAGTGCTCTTGAAAGTGGTCACCACCATCTCCTGATGAACCTCCATAGGCAACGCCTTGACCTAAGCCAGCATTTCCAACCTAAGCAAGCCCAGTATATAGGCTCCCTACCTTCTGGTTCTCCGGTGTGTCCACCTTATCACTTAGCTGCCCTATAGAAGGCTTCTCCTGTGTAAGGCAGCCCTCCATCTTGGAATACGCCAGAGATATCGATGCCAGCATTGCTGCTAGTACTGCATCATTACCTACTATCAGCCATACCACACCTCTCTCACTTCCTATCGATGTACTACCATCAAGAAGGAAGATATCCCACAGTCTAGCCGGAGGCATCGACAACGACTTCGACCATAAGCACAGCATAGGCTCCGCACACAACTTGATCATCAACAACAACAGTCGGCGTCTCATACATTACGATACCACACCTCACCCAAAGTCTGGAAATCTCGAGCCTATCCAGAAGCTGCTTTACATCAGGGAAATGCTCTCCCAACAGTTCATCCAGCCTCGTGATATCTCTCAAGAACCTGAACTCACTTCGGTACAGTCGCGACACCGTAATCCAGCACATACCCTCTGAGGTTCTTCTTATCATAGTAGTCCTTATTAATACCCTCAACGAATGCTGCTAACACTAGATATACCGTCTCATCGTCCAAGCCCGGTAGCGGGATGGATAGCAGAGCATTAACGATGAAGTTCATTCCTTGGCAGTAGCCCACCGAAGGACTGACAACAACTTCTCCAAGCTTATCACCGCTGTTCTTACTTCCTCAATGCATACGCCATCAGCAAGTCCCGCATTCTATCGATCCGATCAGGCGGTATTCCACCTGCCGTCCTGGGCAGGTCCATCTCAATCTGATGCTTAATCTTGGAGTCCAGTGAGGCCTCATTGTCGAGCATTGCCAGAGCCTTCGGATAAGTCAGTTTGCAGACCGAATCTGACAAGACGGTAGTCACAAAGAGTGCGCATCACTTCCCTACGATGAAGCCTTTCGTGAGCCCATGTTCTCCACAACGTAGGCCTGTACTCAACGGGAACCCCATACGAATGTACAAGAGGTCGAAGCTCCGACCGATGTACCTACTTTTATTGGAATAGCTAAAGTCCAGGGAGGAAAGGCAGCATAGACTCAAAATGTTTAGCGGACACGCTACAGGACACAGTGTTGGAATATATGTTTGGTTTCCTCGGCTGGGCTCGGGAGTTTCCTCGCTAATTATAGGAGTTTATATACAAAGTCGGGTAGAGTTGTACAGAAATCAATACTAATTCCCCAGAATTTCCTCAAAGTTTTCATACCGTCACCAACACATGTAGTTCACCATTTGCATACTTTCCCACATCGACAAGACCAGTGTTGTAATACATGATCGCTTTCCTCAGTTGACCCTGGGAGTTTCCTCACTAACTATAGGAGTTCATATACAAACTAGGGTAGAAATGTCCAGGAACCCGCAAGAATTTCCTCAGAATTTCCATATTGTCACCAACATATGTGGTGCACCATGTGCATATTTTCCCACACTGACAGGGCAGTACTACTTCTTCCAAGGGTCGGCCTGCAACCACCTTCTCCCACTGGCTCAGCATGTTCAATTCATCTGCACTAGGTAGCAAGGACCATGCCCCACTGGATGGGACCGCTTTCGCCACTCCTTTCGAATCCACGTCACTCAGAGACTGGTTCATCAACTGGGAAAGGAGAAGAACAGTTACATCGACGATGGTGATCGACGAGTTGTCTTACCGCTAGAGGGTGTCGGTCTACTATGAGCTTGAAGAGGCTCTCGCCACTGAGGTCAACAAGGTTCCAGTCTGCGCTGACGACGCTGGGTGGCCGAGACGTGGAGTCAACAGAGGAGTCCTGGGCGCGGTCAGAGCACTGAGTGGCAGCTGAAACACGAACGATGTGGGTGGTAGAATGCGTCACACGAGTGCTAGACTGCAAAGAACTGAATCCCGAGTAGTACCACGCTCCCGCCTCTTCTCGACGTTCTCGTGTTCTTCCTCCTTGTCAACCGTCGATGAGGTGTCCACTTTGTCATCGTTGACGGTGTCATCAGTCGGATCGTCGGGTCCGAATAGGTAGTCTGGAATGGCCTTAAGCTTGTCTAATATAACGGCCATAATAAACTTAAAACGCTACGAGAATAATGGCAGAACGATGTTCAAACGATTATGCGTGGAGAAAGTCCCGAGGAGTTTGAGCGTTTTTACACGCGTTAAAACGACGCATGCCGAACAACATTCTGCGCAGGTATATCTTTGACATTCCCGTACGCATAGTGGGAGGCATGGTTCCGGTGCTCCAGCTTCAGACGAGAATGAGTCGCTGAGGAGTGGTCATCCTTCGTATACGGCGGGGCCTTTGGCCGGGCCGGCGGGATACCACAGGTGTTGATTCGGTCGACCTACGCTCATGTAGGAGCACTTGTCAGACATTCAGGGTTACCCCGTTAAAGGAGGAGCGGTCAGATACTGTATTGGTAAGAGCCTTTGACGACCACGGAAGGTTGAAGAGTGTTGGGCAGATGGGCCCTAAGGTAGAGCAAATTCAAATTTCCAGTCATTGGGGCAAACTAAGGTAGGTTGTGGAGGATGTGACCGTGGAGTGGTACCATTTGGAGTATATCACAGCTAGAAGGCCGTCTATCAGCAGCAGCGTTCTCGGTATCGTCCTGGGGCTTCCCAGTCTCAACTTCGTGTCAAGATAACAACCGCTCTATACGAGTAATGACCGGCCAGGAAAGGTAGCTGAGTACTAAACTACTACCTTCTGGCTTTAAAATACCATCAACAAGAGGGCTGATGTCAATTCTAATGCATCCGGAGTCCGGACTCCTCCCCTGCACATTGAGGAGAATGAGCGGAAAATATGCGAACACTCGACTAACAAACGGTTTCAACCAGAGTCGGTCTATAAGACCTTTGTTACTATTTTCTGTCCCATTCAGCGTCGTTATATTGCTTTTATTATAGAGCAGTTTACTCCGTTCGTTTCGCGTCCTAGGGTTATTGATTTCCTCCTGATGCCAGCCCAGGTCCTGAGCAGTGCTGTCAACAGATCTCTCTCGTGGTTGGGAGATTACCTACCGGTCAAGACTGCACGAGAGAAGTTCCCATTTGTCATTGAGTTTACTCGACCCTGGGTGATCCGAGTGGATTCTTGTCTAGATGGAGTTTTAGATGCAGGCAGCAAACTGTTCAAAGTGACCTGGGCTACCTGGGAGTTTTGGTGACAATTTTCCTCAGAACATTCATAGTAACTTGGGCGTGATGATGACGTTCATTGAACGAATCAGAGAGGCTATTTCTGTCAATAAGCAGATCGTGCAGTCTAGGATCACAGGGCTGGTTGAGGACTGTCGCCGTCTGCTGATTCGTCTGCAGGAGACGACATTAGACACTTTTAAGGTAAGTTAGAAATACCCTCTAGGCTCATGTGTGAACTGATCTAGGTCGCCTCTGCTACTTTCGAGAGCATTCCCTGCTATCTCGATATTAACGTCCATGTCGTCTTCAATCCCGACAATCGTCTCATCGGTGGGGTTATCCGTGCCAAGGAGAAGCTCATTACGATCACCACCAGGGGTAGGCTAGAAGAGAGATCGCATGTCAACCATTGAGAATATGCAGGTCTCGACAAGACCATTGGGGAGAATCGTCGTAAAGTCGTCATTGAACGTGGCACAGAAGTCTGCCATGTTCTTATGGACTACGCCAAGGGATTTTTGCCGACCCTAGGGGGTCCCTCGACTTCTGCTGAGGGCCGCTAAGGGTCTATTCCACATATGAATGAGTAACTAGTGTTATACAGCTATTCATCAGTTGCTGTACTTCCCTTTTTTCCTATCGTTATCATTATATTCAGCAGATTCCACAGCTTTCAGCTCTTCCTAATGTTCCCATTCATTTTGAGGCAATTCCAACAGGATGCGCGAACCGATTTTACACAGAGCTCAGCTGTTTCTGATATTCTGCTCATGCCAGTAGTCGTAGATGGTCCAAGCGTGAACTCGATGAGTGTGTTGTGTTGCACTACAGCATGACGGATGGGAGTGATGCCATTGACGAGGCAATTGATAATGGTGATGGACTTTCCAGGGAGGGGTTTTATGGTCGGGGTAGCAGATGTTCGTGTCAGCTGTATTAACGGAGTTTCACCCGCTTTACGTGGAGTGGCGTAAAACTCGGTGAAAAACGCGATATTCGCGGTATGCAGTAGTCGTGAAATATGTTTTTCACAAGTGTTTTTCATATCACTAGGGTGAAACTCTAATGTAGTATTCCCGACTAGCGTTCGATCTGTTATTCCGCAGGGACGTCGTATTGGTGAATCGGTGAAGTTGTATAAGCAATTTTTCCGTATGATGCTCCAAGAAGTGGGGAGGCGAGTTCATTGAATTGCTGAATTCATTCGTGCCCTTGGTAGACAGGGGAATCCACAGGAGATAGTGTAGAATTTGATGACGAGTGTTTCGAAAAATATCTAAAACCGTGTTTCTCGATTAGAAATGGGAGTTGTTTAATAACTCTTATACGTTAGAAAGCCCTATCAAATTTTTAATGAGCCCGGTTTCGCCCGGATATTCACATTTGGCGTGATTTAGATCAGCCCTGGACTGTGGAAGTAGCGCTATTGCTGTGGTCAATGCTCTGTAGGATCTCCGGTTTGTTTATTGTCTTGCTCTGGCTCAGCTTGTTTTCCCAAGATGTTTGCGGCATCGCCAATGGCAATATCGTCAGCTTCTGACGACTCTTCGTCGACCTCATCGACACAGCGTATGGAGGCGGCTGATCGGAGATCCTACCTCCAGGAGCTGCCGCGAGAGGTCCTTCGAGTTCAAGCAGACGAGTTGAATGTGCCACAGGACGCTACAGTAGCGCAAATGGTCACTGCTATTCTGCAAGCACAGGACATAGAGCACGACCGGGTAGTAGCTCTGAGGTTGGCTGCGGCCTTAGGGGAAACCGATCAAGAATTTGTACGCCCTGTGAGCCGGCCGGCGTTCCTGAGTGTAGACAGTGAGAACGCGACGGCAGAGGAGACCAGGCCGGCCGCCTCGCTCGACAGGAGTGACTCAGAGGCTTCCTTCTTGAGCGCTAGGGAGTTCCCTTTACCGAGCGGAAGCAGTGATGACTCCAGATCGACGTCGGATCGGGTGAATGATAGTGCTAGCGAGTCCAGTGGAGGTGGGCCTCACATAAGGAACAGCTTGCGTGCTGTTGTTGGTGCTGTCGGGCATACACTGGTTCAAGGCGTGATGGCTACACTATCAGGCGCCGCATCTGAGGAAGGTGACAGTATGGACGACTCGCCGTTGGCCGCGATAATAGCGGCTCAGGGCGGACCGGCTGCCGGTGCGACTGAGGGGGAAATTGCCGCGCTTACTATACAGTCTACGTGTAAGGAGGCACGGGGCAACTGTGCAGTGTGTATGGATAGTCTCAAGAAGGGGGAGATGTTGAGGACTTTGCCCTGCATGCATCGCTATCATGCCGCATGCATAGATGAGTGGCTGAAGAGCAGTCCGACTTGCCCAGTATGTAAGACGTCGATCCTGATGGGAATTTACGAGGGGACGATGCCCAGTGGTAGTGGTGACAGCGATCGTCCGCGTCACCGTCGCATGAGGTGGAGTTCTCGTGACTGAGCGCAGTATATTTACTTGTTTAATTTCCCATTTTTCTGAATGCTCCTTTTCTGAGCCTGAGTTGGACGAGTTGTGGTATCGCAGTTTTGGGTCGCCCTACAGCGTTATTGTTGATGATTATCATCTATGACTTTAGCTTTTGCATGCTGATTCGCAGTGACTCCATGCAAGTGGCCATGAGGACGGCTTGTGGGAGATCTCAATGGAGGGTGAATTTACGATAAGGGTGAGAGCTCGCCTTGTGGGACAGTCGGGAGCTGACGTATCTACCCTGTTCACAGGAACGGGACGAGGGGCTGCTTGTCGCATGTGTAACAATGAGGGGAATATTTTAGTTCTCTATTGGTACCTGGGTTGTCTTCTTCTTTGTATGTAGCAATAGAGCTAATATGGTGACGGGCTGTGAGCAGTATCTGGAAATCATAGTAGTCTGTGCTTTTCTGCTATAGCGAGAATGAAAGTTCACGGCACAAAGAGTTCGTCCGATGCATAGTTTTATGCATAGTTCATAGGGAGATGCTTTTATTAGTGACCCCGTGGCACGTGTTATTCAGAGTAGGAGCTCAGATGAGGAGAAATTGTGTGTTTATTCCACACCTGCAACTTGTTGGTATGCAGCTTGCCCCGGCAGAGACTGTGGTTGACTTGATGGCGACTTTCGGAATAGGTGATTATGAATTACACCTTGTTGGCGACATCTCTCTCTGGCTGCGATGGAGTTGACTATCGACTCGATCATTCGAAAGGTAGTAGCGGTGCTCGTCGATCAGTAGGTTATTTGTCTTACCGCTCTTTCTTCACATCGTGGCGCTCAGCGCTGTCCCTCCCAGTGTGAGTCCACCTTGAGGGGCATGGACTGGCTCCTTCTACATCTAAATATTGCCGGCCATGACGACCGTACTCCTACTTTTCCGTTTTTGCGATAACCGTGAGCTCTAAGTTGATCTTTAGCGAGGCTTTAAGTAGTACTGGGAAGCTGCTTGAGACGTAGTTGTGAATTCACGAGCGCACCTCCCTCGGGAGCCCGAATGCATTCGAAAATATATACTCGAAAAGATAGGGTGCTCGAGCACAGTGAAACGTCTGTGCTAACCTGAATAGAGTCTTTGCAGGGGGGCTTCCCTTGAGCTAAGCTGAGAAATGACAAGTCGGAAATCTGGCGGTGCAGGTGCGCTCGCGACGAGCGAAGGGCGATGTGTGTTAGCATGGAAAATCCAGGGACGACGGGTCAGCGACGTTAGTCCTAGTGTTGAGACTCCCTCGGAGCGAGATCGACATGGACAGCAGGAGGCGAGCGAAAAATACATCGTCGCCGACGATTGCTATGCTCACATGTATGTATCTTGATGATTTCAGTGACTGATTCCGTGTCGTGCTCAGTGGATGCAGGGGGTCGGGCATTTTTTCCGCAGGGGGGGGGGCGACTATCAGAACTTTTGCATTCTGTGTTCAGCCTCATTGGGACGACTGCGTCTGGGTTTCTCACAGAAAACAGATCTTCAGTTGAGGTAAACGATCAGTTGAATTCTACTGTATGCCACGGGGCTCCGGTGGTGGTAGTGCATCTACAATAGCAGAGCCTGTTCGGGCGTTGACGTACCATGAGAATCCACATAAGAGAGGCACGCAAGTGACAGTACTCATACCGGCGTTCATGGCAAAGGTTGATAAGACTGTTCCACTGGTGAGTCCGAACGACCATGCTTTAGTCGCACTGCCAGTCGAGTGTAGGTCAGCAGAGGAGATGTCCTCGAGGCGTTTCGGAAGTTGCCGACTAAAGCCAAACAGGAACTCCTCACTATCGTCGATGCAGAACTGGTGTCACGGATAAACGAGATAGATTTGGTAGATTTATGGTAGGAGTCGGCAGAGTTGATCTCGTCGCTATTAGGAAGCGAGAAAGCAACAGCTACACTCCATGGGCCAATACCCCAAGCATAAGCGCCTTGTTGGGCAGTCAGCATTCTACCTTTTCAACAGTACTAAGTTGATGCAGGATATTCTCGATTCTTCGGGGGCCCAAGGTGAGGTTGGAGACCCTGAGAGCTCTCATGTTGTTGTGGTCAGCTCTTGCGCACGACCGCAGTGTTAAACCAGACGTGCTTCAGCCCAAGTATCACCCGGTGCTTAACGACACGCTTCTTCCGGTAAGTTCTTCAAAGTTGATTTCAGGTTGTGATGGTTTCGTTTTAGTTTATCCACGATCGATGTGAAGATTTCCTTGCGAACACTAAGAGAATGCGCTCGAGAATTGTGCGGCGAACGGAGGTGACAACTTTCAGTCTAGCCTCAACTAATTAACTGTTTGTTCACTCAGTTATGGTATCGTCTCACGGACTTCGCCACAGGAGATCCGAGACATGTGGTCGTAGATGGAATTGTAGCCCAAGCTCTGGAATTTGTAGGGGAGATAGTCACCATCGTTATGAAGATTCTTGTTGTTCTTCTCAGCGTATTCTGAGCGAATACTACAGGGACAAATTCGAGTCAATTCGCAGTAAGTATCTGAAGGAGGCCTCTTCACCAGCGAAGGAGCCACAGAGGAAGTCGAACGGCTCGATCTCGACTGACTCTGGAGATCAGCAGCAACGAAAGAAGTCACAACTGACCCAATCTGGAAAGAGAACAAAGCCGAAGACCACACCGTCCAAACGCCTACCGCACACTACTGTTCCCGAACTCAAACCCGGGTCTGTCGTAACTTGCGCAACGTCTGAGCCGGCTGATAAAAGCAGGCTCCGGTCGTCCTCATCGAGTAGCAGTAGCAGCAGCAGCAGTAGCTCGTCATCGTCTTCTTCTACTTCGAGCTCCTCTTCCTCGTCTGCTGCTTCATTCTTGTTCAGCGTGATGATGACTTCGGAAGAGTATACCTCGGATACGTTGAGATCTTCGGTACCCTCTAATCTCGAACCGGGTCCCAACGGGAATCCAAGCGAGGCCCCAAAGCTTCCATTGAGGCCAGAAGCAGGGTTGTCGCTGCCCCCTGAGCCAGAGGCTGGTGGCAATGATGGTGAATGGCATGTTGTTGGTAAACCGAAGGTGAAGAAAGGCTCAGTGCCCAGCACTACTAAAGTGTCGTCATTAATGTCACCAAGGCGCTTGGCTCGGCGTAGAGCCGCAGAAAAAGCCGCAGCCACTTCGTCTGAATTGGTTAAACCTCAGGAGAAGGTCACCGCACCAGCGGCGTCACATGACCGTCAGTCAAGGGTCGAGCATGGTGCAGGGTTACTCACGGTGAGACGTACTTTCATTCACATCGAGGAGGAGCCTACTGATGAGTGTCTGCGATATCACCCGAGTATGCTGTCGAAGGAAGCTCCATTTTGAGGTTGCGGTCATTGCTGATTAACAGTGGCATCTTGTCACGATGCTTGTATCCCGTTGTTCCTTTGTCTTTGCTGCTCTTCCTAGTCACTGTCAACCCTCTTCTCGCCAGATCGCGGCGTTACTGCATACATTGTGGGAGCATTGTTGCTGTATCTGTTTGACCATATCAGTGCTCCTTCTCTGTAAGTTCGAGTGACTTGATCTCAAGAGCTGCGACTCCTTTTCGTATTTTTCCTCCATGGTGCAGAGAATGTTATTGAACAGAGCTAACATTTACAGGACCAACTTTGTGAAGATTGATCACCTTCTCTGCTACGCTCGGGTTGTCAATGGACATAGTCTTAGGGGGGCGGCAAGAGCACCAGTTAGTGATTTCGGAAAAGAATAGTGACATAACCATCTATTGCCGCTAGATAACAGTACTCGACTTGTGGAACTCTCTACCGCTTGAGTGTTTCCCGGTGAACGCAACCGGAAAGAAGACTTCATATGTGCAGTTTCATCATTGACCATTGTTTGCAAAAGAAGAATAGAAGCTAGTGTCACTAGCTTGCAGTCAACAGAACGACTCGTTTAAGTAGGAACCTGCTAATGTTTCAAGTTCGTCCCGCGGTGTCACAGTACTAGTGATATTACTTGCAACTGTGATAACTTGTAGAGTCTCTTGTGCTGAGAGGAGCATTCTGGAGGAATTGCCTGATATCTGCACTACCCCTAACTGATGGAACAGCTACTAGCATAGCTTGAGACAGGATACGCATCTTTACGCTAGCGTATGTGCTAGCTGAGCGTAGACGATACTCATTGAAACCATTGATTTGTTTGTCTACTTGTATGTGTTCAACATTCATGTTCAAGCATCTCATTCAGTTGAAGTTTTTCCCATCTCTAAGTAGTTGAAATGATGCGCCTCCTATCTTCGTTCTTCGTCCTTGGCTCGGTCGCCGCCGCCGACTGGAACTACTGCCAGGAGCTGTGTGAGGAGACTCCTGGTTGCAAGAACTATGGTTGGGGATCCTATTGCAAGGGTAACGGCGTATGCTTCGGTCTGCTTGATATGGGTGGCGGTGACTATTGCTTTGAGCCAACTGATGGTTTCAACGGTGGCTACTGCAGTGATAAGGTTTACAGCCCCGTCTCTTGCCCGGTGGTTGATAAGACCTGTGAGGATCTTTGTGCCGAGACCCCTAAGTGCAAGAACTCTAAGTGGGGATCATACTGCAAGAAGTACGTCGATCAGCCCGGTCCCTATGTGTGCTTCGGATTGTATAATTCCGATAAGCCTCATCTCTGCTATGAACCTTCTGAGGGTGACAAGTGTGATGAATCCTCGCCAGTCTATTGCCCCTCAGAAATGGATTAATTTCGTTTCTCTTATTCTTTTGTCGATGATGGTATCTATGAGTTCTGAAATTTTAACCGGCTAGCAGTAGAGTAGTTTCTCTCAGCTTGTCAAGTTCGTTGCGTTTGTTGAGTAACCAACAAAGTCACTAAATGCTGTCGTAAGTTCATTATGCGCACATTTTCTGGCAGTGGGCAGGGTAAGACGGGGAAGTGTATTTATATCATTATTTCAGGAGCTTCCAATTTGAAACTTAGTTAAGATTTTGTAGATGAAGAATACACACACTAGTTCCTCATGCGTTCCTTGTTCATAATGTATCATTATTCTGTCGAGATATTGTAGGAAGTAGTTGGTTTTGAGTCGTAGCCGGGCTTTCTGATTTCTGGGTGACCTTTGTTATTGACAAACGTCAAAGTGTGATCATGACGAGTGGATGTCAGTGTGATTTTTACATGACGATGGACTTAGCAAACAGAAAGCAAAGCCGTCCTCCTCCTATTGATACTGATTTGTATTCCCCAGTTGAGTCCACAGCCTCTGAGGACGACCGGTAGCTGGAACCGAGATAAGATAGAAACCTGAGTGCTACGTGTTAGGATCGTATGTCGATCTTGGCAACGACTTATTGACGAGAACGCCGATCTTCGACTTCGTGTTCACGACATGATTGATGCTTATGAGGATGCTTTTATATCTTCTGAGAGACGAGCTTCGATGAGAAGACCGAAAAACCCCTCCCGTGACAAGAAGCCGATTGAGCATGTGAGAGAGCCTCGGGTCGATCTCACTAGAGTCGTGTCATGATAGGCTGGAAGCGCGACCAAAAGGCGAGTAAGGGAAAAGACTGGATCAGCTCGGCCTCCAAGCGAAACGATGAATATCCTCATTGAGAAGCGAAGAGAGGCTAGCGCCTTGAGGAACGAGGTCAGTGCGATGCGAACCAATAACTTGACGCTTGCCTCTTATGATTCGAAAGGATATGCATACGATATAAAGAATAACGCAGAAGTAGACTGCGGTTATCTCCTCGCACTTCAGCACCGAGCACTGGAGCAACAGGCTGCGCGTCAACGTCGCACATTAGCAAAGATGAAAATGACACAGATGAAGGAAACACGTATGAGCGAGTACCTACAGCAGTACATACAGAAACAACGGGAAAAGTGAGCTCTTTGCATAGCCATGTCGCTTCCACTAGCGAAATCGCTCGAGCAAAACTACCTACAGTAGACTGATAAGCGCACGGATAAAAGCTCCTCTCGAACTCCGTCTTCAAACACCTCGGCCACTGGGCGACGCATAGGGGCTTCGCTATGTTATATGTATAACCAAGAACTGAAGAAGACGAGAACTAGAGATTGCCATGTATAGATACCGGGATAGTCGAGCTGCTCTCAGTGCAAGAGTCGATCGGATGCGAGCCTTGAAGGAAGCCATCATAAAATTGAGCTATCAGTGTGGATTCGCCATCATCACATTTCGGACGGTCCATCCGGCTCTATCAGGTACCGGGCTCTGCTCAGTGGCAAAATCGAGCGCGGAACGGAGGCGCTGGATCGGGAGGTCGACGAACTCAAAGCATACAGGGCTGACCTTGAAGCGAAACGAGAGGCGCTTGAGTCCCGAGACCAAAGTGTCACGAAATCGTGGATTACATCGCTCGATGTGAGTATTGGACAGTGCTGTGGCATTCGTTCAATCGCTGCAGCCTCTCTAGCATTTCCCAGACCCCTTTACCCCGTGGTCAGAGTGGAGAGCTCTGATGCCTAGAGTGCTCATTTTGCAGGGTCTCCAAGAAAGAATCTTAGAGCTCTCGGCCGCGGTCAAGCACGCTGAAAGGGCAGGGAAAGTTGCAGCTTCGAAGCTCAAGGGGATCAAGAGACTTGGGCGCTCTGGGGAGGAGATTGTGCAAATGTCACTGTCAACAGGTACCTAGAGACCCTTACACATGATCTGCTTATCTCTGTTGCTCCCTGTCAGACCTCGCGGTGGCAGGATGACTTAAGATGTTGATAAGAAGTCCGTCCATGATATACCATCAATGCAGTATTGATTAAACTGATGTTGGCAATGCTTGTCGACTGTGGTGTTGGTGATCAAATGATACTTTTGTGCTCAACTTGACCTCATCCAGTGCCATCCGGAGCAGGTGGCCCAATATTCTCCACCCGATACGCGAGAGATACACGACTGATGGCCATGCAGGACTTGAGCGAATGGAGTGTCGAACAATGAAGCATTCATTCTCTTTAACCGTATGTCCTGAGCAAGTTTCGATGCCTCTCCTGGAGAGGCTCTCCACCGAGAAAAATACCGAAATACCACCTCCACCGAAATACCTCCAGAATACTCATGACCATATGATTTTTACATTTTTGGACATAGAGAGCTCCACGCAACTCGCTTGAAGGGGAAGGAAATGTGTGGTCTTGTGGGTCAATGAGTTACGAATCGTTCATTTCCATCGAGCACTGACTTAGCAGTTAGAATGTCTCTCGCTCGGTTCTGTTCAACCGATGATCCGCTGTGGGATATTATTCACGCCAAGTGTCTCGGGAAAAGGAAGGAAGCAGGCAAGACTATAAGTGGCCGTCGCCTATCATATGGCCACTCAGACGAACATACGATGAGTAGCTCAACAAATCAACCCGTTTCCACCCAAGAATCCCAACCCGCACTAGCCCATGATAGCTCTCAGATTGATGAATTCTCCCCGAGATCAGAGGCCGAGGTCTCGATGCTCGCCAAAAGTGAGTTTTTCATGATAGCCCGGCCTGCAGTAGACGAATTTACGGAATGCTGATGGCTTCCTTTACTCAGCTTGGGCGACTAAGATTCACCCGAGAGCCCGCGATTTCTTCCAAAATCACGACAGAATGATCAAAGTATCCGCGCTATTTTTGACCCGTTCGCAACAATGCATCGTCACTGTTCAGGTTCTTCGTTCGATAGCGTTGAGCATCGACAAGGACAGGGATCCCATTCTAGGGTCGGGTTCGCAGCGCCCTGTCAGTTTCTCGTCACTTCTCCCCTCAGAGGTGACAAGTGTGTTCGGTGGCATGGCGAAGTATCATCAGACGACCAGGACGTTAAGCATGCTCAAATACGGGTACAGCGCGTGCGGGTGAGAAAGGTTTCGTCGTTATTTACCGTTCAAGCTCGTTAAACCGAATGAAGACGAGGAGAGCGAAGCATTCGTCAGTCGTGTTCTGGTTTTCTTCTTCGCCACAAACGAGTCATTCGAGCTACTCATGCAGCTCCCGAAGCAACCGTTCAGGTGGGATATTATGAAAAGAAAACTTTCTCGTAAGCACTGTTCAGCTTTTACTGATCTGTTGTTCCTGTACACGTGTCCCGAATACCACATCCTTGAATCGCCTTTCTCAGGATGCTGTGCGGCGACCAACTATGCATCAATCTCCATCATATATCGGGAGATCTCAACTGATGTTGTTGTTACAATAACTTTCTGCATGACACTCTCGTATCAAAGTTAAATACATAAGCTTGCGAGCGATATTAGGGAGGGTGAGGGGACAGGTTGCCTTATCGGAGCAGGAGCTCCAAGAAACGAGAAATGGAAAGAGGTGAAAAAAGTTGAAGCTGCTCTCAACATTCCTCTAACGAAAGCAATATTGTCTCATTAGAGTCACCCGTTATTAACACATCGTCACGTATCGGAGCAAAATCAGATGCAGAACAGTTCAATAGCATTATGCAGAGCGCTTCGTGAAGAGTGAAGCGTCAAATACGTCATTGTGACCGATAAATTAAATAGCAACAAGCAGAAACCCGAGTATAGGTTGGAGATTTTGTGGAGATTTCAGCACTCGTTTCCGGTATTAGGGCAGTGCATGGGGAACAGCTCGCGAACTCAGAGAACCGCAAAATGCTTTTTAAAAGCTTTTAAACTTCAGCGACTGAGGTCAGGTATTCAAGCCCTACGTGACGACACAGTGGGCGTCCAATGTAGGCATGCGCTACGTATCACGAGCGCAATAGCTCGCAAGAACCTTGCAGAGCCTTCATGGATTAGATTCGACACACGAATGTATCGCTGCGTTAAATTAATTATGCCAATTGAAGTTTTACAGTGTGTATTAACACGTGCCCCTTGCACTGAACAATTCCCACTGAGGACGAAACTCTTTAAGCAACATTTGGAATGAAACGGGTGAAGACAGAAACAGCGAATGTCAAACATGCAATGATCAATTCCTTCCCTCCATGATCTCTCTGAGCAGCATTGTCGCGTATGATCCTCGTGGAAGATGGAACTAAGGCATGTATAAACAATAAAATAACAACTTGGTCAGCCACTCACATCGAGTAGGAGGTTGTTCGTGTGCGGCAGTCGCTCGCCATTAGACTCTTCTGCTGCCAACAACACTGTGGGACGCACCACAAGGCGTCTAGGTATTGTGGTGAGCTTTTGATTGAAACCAAGGTCGGAAAAGTTATACTTCGCATCGGACCATGAGCCAATCTGAATCTCACCCCGCTCTTCCGACTCCCGTATCAACTTTGCGTACCTATAACGGAGATCAGCGATCAACACGAGGATCTTTTCAAAGACCCACAGTTCTTCCACATTAACTCCAGCGGTCAAGACCCTGTATTCGCCTTCCACTTGCTCGCCGAGCTGCGGCAACCGAACATCATGGATGGTGTATCTGTCCGATACCAACGGAAGGCAATTTCTCTAGGATGGACTCATGCGGATGCCCAGAGAGTTGAAATTCATACAGTGGAGATACGTTTTCGTGGTGTGTATAGTTGTAATATTCGCCCGAGGTACTCTAGTCAGCCAAAGCGTTAGCGACATGGCAGTGGAAGTAGAAATTGCGCTCACTCATTGAAAACCTAGGTAATTATCCGACGTACTTCATGACCGTGGAATACATTACCACTGCCACACAAATTACCCAACATACAAATTACCCAACGTTACGGGAAAAAATGTATTTCATGGGAAAATGTGCGAGCTGATAATGTACGAGATTTAGGCCCAGGAAGCATCGCCCGGAGCTGTGCTAGAGTTAAGCGCACTTATAGAGCTTACTTGTTAGAGCTGTAGAGATTAAAAACTTGAAGTGCATTACTACAGTGCGTGCCAATTTGATATGCAAATGTGAAAAATGAGCGCTTCTTCCCGAGATTATTGATAATCGCTCTGATACTTCGCAGATAGAATTTAAACATTGCTATCAACATGTACGACTAACATCATGGCTCGAGCCTATAGTAGCACTGTACGACTGGGGTCTTTTTTATACGAAACTGCTAAAGAAAACTCCATACCAAATGACCTATTCGGTCTGTCACTATACAGTATGGCTCTTACCCTGCTGCATCCTCCTCGCACCGAATCAAGCGCAGCTCTCGACTTGTCGGATCCTGGACTAAGTCTCCAACCGTAACACGGAGGCCTCCCTCACGTATACGCCTGAGATACAATCATCACTACAGCCAAGTCACCATCGGTACTGGCTCGCCAAACGATTCCACAAACAAGAGACGTATGAGGCCGCAAGCAGATGCCACAATGTCTTCGGTATGAGCATCATCGCATGCCGGCCCTTATCACGACAAGTAGCCAACTCCAGCAGCATAGCCCGATACCTATCAAGCAACTAAAGTGAATCCTCCACGGTGTACTACAAGGTTATATCCCGGTTGTCGCGAGTACTAGCCTTGGCCAGAGCTTCAGCCGCCTTATGAGCATCTCCCGTCTCAAGCCATGCCCTTCGTATCTTCCATAACGAGCATTTCAATTTCGTCATTCGCCTGGTCGCTCACCTCAGCATCCTCCGAAATGTCATCTGCCAGAGGCCGCAAATATGATCGAACGGCACGGTTGAAATCCCTTGTAATGATTGCAGCCCCAGTGTAGACCTGAACGGTATTACACTAGCACATCCGCAAGGGAATTTCAAACCATTTGAACATATTAGGAGCGAACTTTCACCTCGACCATAGATCATCATTATATCTAAGCCTCGCTGTAGTTTCAGCTTCAAACGATTCCGATTAGAATACAAAATTTTCAAAATTTCCCAAGAAAGTAAAATATTTTTATTCCAACTTTTTAGTCCTCCGATATGAGCTCCCAACTCTGCAGTTTCATACATGACTTGATGCGCCGTCACCCTTGTCCCAACCGAATCTCTGCAATCCGAAGTAGTTGATGAAACCTGTTCTCCTCACAGACTCCACCGCTGAGCTGGACCCGGGCTCTACGCCTCGCAGGCGAATCCGGAAGCAATTGCTGAATTGCAAATAATTTTCATACAATTCAGAGAAAAAAAATTCACCCGTAAAGCGTTCCACATTTGAACTTTTTTTCCGGTGCATCGTGAACTTGAAAGTTGTCTATTACGGCCCATCCGCGTGAAGCATCACCGCATTGTTTTTCCAATGCTGATCTGATTTCCTCCGCACTATGCGTTGCTGGAATGGTCACGTACCTGATTACCACAAGATGTTCAACACAGACCGTCTAAAGCGGAGCCGGTGCAAAAAAAGTAAAAATAAGAAAAAAAAAGAAAGAAAAAGGAGCTTCTCGAAGTACTACAATGTGAACCAAACAGTTATGCATATCTACATTTTCGAGATGGCTTCCTCCAATTAAGGAATATAATTATAGACTACGGAACGCTTCTGCAACGTTGTCAATAGATTCACATTGTTATCATGTTGATATTACTCAAAGTTGTCTTTCGAACTCTTAAAAATTTGAAGGTGTTGAAAACTTTACTGTTCATAACGGTTTGGTTCACACTACAGTACCTGCTCTTTGGCAGTGTTAAGGTATATGTTCGCTCTCCTCGGCTGAGCTCAGAAGTTTCCACACTAATTATAAGAGTTCACACACGGACTAGGGTAGAATCGCACAGAAATCAAAAAATTTTCCCAGGAATTGCCATATTGTCACCAACACATGTAGTTGACCATGTGCATATTTTCCCTCGACACTGATTACGAGCAACACTACGAGAACATCATCATCATCAGAATTGTTTCGAGCAACCTACTGGTAGGTAAGCCCCCGTTTATCCTTAAGCCCTGCATAGTGTATAGATTCCCGAGGTAAGCGCAATTTCTTCTCCAACATTGCAAGAACCCTCGGCGTGTCCAGGTTCGCCTTGTGCAGTACACACCTCCACCGCTTCCCTCCATGCAGTCCACGTTGGGAGTACACTCGCGACCATTTAGCTCGTACCAACAGCCCCTCCTTCTACACAAAGGGACACTGTTGCTGGGTGAATTCAGTGCCATGCTCACCTGGTTCGATTCAACAATCTCAAATGCCAAATCCCGCCAAAATTTGGCGACCTCAGTAGCAAAACTATCAACATCGGAATCGACCACGGGGCCTGGTGATCGGAATGTGAACTCCACATCTCGCTGACCGTAGCTGACGAGGCGTAAGACAAATAATGAAATTCAGGTCGCACCCGCATGTGATGAGTCCAAGGAGTTTTTGAGCATCGCTCAAAGTCATATGTTGTAGTAGCAGTTTCTTGAATCCTCTATTTTCAGCAACGCAGAAAACGCGATGTCCCCTGCCCTCGAATTTGCAGGGGACATTCACAAGCATCTGAGCAAGAGCAGTGTGCCATCAGTTCACCGAAGGCAACTGGGACGGTGTAACGAAATCCGAAGTATTCATCTGAATTCTCCTGATACTATGTTATTATGATCACGGGTAACACTTGGGGAAAATCAATTCTCACCAAAATGATTCATCACATCACTTTGTCACTTCATGAAACATGGACATCGACCACACGTGTGGTTGATTGTAAATACCATTCGATTCAACACACTATGGGGCGTCCGAAAATGTGTGAGATAGGGTTTTTCTCTCCGTGTGACGCTGTACCCCTGTAAGGGTATGCAATGAATAGCTCACCGTCGGCACGTGCAGTATCGCTACATTTCGAGGTGTTGATAATTTAGCTTTAGCGTCATGCTATGTACGCTAGTTCGAGTCGGTTGTTGTTAATGTATCAGCATACTAATTGATACAGTGGTTGAGCGGTTACTCCTGTACCGCTTCTACTAAGATAACTGTGTTACACCTGGAAGGCTTCTGTTCTGGACTGAACGTCTCTGCTGTTACTATCAGGGAGCCTATAATGCTCCCGGCGAGCACTCTTCAATCGGTTTCCCATGTAACATTTTCTCCACATTTTATCAAACCCTGGGGAAAGTTATTTGTCAGAGTTGGACGGATCACTGGTTACTATAGGTCGTTACATGCTTAGTCGCGGCTACGATAGCTCCACGAAGTCGATATGCATCTTCATCACTCATCGTAGCCTCACCCAGCTTAGCTCGCAGCACGCCGACCTCAAGTGAACTACTCTGCGGAGAAAACACGAATAGGTATGATCACTCGCTCTAACGTAGACCGTCACCGTTGCTTTGCAGAGGAAAGCATCCAACTGCGTAATAGCCGTATAGCCCAAACACTCCTCTATATAGCTCCTAGCCTTCACAGCGGTCATCGCAACCCTGAGAGGTGGAAAATGACAGACTCGAAAATCAACCAGATCAGTTCACCCTTCCCAGTGTGCATCTTCTACTGCTTTCGTTTTGTCAGCACCATCGAGGGCCGGGAAGGATGATTCAGCCGAAGAGTCGCTGTCCGGTCTGATCGAAAAATGCGTCTATCAAATATGTGGTGACTGGGGACTCACTCGTCCCTCGCCCCAGCAGAGACCTTCCTCTCCACTTCAGCCCACCAGTTCAACTTGGGTTCACCTTTGAGACGGGCCACGGTGAAATCGGCGCCCACTTCACGAACTTCCCAATCTTTAATCTACAACCAACAAGCTGCGACTCATAGTCTATGAGTCATAGGAAATCTATATATTGGAGTTTCACCCGTGATGTAAAAACACTAGTGAGAAACAAATCTCACGACTACTGCTGCAGTAGTCGTGAAATGTTTCTCACGAATGAACTCCATTGATGATCACCTACACATTACTGTCACAGTCTCACAGACTTACTCTCACTCGCAGCTCACCACCTAGTGCCAATGGATTTATAAACTCTGTGATGCCCACCGCCTCCGGTGGGGGCTTCTTCACTGTGTACTCCGCTATAGGTGAATGCCGACTGCGATTTGTCTGGCAACACTACATAAGTCCCAAGACTGCGACAGAGCCAGCACCTTGCTGTGTTGTTGTTGGTCCGGTGACCATCGCGGCCCGGGGCGCTCCATAGCAACAGCGTGGCTGGCTACCGATGTAAGGTACCGGCTATTGAACTTAGTGAACTTAGGATTCAGCATAGATGGGAGAAATTAATTATAGTGCTGATCTAATCTGAAGGCCCAATGATGTTCTCAGCTTCCGATGACTACATTGAAAATATGGCATTCGGTGGCGACAGATTAATTTTATTATATTAATTCACTTCATGAGGCTATACAAGACTTACCGTTCCCCGCCACCTAGAGGGTCGATATTGGTCGAAGATTTTCCGAGGTGGAATTCAGGCGGCGATGCAAAGGTCGCTTGAGGCCGGGACCAGCCGCATTGCTTTCGATGTGACAGGTGTCGCAAACTTGGATAATGCCAAATAGTTGCCAACCGGATTTCAAAGGGAGTTTATATATTTTTTTCGCGAAACAGGTCACCGTACTGAGTTTTAGCATATTGGGAATGGTAGGGTGGAAACAGGAATGACCTGACTTTTCGGTGAAGATTAAGTTGGTGGTGGAAACTGTATCCTCTCCTGCTTTCGCCAGATGGCTCTGAGGCCGACAGGAACAGATATCACCGAGATGGCGTTAATTGAGGAAGCCGCACATCTCCCACATCCACAGAGTTCGGGTGAGCGCAGCAGAAGGACAGACCCAAACCCGTGGCCCGTTAACCCGGAACCGAAGACTATGTCGACGGAGGTCGTAGACCACCGACGTCCAGTCCCGGGATAGGGCGAGTTGAGCCTGTGCTGCAAGATGATGGCGAGTTGAGGTGCTAAAAGCAAGCTCGTGGGACTGGAGGGCGGGCTGAAAACAACGTTCTCAGCCGCAGCCCGAGGTAGAACTACTCATAAGACAATTCCCAAGAGTAGCAGGGAAAACCATTAATCACCTGCAGATCCGTGATATGCACTGTAATTGTCACGGAGAATCTTACGTAGCGCGCCACATAAAACGATCATTGCGGCACCCACAACTAACCTTGTCTACTGCGTGAACATCATTTATCTCCCTGGGTACAGGTTTCGTCTAAGTAGACCAGAAAAGCCGTCCATGCCTGTTGTACACACCAATTTCCCATTGGCATGAACCGGAACAAGGGACAGGTTTCCGCGTACGGGCGAGCGCATTTCGAAATCTGGCGAATCCCCCAGCCCCATCAGCGGAAATTTGGTCTTTTAACTAAGGTGTTTCTGGGAGGGGTCTATACCACATTTTGCCTAACATAGATATGTGGACCTGCGAAAAGTAATTTCGCTAAGTTTGGCGAGTCGGCGTGCCCTGGATCTCCAAGACCGCGCCCTACTGGTTTGAGTGCCTGATTCATTGGCCAACGTTGATCAGATCGAAACTGGAACCACCGGGCTTGCCATCTCTACACCATTGTGAGTGAGGACGGCTCGACGGCATAGTCCTATTAAAGTGCGACGGCAATGCTCAATGGTGTCAAGTAACTAGTTGTAGCCCTCTGCATGCCATATCATCGTAACTGTAATCGATTAACGTTATAAATCGCACAGACACTATGGATAAATTTCCGTGGTCAATTGTGCCGTATACGACACAGATTAACTTCTGTATGTTTGTCGTTTGTGAGATCGATCATACGTTCTTTCTATTGTTCTTGCTCTGTGGGGGGGGGCAGCTGTTGAGCCTACTTGCAAGCACCGGAGCAATGTTGAAATATATGTTCGCTTTCCTCAGGAGTTTCCTCACCATAGAAAATTTACTCACGGACTCAGGTAGAAGAATACAAATCCCAACAAAAATTTCACAAAATTTCCTCGATTTTTCTTGTCACCAAAAAAGGTAGTTGGCCTTGTGCAGAATTTCCCACTGCACGAAGGTTGGACGTTGTATGTTAGAAGGTGATACTGGGTCCCTAACTCCTGGCGACATATACCTACACGCACGGTGGTCCACGAGCAAATGACGTACCGTAAATCGCGAAAATCAACCAAAACCTCGTATCGGGCTCTCGGACTCGAATTGATAAACACCTGGTACCGTCTACTACCAGTGTGTTTCCACTCAAGACTCTGCAGGGCATTTTACTCTCCTTGCTGCCATGTCAGAAAAAGCTGACCTTCCAGCCACTCCGGAGATGAGCGAGACCGGCTCAACTCAGGAGAACACCGATGCAGAACATGCTGTGACATTCGAGTCTCTGGGGGTTTGCCCTGAACTCTGCAAGGCTTGTGATGTTCTACAATGGGAGCATCCTTCCAAGATCCAGGAGGAGACTATCCCTTATGCTCTGCAGGGAAGGGATCTTATCGCGTTGGCGGAGACTGGCAGTGGAAAAACTGGTAGTAGTTCACTGGGCTAAAGAGTAGATAGTGATTGTAAACTGGGCTAGAGAGTAGATAGTGATAGTAAACTGGGCTAGAGAGTAGATAGTGATAGTAAACTGGGCTAGAGAGTAGATAGTGATAGTAAACTGGGCTAGAGAGTAGATAGTGATAGTAAACTGGGCTAGAGAGTAGATAGTGATAGTAAACTGGGCTAGAGAGTAGATAGTGATAGTAAACTGGGCTAGAGAGTAGGTAGTGATAGTAAACTGGGCTAGAGAGTAGATAGTGATAGTAAACTGGGCTAGAGAGTAGATAATGATAGTAAACTGGGCTAGAGAGTAAAGAGTAGATGGTGATAGTAAACTGGGCTAGAGAGTAAAGAGTAGATGGTGATAGTAAACTGGACTAGAGAGTAGATAGTGATAGTAAACTGGACTAGAGAGTAGATAGTGATAGTAAACTGGACTAGAGAGTAGATAGTGATAGTAAACTGGGCTAGAGAGTAGATAGTGATAGTTCACTGGGCTAGAGAGTAGATAGTGATAGTTCACTGGGCTAGAGAGTAGATAGTGATAGTAAACTGGGCTAGAGAGTAGATAGTGATAGTATACTGGGCTAGAGAGTAGATAGTGATGATGCTGGTGAGTGATATGCTCGGATGTTGCATGTAACTCGTTATTTATCAGTTTGAATTGAAATTGAGAGTATAAAGGAGTAGTTCACTGGGTTAGAGAGCAGATAATGGTATTTTACTTAGGCGCATTCGCTATTCCCATCATCCAGAAGCTTCTGGATGCGGCCCCCCACCGGAAATCGACATGGGCTTGCGTTCTCGCTCCCACTCGAGAGCTCTGCGTACAGGTAATAATACAACTATAAAACTGAGAATTTAAAGAGTTCGGTCAGATCGGGCAGCAATTCGAAGGTCTTGGTGCCAGTATCAACCTCACTACTGCTACTATCGTTGGTGGGCTCGACATGGTCACACAGGTGAGGACTATTGAACTAGTGGTTGCTGTCACTATTTTATGTAAGGCCATGGCCCTCTCTAAGAAGCCTCACATCATCGTGGCATCACCGGGCCGTCTTGTCGACCATCTCGAGAACACCAAGGGGTTCCACTTGAAGACCATCAAGTTCTTGGTTATGGATGAGGCTGATAGACTGCTAGGTAGTAGGGACATGTTTTACGGACTTCCCAACCCGACTCAGGTATGGACTTTGAGGATGCTCTTAATAAGATCGTCCAGTCATGCCCTCGGGATCGGCAAACCTTCCTTTTTTCCGCAACCATGACCAGTAAGGTTTGCCCATTTTCACTGCCTTATGGTTTGTTTTTTGTAAGATAAAGTATCGCAACTGCAGAGAGCGTCTCTGACTAGGCCTGTCAAGTGCGAAGTTGCAAGGAAGTAGTAATTTGCCTCTACCTAGTCGGTGAGGAAACGCTCCCCATTTAAGATTCGATGTTGCCAAAGGATTAGTCCAGAACTACATGTTCGTGCCGCATAAGCACAAGCACGCTTATCTGGCCGCTCTGTTGGCCCACTTCAAACTCAGTACGCTGTGAATCCCCTCTACAGTCAACCGTGGCATTTATCTAGGTACTGTGATGATTTTCGTCGACACCTGCCTTAATGCTCAGCGAATGGCCACTACCCTGAGGCACCTCGGCCATAACTGCGTATGTCTGCACGGCAAGATGACGCAAACACACCGACTTGGTGCTCTCAACCAGTTTCGGGCAGGTATGGAATTTTAGTAAGACATTGCGTTGATATATGCATATAAGGTACGCGATCAGTTTTAGTAGCAACAGATGTAGCTGCGAGAGGCCTGGATATTCCCAGTGTGGATGTTGTTATCAATTTTGACGTGCCCAAGAACCCTGAGGTAACATCATTACTCGCAGCAAACTGTAACGGTATGCACATCAGGAATACATCCACAGAGTGGGCCGCACTGCGCGGGCTGGCCGGACTGGTCGATCGGTGACTTTGGTTACCCAGTACGACATCGAACCCTTCCAGAGAATCGAAAACAAACAAGGTGCGGTCATTTGCGATCAGCCGGTGACGTGCATTGAATATGGTAGGGAAGAAAATGGAGGAGTTTCCTGAGGTTAAGGAGGAGAACGCCATGTCACTACAAGAAAAAGTATTGGAAGCTCTTCGTAAGTTTATCGGCAATGAACTCGATGGAAAAGTGATTGCTGTAGGCTCGACACAGTTAGAGATGCGCGAGCAGGAGGAGGACATCAAAGAGTAGTTGAATGGGCTACTCGTGTGTATTGTTGAAGATGTGTACGGCGTTGTTTAGGGCGTTGGCAGGAAAGAAGGGCGGACGGGGTGGCAGAAAGCGTCAACACCAAATGATCTTGCAAAAGCTGGCCCAAGGGAACAAGAAGAGACGATGATCATCGTTGTATGGTTGAGCACAATCACTGTCTAACATCGTTGTTGCTATGTAGCGTTCCTCACTCCACCCCACGTCACCGTTTCTTATGACTTGCTCGGATGTTGCGTTCATTAAGTACGTCTTGATATGGCAGTGCCAGCTCTTCTGTGTTTTTGGTATTGTCTTGTTGTGTTATTCATCTATGGGATTGCACATCATTGTCGCGAAATTCCTATACGTACACAGGTATTATCTCGTCCTTGGACGAGCAACCTTTTCAAGGTCCATCAGATTATTCGCTAGAGGAAATCACAATCAACTAGACCGATGATCAACCGAGTAGACATTATTATTTCTGGGATTGCGTCACTGCATGTTTCATCATGCCTCGCTGTAGGCCGTCGATGATGAGAACTCGCCGTTAGCCTGACAGTAGCATAACCGAACCTCTGAGAGTATACCGACGATTTTCCCGAGGCCGGTATGAGTTTGACTCTCCCATTATATCTCTTCAGGGGGATGGCCAGAAGTGTTCTCAGGTAAGCGGCTGTATCTTTCAGCGGACCGCACGTTAGACGCAACGAGACATGCGAAAATTCAACTCAATGACTACCCTGAGGAAACTCTGGCAGAAACACAGTCGGCTGTACAATCCAACTCACTGCATTTGGGTTCGTTCAATTCACACGACATTGTCATGTCGTTCAAGGCCGGCGGTGATGCACTTGAAGCGTTCGGACAGGACAATAGCTAGGGCGTAGCTCACATTGAAGCTGTGATGTGTTCCCTCCGCTGTGGGTATCTGACTCGACTTACTGGGCCCGACCGCCCCTGTGATGATTTCTACGATGGAGAGCATATACGCCTGTCTAGAACGACTCACACTGAGAACAGCTTGAGCCTTTTGGAGTATGTCGTTCGATACACCCTTGGCTTCTCCTCCCGCTACAAGCAGTATGCGTGGGGTCTCTAGTAAGCTTGAACTCGCGGACGGTTTCGACAGATCAACCCATGGCAACTGAACGATTGGCGCATCGTATCGAGCCAGAGAGCCGCAGTGATCATATGTACACCCCGGGCAGAGGCTTCCTCTTTGTTTTCCAGCGCAAACACGGAAAAGCCGTAGTTCTGTTGCAAAGCCTCGATAAGTTGTAGAGAGTCAAGACCATTGCACATCGGAGGGCCGCCGAGTGTACTGTAGTGGGAATACTCTAATGCACGCTCGAGAGCTTCCCTGAAAAAATCCACAAATGCATCCATAATGTGATGAGATGCAATATAGTTTGATCCTCGTGAGAACGATCAGAATTCCTCCGCACTCACTCTGTGATAGTATCCTTTCCCAAGGCCAACGCTGACACCCCAAAGGCATGGCTGTACCGTATAATCCGTGCTATGTTGCCGGGGTACCTACCCTATAGTGACTATTATGATGGTAATGAGCACTTACTGTACTCCGTCGAGCATCACCACTGTCTGAGGCTTCGTACTATCCCCGTCAAGGCCTGGCAAGTGCTTCAATATAGCACTGGTCTGACCCGCTCGTAGGGCACATCGACACCGGAGCATTCACAATTGATCCCGAGAATTCCCTACAACTCCAACCAACCAGTGAGCGCAAACCAAGACTTATAACAGGAAACGTTAACAAAACCAGTTATAGTAAGCACCAACTCGTTTCACGTGTGTCATTCGAGCTGCTAGAAGCGCCAGTAGTGTACCGCAGAAAATCATTAAAGCTTGGCTGAGGAAGTGTGGCAATTACACTATAGAACCATCCATGACCAACGTGGGGGACTGAGCCTTGCCTTACGGTGCGGTTTTCCAGAGACGGATACAAGACGTGGCAAACGCTGACGCTATGAGCATTCTCCGATAGATCGCCGATGAGCCAACAGTGTGTCGTACTGGTAACTCAAGAAGTTACTGATGGTAAGAGAGTAAGAAAGGGGTGATCCGTGGTTAAGGGAAAGTGGCAATTCGCGATTGCCTTTGAAGAGAAATCAACCGGGTTGTTATGATAAACCCAGACTGTTGACACAATGAGAATTAATGATATAACAATTACAATCAGAAGGCTTCATAGTAGTTACAAGTGTAAGCCTATAAGCTGTTCTCCATAGTCGTTCATGATCATGTGATACATGGCTTCCCCGTTGTCAACTCCCGCACCATGTTGATCAAAAGCGCTCAAGAGAATCTAAAACCGTCACAGACACATCACTAAACTGGAAACGCTGAGTACAGTATAAGTCTTCTACAATTCACATTACTATAGAAGTCGACCCATGATCCCCTATGCGTTAAGCAATGACGACTGCCTTAGTAAAATAGAATAGATCCTTCACAAAATTCAAGAGGGTTGCCCCCTCCGAACTGACCTCTTCCGGCCATGGTGGGTTGATCCATCTCCATGACCCAGCCCTAAGCTCGCCGTACAGCTGACCAGGAGCCCATCGTGCACAGCCGTCGAATATTATCGCATGGGCTCTCTCATCTCCTGCCCCACGGTCCTGCTGGGCAATCCCTGCTAGTACTGCGGTCAAGTCCCCGCCGAGATAGACAGAATCCTCACGGTCTTGCGAGAGGAGCACCCGAGCACCCACAACACCGCGGGCCTGGTGCATGATCTAACATTATAGCCCTACAACAAGTATCTCGCTGGACCAGACTAACTCACCCGTCGTTCCTCGTTGATCCGAACTGGTCCCCCTCTTACTGTCAGAAGCTCCACAGGGGGGCCCTCTGCGGCATCGCGGTAGTCGGCGATCGGAGACCTCGCCACAGGCTTGTTGAGAATCAATGCTAGAGACCCCATGTGGTCGTGCTCCAATACAAGGGCGACACTCCGGTAGAAGATCGATCCCGGTCCGACTACACGAGTGACGTAGTAAGTAGTCTGCCTGCCGTTGACTTACTCATGTTGTCGTTTGCAACCAGCAAGGCCCCCTTGTGGAAGTTGGGCACCGGTGCTCCGTGACGTATAAGGGCTACTCGGAAGCCGCCCTCATCGTCATGCGTGATGACTGGTCTAATGCCGAAGGAGTGCAGTGAGGCACACAGACCGATTGCCATCAATGCACAAAGTATAGGGCATCTGAACGACAGAGCCGATTCGATAACAGCGATGAGTCGCCGTACCGCACCTGTAGGCGAGCACCAGCATCACAGCCATAACTCCGACGAAGATCAATGACCGATTCAAGAATATCGCAAAGGTAATCGTGAACAACGTCAACATGAGGTCCTTCGCTAACGCCCATAGTCTCTCCCACAGCGGTCGCTCAGGAGGACTCAGAGCGAATCTACCCTGAGTAGTAAAAATGTGAAAACCAGCGTGTGTTTCCTTTTCCTACTTGGCACACGCTGCATGTCGTTGCTTTATCACTCATGAAATCACCCGGTCCTAGAGCCTGTGTTGCACGCTGCCACCGTCGCAGACACGATACATGTACATACTGGAAAGGAAACCGCAAATAATACAGAGTTGATGAATTCTCACGAACCTTCTGTGAACCTTTGCACATACAAGGGGCAATCAGCTCGTTGCCTTTAGTCTCCCCATCGCTGAAGCATATGCGACAGAGCAACTCCGTGGATTCGTCACTGGCATCACTCTCTGTGGGATCAGTTGGAACTTTGTCACCACGGTTTTTCAGGACGGAAGGCCCCATGTAAGCAACAGAACTGCAGAAAGTCCCTATCAGAGCTCAGAATTTCTTAGGTGGACGATCAGCTAACAGGCCGAGACGACATGGGCGTATTCCTTCATATCAACAGAGAGCCTTGCCTGGCAAACTATTCCCGAGTGGTATAAATGAAAGCGATGTACAGCAGTTTAGGAAAACTTGCACATGATGATAAACTGCATGTGTTGGCCTGTGCATTTCTTGTGAATTCGTTTGTAAACTTCTATAATTAGTGAGGAAACTCTTGAGCTAAGCTGAGGAAAGCGTACATATAAGAAACCAATTCCTCTGGTGCCAGAGGGTACTCCGAGTACTGTGGGACTCGGAGTGCGATTTGGTCAGTACTCCACGCAAGAATTGACAACTGCTCAGCCTCCAACGATATGACTCCCACCATATTGGGCTATGAAGCCGATACAGCAGTGGCAAACAACCACCCCTAGTCATGAAGTTGAGGGAGACACAGAAGGGCATTTTAACTAGTGCGGCAGACAGCAATTGAGCAATGACAAGGGGCTCAGAGCTCACCTGCGTACCTTGGGAGAGAGGTGACAGTCGTGGTAGGAATCACAAGTGAAAATAACACTGTCCTCGATCGGAGGCTCTCAATCTTCCCAGGAAAGGCTTCCTATTCGCCACATACTACAGCCCGATCCCACCCGCCATATGAGTTCACTACAAACCAACCCGCACTGCGTTAGAACAGAAACACCATGTACACTTCCCAACCACGCTCACTTGCCCTTGATAATCTGACGATACGCCAGCGTAAGTCGTTCCCTCATGTTCTGATCGATATGCGGCCCAGGACCAGCCCGATGCATCTCTACGTGCTTCACTAACTGACACCATGGACGGCCCATCGAAGCCCTGTATGCAATGCTCAACTACCTGAAGGCTCCTGTACCAGCCCAGGCCTGAGTTCCGCTTCACTTCCATACGAAACTGCTTCTTAACATCTAACAGCATCCCCTGCTGCTCCTCTAACCTCCTCTGTGCTACGCCAGCTCGCCGCGCCTCTATACGGGCTTGCCTTGAAGCTTTCTATCAAAAAACCAACGTCCCCACAATAGGAGCATTATACCGTCGTACAGCGGGGCCCTTAATCGAAATACAAATAACTCAGGAAAGAATTTCGTGATGCGAACGCATCCACGGAGCCTTGTACTACCTTCCTTGTGCCGAAGACACGTATGGGTTTGACCTTGAAGTAGGAGGCAGCACTTCGAATTGACCCCAAGGATCCCCAGAGTAGCCCTCGCGAGAGATATTGCTGGCCGATACTAAGTAGCTGGAGCGACATAACGAACCACGCCTAGAATTCACCATTTCTAATTGAGCACTTGGCAACGCTAAAATTCCCACATGGAAACGACAAAGGTCTCATTATGGTCCACATAACACAAAGGATGTACTAAACAAGTCGTACATGGCTCTACTAGAGTCTCGTGTAGGGCATCGTAACACTCATGGAAGTGCCTCCCAGTAGCTAGAGGGACATGGTCGAGTCCGGAGACCAGTACTGGACCACACTGATGTACAGAGACCATCAAGGGCAGCCCTGGGCACAAGGCAGAAGGTAGTGACTCGTACCAGTAACAACGGCAAGCCGAATAGCATCGTCCAGGTGTTGAAGCTGGACTCAACTACCTTGGTGGGAATTCCTGAGCGCCGACGAGCACTAGTGCAGAAGCGGCAGCAATCCGTGAGCATGTCCGGTCCGAACATAGTCAGCAGAATTTAGCAAAGTCCTGACAAGTCGCATTATTCTCCGGAGGTCATAAGGCAATGGTAACGACAGTTAGCCCTTTTGTGCTTTTAGACCACTGAAATTTGCTGCAGAGGAAAGGGTGAGTGATCGAGATGACAATACTAGAGATATTGATGATGTTGATGTTGACAAGGGATGATGTGACCTGATGTGACTCATCGTCGTTCATGTGGTTGTGTTAGTCTAGAGCGATGGAGCGAGCACGATTTCAGACGGCTGCTGTTCTTTTATGAACGGCCGTATTGAAGCGTTACGTCCATTGACAGCAATATTAAAAGGTAAATCGTAAGGCTACAGGGTGGCCGCGGGGCCCAATGTCCCCACAATCGGGGTTGAATGTCCACACACGCGGAAAAATGTTATTTATAGAGTAGAATAGCGGGCCTTCGGCCCGCTTTTTACTGTGGTCCCTTTACGACCCTATCACGTACACCCTATACTCGAATAGTCCACGAAGGATAGACACTGGGGTTCAATTCCCAACTGCGGCGTTGCGGAAAAATTACATGCACTTTGCACAAACTGCGCAACTTGAGTTTTGAAACCGTTTTGAAAGAAAAAGCCTCGCGGTAACCCCCCCACAGGTCTTGGCGCCTCAACGTGGCGTGGGGGTGACCGGTTCGGTATAGCCGGTGCCAAGCCTTGACCACCTCTGCGGCAGAGGCTCTGCCTATACTCGTACATCCCTCAGCGGGTGCCTGGGAGTAAGGTGGGGTTTCCCTCTGTTGATGCCTGTTTAGCTCTTTTCTAGCGTTTCATTCGGCGGCCTGCTACTATGTGTATACCTGTTCTATCTTACCCTTACATTATATCTCATGCCACACCGTTCCCCATCACGATTTTGTCTCATGCTATTCCTGCACCACTGTCTAATTGTCGAGGATTGCTTTCACATTTGACCTGGCTTTTGTCAGGCTTCGGCTTTTCTTTCCCCTGAGTTACGTCGTATCTGCCACCGCCTTTGCCCAACAGTTGCTCCCGTGTTCTTTCGCTCAGTTGTCTCATTTTATGCATTCGCGTTCGCCCCGCTTCGTTAGTTCTTCTTTCTTGTCATTCCAGGTACTACCAATGCGCCGTGTCCGAATTAACTTGCTGGACAAGACGCCAACACCACGTGCAGCACCAGTGACAGCGGGTTATTATTCTTTCTGAACACTACCTCTGTTGGTTTTGCAGCGAGCATGGTCCACTGTATGACCTGGGAATCATCGCGATGTCTTCTCGCTCTCGACCATCTTACTGTCGATGTTCACCACCATGACTCCCGGTGTATTCTACCCAGTGCCGAAGAAGCAAGAGGAGCGTCTCCTGTACCGTCGTAGACTTGACTTACTTCCCCTAATCAACCACAGCTGTATCTGTCTGCCGTGTAAACCCTGTTCTGGTGGTTCATTTCCTTCCCTGTGCTTCGCTCAGCATATATCGTGCGATGTCATCACTTTCGCATGATATGCGATATTATGTTAGAGCTGCCCGGAGTCTATATCGTCGTCTTTATAGTAGTCGTATTTCTTTCCCTTCGTTTCAACTCCTTTTTTCCCAGTTTTAAACTAAATCTAATGGTTAACCTAAATTAGGTATTATATCGGGCCCCACTCTTTGCATTATTTACCTCTCTCTCTCGTTGTAGTAGTAGCTCACTGACTACCATGACTAATTTGATGAAACACAACCGTGCATTTGTCAACCAGTCCAGTAAGCCTATTTCTAACGATCGAATGTTGCTGGGGTCTAGTTTCAATTTCGAAGCCAGTGATTGACTCTGGCATCGGGAGTATCATGGTCCATACTTCATGGGTATGACGAGCACTCTGAGTTTGTTTAACGCAAAAGATGCAGACTATCAGAGAAAGAATGATCCAGAGCGCTCAGTGCTAAACTTAGTACGCGTTAACACTGCACGCATCTACTGAAGCGGCTTCAGAATCTCTCAAGCTCAAAATTACAAAATGGAGCAGACTTGCGATAAACTTTGATAGGAAAGCAGCGCATATGAAAATATTTACCTACGCCGGCACATCTGAGTGTATACCCGTAATAAACTCTTTCGAGTTTCGGAAACTCAGTTTCCGCCTCACTCAGCGGGGACCGTCAGACCACTGGCATTTCAACGTTGGGGCCTCCGGGATGTACATCCCATCTAACAGCCATGTGTAGCGACCAGTCTAGCGGGCCCCTCTGTGAGGAATTATGAGATAGAGAAGCTCTCTAAGAAAGCCACCAGGGATCGGGTCAGGGAGTTGCCGAAGGATGGCAGATGAGCTAATCCAACTCAGTTGGCGAGAAGAATCTTTCAGCGTGCACAGTGGGGGTTGGGCTACACAGTGCTATGCACTGCATTTCCATCCCATCGTCATCATCGTTTGTAAAGAATATCCAAAGCCATTAATTCAATTTCACATCATGTCAGGCATAGTAGATACTTACTTGAATTTCGACTATTGAAAAGTATACTATTAACGTACTTCTTAGTGAGAAATATGTAGCAAGTATTTGATCTTGTTTCTGTTGTGGTTGACAGTGATTATTCATTAGAATTTTTTCAGAAGTGAGTCGAATGAATATAACAAGTTGGGGATGAGCTGAAAACTCTCCACTACAATGAATAGCAGTGATCCCTTGTTGTTATCACTCCCAGTCTCCAGCCTTTGCACTGCAAAGTTTGCAGCACTTTGCAGTCGCCATCCACATCAGCTATGAGGGTGTACCACAGCTGCAGGTGACGGGAGGACCCCAAGTAACTCGCGTAACGCTGAAGCAGCGTCAGGCGAGGCTTTCCTTTCAAAAACGTTCCAAAACTCAAGTTGCGCAGTTTGTGCAAAGTGCATGTAATTTTTCCGCAACGCCGCAGTTGGGAATTGAACCCCAGTGTCTATCCTTCGTGGACTATTCGAGTATAGGGTGTACGTGATAGGGTCGTAAAGGGACCACAGTAAAAAGCGGGCCGAAGGCCCGCTATTCTACTCTATAAATAACATTTTTCCGCGTGTGTGGACATTCAACCCCGATTGTGGGGACATTGGGCGCCGGTAGCCTACAGGGTACGATCTAAGGACGAAATCTCGCTCGCCCTCGGACACTTTCTAAGGGAAATTCTGCCATTTTCTAAGGAACTTCTGCCTTTCTCTAAGGTATTTCTGCCTTTTTCTAAGGAAGCCACCTCTCCGCTAATGGGTCCTTCCGGCCTTGTTATGCAGCTTCGCCTTGGATAAAAGTCTTGCCTTGGACAACAGCTCGGGTTTCGGGTTGCCCTGGATTACAGTTCGGGTTTCGGGTTGCCCTATCCGGTTTCGGGTGGGGTTTCGGGTTTCCCTTTACCCGCTTCACCTAGAATCCTTTCTTTTCTTTTTGGTTTTGCGGTTTGGGTTCTGCCTTGCTGTTGAGGGATCTGGGTTGCTTATCTTTCACTGGTGAACCAACTCCCTTCTACGTTCAGAAATCTGTTAGTGATCACGAAGTTTCTCGTGATAATGTGTTGCTCTGCAACCTAGCTGCCCATAGCCACCTCGAGCTTCCTTCGGGTTTGATCTGCCAAGCTAAATCACGAAGACTCCCTTCGACTAACGCAACGCTTCTCAAGCTTTCTTAGAACGCTTACCCCTCGATTGCCTGGAGCTCGAGGCGTCGGAATTCTGTTACATACGTTATTACACAGATAAGTACACCGAGGGGTACTTAGATTGGCGTGGGCGACAGAGTACGCCCTCCAACGAGCGACTGTCGATCCGGAGAAGGCCACTTACGATGAGGAAAAAATGCGGGATCATGCGGTTCGTTGTCTGCAGGAGAAGAGATTAAAGCCATTCCCACGAAAACGCGGAAGGCCCGGCAAAAACAACCGTCTTCAGGGCCGGATGGATATCGAGCTGTAGGCTGGAAGTGTCAATCATACAGTTTCTTCACAGTTTCGTGTGTGTTATTATGAATGTGGATGTTTCTGAGCGTGAACGTCTTCTGTTGCGTTTCTCTGCCAATGTTCAGTGTTCGTCCATTCGAGATGTTCGTCCATAGGACTTTATCGATTGTGTGGGCGTGCGCTAACATGTTCGTCCCTTTGATTGTTCGTCCATCTGATTCACAACCCTTTGTGGTCCATGCTTCGATGAACCGATTCGTATTTCGTTAGAAGTAAGTATAAAATGGTGGAGTGGTAAAGTTTGAGTTTGGTGTTTGGGAGATTCTGGTTCGAATCGCGGTTATATAACATTTTACGTTGTGTTTAATTGCCGTAAGGATTCCTAATATCCTCAGATAGCACATCCTTACGTTAGGTAAGGACGTCTTTAAGTATAGGATCCTAACGTTAGGTAAGGAAAATCTAGTGAGATAGCCTTAGTTAGGTAAGGACGTCCTAAGGTTAAAATCCTATACGTAAAGACGTCCTAATCTAAGGACGCTTGTGAAATGGGCCCCTTGACAGCAACACTAGTAATGTTTAGTAAATGCAAGATTCCAAGAATGGCAAGAATCCTAATCGTCACACGCCACGAAATTATCAAGGACAACAACTTAACTGTGACATGACATCCAACGCTTAGCTAGCGCAGCTCGACTACTACTAGCAATTGAAAGGGAAGCGTTCATGGTACAACGAGCCTCTAGGTTAGGTGAGGGTTCCCCTATAAGGCTCGTTGAAAAGGGAGTATATACAATCTCGTGTTGGCTCTCGGGTTGGGCTGCTGTGTGTCGCAAGCTAAGTCGATGTATGCGATCGAGGGAGTAGAGGAGAGCTCTCAGATTTGAAGGGTAGTCGCTCAGCTAGTACTATGGGAATGTGTATTTTTAGCCGATTCTACCGAGAAGGGTTAATGAAGTGTTTTCATTTAGTTTTGTTGTTGCTGTGATGTTGTCATCGTCGGTGGGCATTCGCTCGAGTCAACTGGCCCCAATGGGCATTAGGTTCTTCGCCAGCAAGGCCCCCAAGCTGGTCTTGACCCTTAACTGCGGTTCCAGCTCTATCAAGTACCAACTCTTGGACATGAACTCTGAGGACTGCAAAGTGAAGGGTCTTATCGATTCGATCGGCACTGAGAACTGCAAGCTCCGTTTCGACGCTGAGAGCCCCAATGAGAGAGTTGAGAAGATTCCCAACATGTCCTATGAGGATGCTATGACTTCGGTTATCGAGGATATCAAGTCCAAGCCCGAGGTCATGGAAGAGGGTATCACTGGTGTTGGCCATCGTGTCGTTCACGGTGGTCCTAAGCTCACTCAGCCTACCTTGGTCACCCCTGAGGTCTTGCAGGAGATCAAGAACTGCATCAAACTAGCTCCTCTTCATAACCCTGCTAATGCTGAGGGTATCGAGATCGCTGGCAAGATCCTCGGTTCTGAGGTTCCCCATGTTGCTTGTTTCGATACTGCCTTCCATTCAACTATTCCCGAGTACGCAAGCACCTACGCTATCCCTTACGACATTTCGAAGGAGCTCAAGTTGAAGAAGTACGGTTTCCATGGCATCTCGCATCAGTACGTGTCGTTGAAGGCAGCTCAGGATCTCCATTTGGACCCCGCTCGCTCCAACTTCATCGTTGCTCATCTCGGGAGTGGTTGCAGTGCCACTGCTGTCCATAACGGCAAGTCTGTTGATACCACTATGGGTATGACTCCTATGGATGGCCTTGTCATGGGAACCCGTGCTGGTAACCTTGACCCTGGTGTAGAGCAGTATCTCTGCGAGCAGCTCAACCTTTCCATTGAAGAGGTTACGAATATTCTCAACAAGCAATCTGGTCTTCTTGGTGTCAGTGGTATTTCCAACGATATGCGTGTGCTTATTGAGACCTCTGAGGATGAGTCCGTGGATCCTGAGAAGCGTCGTCGGGCCAAGTTAGCCATTGACATGTTTGTATACCGTCTCAGCCGTTATATTGCATCTCTGATGATCTCCACTGGTTCTCGTCTGGATGCCTTGGTCTTCACTGGCGGCATTGGTGAGAACTCTTCCTATATCCGCTCTCGTGTTATGCAGTCTCTCAAGTTCATGAGGTTCTTCGAGAATCCCAAGTTCAACGCTGATAACGGTGCTAGTTCTGGCGGTATCATCACTGATGTCGACAGCCCCACTACGGGTATGGTTATTCAGACCAATGAAGAGCTTCAGATCGCCAGGGAGGTGTTGCAGGTGCTCAAGGCCGTTTCGAAGGAGAACTAAGTTTAGGACATGTTATCGCCCATTTATCTATCTTGGTATTTTCGACCATTAAGGTTACTTGCACATTCTGTCAACAATAGTACTTCCAAGGGCATCTGTGTAATAGCTCACTAGATGTGCAGCATCCTCTATATAGAATTGTGCAATCTCTGCCCATTGTTCAGCTTCAGAGTTCTCGGTTGTGGTGTTATAGTTAGTAAGGAAATGGCATGCTTGACGTTCGATTGGCTCTCCTAGGCTGGCAATGGGGAGTTGCTCGGCGATAGTCGGCGGCATCACGTAAGGTCCTTGATTCGAGGACTTAGTAATGTGTTGTTTTTGTATGGGCTTCGTTGTAGTCTGATCTAATAGGAGTTACTGCGAAATTTCTAGCTCAGGTAAGGTTGAAGGAACACCGGTTGAGTTTTGGTGAAGCTCCAACTGTACAAGTCGATCATCAAGCGTGGCGTTGTTATTGTTTAACTGGCTCTGACATAACCGGGTTATGACAACTCGCATCTCATATCACTGCTCCCATCACGTGTATTCGAGTACACTGGCAGTGGTGTCTAGACCTAGGATGCCCACAAGAATGCCATCTCCTTCTGGTGGTCACACGTCTCTTCCTCTGCCTTTCGGTGGAAGCTCCGCCGAAACTATAGGGGAGTATGCTCTCTGACAGAGTCTCTGTGCCAGAGCGAACGGGTGGGACGAGCCCAAAGCTTGCCCCGAGCAGCCTATTTGTTTCATCGGTCGTAACATAGGATCCAAGAGAAGATAACCCTGCAATTTGTAGGTTTCCTATCATGCACGTATGGTAACCTATGATCAGGAATCCTGATCATAGGATTCCTATGGCCCATGCCACCTACAATGCAATCATAGTGGCTCTACTCTGCCGCCTTATCATGCCGCTCTATCGGGCAGCTGGCGCCACCACCTGAGATCGTTGACTTCAACAGGGGAATCAGTCGACACTCTCGTGACGAGGGCCTCGTCCCCGAGCTCAACAAGCTATACTTCGAAGCCTTCTTGCCGCTTCGTGGGTATCTCCCACGAAGCGCCAGTGTCTCGTTTTTCATAATGCCCAGAAGATGGAATAATAACGTTCATAACAAAACCATTTATCACAGCTTTGCAGCCAACGTAGACGGAGTGGATGCGGAGAAGAAGGAAATGGTGGACCGAATGAGTCCACGTTGATGGTCTTAGCAAGTTATAATGGGACGCTCCTCGAGCGAGATGTTGCTTCTGGTCGCTCTCATAGTCAACCCAACACTTGATGATTGTACGTATGGTAATGAGGATAACAATGGGATCTAGAGAGGTTTGTAAACCAATCTATCTTGTACATGCGTGCTACACCTAATGTAAAATGCTGAAGAATCACAAGGGAACAAGTTGGCACCATTAGTCCGCGTACAGCAACAGCGTCTCCTACGTATCTATACCCTTCTCCTACTTATCTATACCCCTAACTTCATTCTCCCGGCTTGTATACTCCACGATTTCGTTGGATGAAATTGGTATAGTGTTTGGTGAATTCGAAATTCTATTATGGAGTCTCGAAAGTTGAATTTTCATTTCGAAATTCGAATCTGAACTTGCATTATGCGAGTTCAGATTCGAACCTCGAGATGAATACGCTTTCATTTTAGGCTAGAGCTAAAGCCTCTAGCACGAACTACTTCCTCCGCAGAATCGCTTGAATTCAATTCCGACTCACTGCGGGGAGCACGGGCTACTGCTGACCTCGCCGTGACACCGGAACATTCTCTGTGACGCGTGGCGCGGTGACACCGGAAGGTGAAGGAACGGTTACTGTGTTGTTCAGGCTTCTTTAAACCATTTGCCTTTGAGGTATGAGAAGTCTTATATCTGAATATGGCTCATCGGATACGTCGTCGGGCTTCCTGCGATGGTCGAGACCGGCGGAAAAGAAGCCGTCAGTATTCCACAGATTCGTTCGGGCGCTTAAAGTCGCGCTCGAGGAGGACTACCGTCGCAGTAGGCTAACAGTGGCGGTGCTATGTGGCGTGATATTGTTATTTATTCTTTCGTACATTTTGACCCTGCTGATGATCACTTATCGGCCTTCGTTACTTCTAGCAATATCTGTCGAGAAAATCTCCATGCAAGAGGTTTGGTGCGGTATGGTCACACTTGTCGGCGAAGCGAGGTATTGCGCTCGAGGTACAGCTGAACTGAGGGTGCGGAATAAATTATGGTGTGACCTAACGATCCACAGCTGGTTCATAGGGACGCCGTATAACTACATTCATCAACTGGAGGATATCAATGTTGGAAATTATGAGATTGACGGAACTGTTGTAAAAGCATTTGATGAAAGTGTCTTGGTTTTGCCGGTTACTCTAGTATCGTTCACGGGTGACGACAGTTGGCTTCCTAAGACGAATCATTTTGCTCTACAGCTGGATGTCTTCGCGATGGGATGGCGCTTCAACGCTCTAGAATATGATGTACTGCAAAAGCCGAATTTCATCGTTCCTACTTGATCAGTGCGAGCTGTTCTCGGACACCTAAGGTATCCCATGTTGAACGATGACTCTGCCGGTGTCGGTGCCTTCTATTTCGTTACATAAGTTATCGGATTAGCTGTCGCATAGAGTATCCAATCCAGTGTTATCAGTGCTTTGTACACTTCTTTGATTTGGAACTACGTCTTTCTGACCGGGTTCAATGTTTAAACTCTCTTTCTATTATTCGGTGAGTATACTTTGCAGTTGTGTAAAAGAGTATGTAAATCATTGGTTCCCGATTTATCCGGTTTGCAGTTTTGTCAGGGCGGTGTTATGCGTTCGAAGCATCTGGAGTACTTCTATCTGTCAGATGAGACCTAGTGCACTCCCGTCGTAAGTAATGTACAGTTGACTAGAGTTGCATAGAGCTCTCACATTCAATTTGGCGGAAAAGGCGGCGAGCCACTTCTCGCCAGGCAGTTGCGTAGACGGATCTCGGTCACATAGCTCTTTGTTCGTTGCTATACTGAGCAGACAATTGGTTCATCTTAGAAGGAGTGAGGTTCGCTGTGGAATCGATTTGGGAAGACTTGAAACTGGTCAAGGAAAGTGCGGACTTGTAGTGCGGACGATCAGCAGGAATCAGAATGGGAATATTATATATGTTCAACGTTGAAGAGCTCAGAATAGATTTGAATGACCGTGATAGCTAGCATAGCATATCCCTAACATAGGACGAAAAATTGGGTGCACCACATGACGACAACTACTTGTGAACGGACAGATTTCGGTGTGCCTTAGCGTTATCGGAACGGCTTCGCGTATGTTATTTCCCCTCCCGGGGACCTGATAGACGTTGCTGTATTCCTATGGATTTATAGCATGCACTGAAGTGAGCCTTCCAGCGATCGCTAGGCTCACTCCCCCATAATAGACTCAACTCGTATTCTCGGATTCGTCCATGTCGAGTTATCAAGGGCTTCGAATGGGTGTGAGCAGGGAGAAGTAATGCTTTCAATACGGGGTGGCCACGGAGAGAAGGGAAGGTAGAACCGAACAGTGTGGGGGTATCTGCAACTGTTCTGCAGAAGCGGACACGGCTCTAGGCCCAGCTTGCGGCTGAGTGGGCACAAGTGAAGGCGAAGATGGTGGCAAACGCCTGGCCAAACTGGCGGTGCAGACTGGAGTCGGCTTGCAAGGCCCAACGGGACTGCGAGGGCGAACTACTCAGGAGGTGGGCAGTGCTTGCTAGTTGCGGCGCTGATATGGAAGAGGGAGCAGAGGAACCCCTGTTAATTGCGAGAGACGCAGGCCTTCCTGGAAGTTTCCTGCTGGCCCGTTCAGAAATATCTATTTCGTCGATAGCTAACAGTGCGAGCCACCTCAAGCAGCCTCGAGCCAGGATTGCAACGAAAGGCGCCGCCGGGGCTAGAGCGGCGTCGGCAAATACGTCTGCTGCCTTCAGAGTGGGTACCCGCAGCAACAACCAGGAATTTGACTCGTACGCAGAGTACCCTTAGCGTGCTGACGAGAGCCACTGCTTCAGTTTATGAGCGCGAGAATCTATCAGTATGATCGGACCATGACGTTATAGAACGTTGCTGTGCCATTGCAGGGATCAGTGACGTCTCCAAGCTGAAAGTTAATCACAACAAGCCTGGGTTAACCGCTGTGAATGGAGGAGACCGGGGCTGTCCTCGAACACAGCTCCGATAACTGGACGCCGAGTGAGAATCGCCACTGAGTCAAACACGAGGGAGGGTTGGGTTCACGAAGCTACCGAGCTTGCACGTCCAGAATTGGACGGGGGAAGGCACACTACGAACAATGTCATCATCGCCGACTAATGCACCGCAAGAGAAGGGGCGACACGACGCTGATGGTGTCACCATGGTGCAATAATCCACACTAATGCAGCTACCATGTAACAATCACTGATCCTGGTTTCTCACAACCCCGACTGTTGTTTTGTATGAGTTCATATCACAACGCCAAGCTGAGACATTCAGAAACATGAAAATCGTGCTGGTAGTCACACCAAAGGTGGCTTTATCGGGCCGAGGTACTCTTCGGGCTGCAACTTGGGCCTGACAATCAATGTGAGTCGGCAGCACGTACTGGGAATTGCCCCTACCGGAAGTTCTCGGGCAAAGGCATCATGGCAGGGGTGAGCGCAGGAAGGCCCTCGGCTATCTCGACTCTGAGAATAGCGCATTGATCGCTCTTTAAGTGGTTCTAGTTCAGACCTGCACCGACGCATCTGCTCCGCTAGCTGGGCACACGTCCGGACTGCTTGATCGAACAACCTAGAGGGGGAGCTGGCCATGGGTAGAGTGTTGTAATACAGTACTCATCGCGGCACTGGTCGTAATATTGTTTATTCACGTGGTAGCACTTGAATTCTCCCTGGTATCTGTGGCACTGGTCATAGTAGCGATGGCAAAGGCCTTACGAGACTTCTCGTTCCCATTTTGATCTCTTTTCGTCGTGTATCCAATCCTTGCGCTCGTGGAGGAACGTGGCAAAGCTGTCAATAGAAATCAACGCTTTTACACCCGACGTTCAAATGCATCGGTGGAAGTCACAGTTTGCTCTCTTAGCTGAGCTCGGGAGTTTCCTCGCTAATTAAAGGAGTTTATATGCGAACTAGGGTGTTGAGAAACCAACAAGAATTTCCCCGGAATTTCCACATTGTCACCGACACAGGTGCATATTTTCCCACCGCACTGTGGTGTCTTATTCCGCCCGCCTACCCCATCCATACGAACTCGCTTATCGTGGCGAACAGGAGGAACTTCTGCCAGAAGGTCTGTCGATAGATCTTCTTGCCGATCCAGCTGGCAGCCGCTGCCGCTGGTCCCCGGTACACCGGGAGGTTCACCAGACGTGTAGATGAGAACATCAATGGCAACTGGAAGTCTCTGTCGACGTCGAAGCGAAAGGGATTTTCATAGACCCCCCCTTGAGTTTCACCACCAAGGTATAGTTTTACGTGTAATGCGTTTTTGAGACCACTTTATTTTTGGGCGGAAAATAAAGTATACACGCTTGTCGAGGCAGAATATACGAACCATAGGTGAAGACGTTTATCAACTCTAGCCAGCCAACTCCAGCAGCGCACCAGAACAGGTCTGCAAGTGGTGAAACGACCGTTGAGGAAATGCAAGATTTGTAAGGTTCGGCAAGAAATCAAGACCGTCTTTAAATTACGTTGGTGGTGACGAGATGAACTGGTTCGAGAATCTATTTGGTTTCAAAGAGGCAGCGTGAGTCTGTTGCATACCGCTATCTTTTATACATTCTATGTCAGGTACAGCCTCACAAGAAGTCATTTCTGTGAAAGGCGACTGCTGGACGGCGCAATCCTTTTGGAGTCTAAAATCGATGGCCGGTGAGGACACGGCAGTTGTTATCACTGGTGATTTTCTGGGTGTCAGAGAGTTCGACGTGGGACGGTTCACGATGCCGACTCTGGAGTCATTGAGAAACGAATATGCAGCTTTGGTCGAGGACAGTATGAACAGGAGTATGTGACTTGTTTAGGCTCGTCTAGGTATGATGATGGTCTCAGGTGGACACCTCCGTAACGGCGCTTTTAGCCTTACTAATATTGTAGCGGACGTTAGGGACCTCCACAGAGACCCGCTGAATAAGGGCGCTGTGTTCCAGGTGGCGAGCCAGTTCAACTGTTTAGAAATGCCCAGCATGAACTTGACACCTGAGGTTTGACGAGACGTGTTGCTGATGATGGTTTTATACTTACCGTCTAGGATGGTATCACGAACTATATCAACGACCCCACGCAGGGTCCGGCCTGTGCCATGGAGTGCGCCCCTGGAACGCTGTATAGGAACTACTTCGTGAGTGCTCTTCTTGCATTCTTCTCAGGGCGGTCTTCAGGTCAATGTCAATCCCGATGGGACTCTGAATGACGATGGTGATGGTGAATCTTTAGAGTGAGTATTTCGAATCATCATCGGACTTTGTCATTTATGTGCAGGCCCGGGCAGCACGCAGATCGTCAAATCAACTGCCTGGCCTATCTGGGTGAGGCCCTAGGGAACAACATGGAACGCTACTGGCATCTTAAAAACGGGTGGGAGGGAAAGTTGCTCATGTGTTGGTATTATAACTACTCAGCTACGCCCTACCATGCGAGTCGACTTCACTCGATCGGCTATCGGATAGGCTACAGTCGCTGTCTGAGGACAAGCTGGATGACCTAAGAGGAAAACTGGCTGTTGGTGTGCAGTGGAATACTGAAGTAACATAGAGGGCGTGGTAAGCTCAAGCGTACCTCTTTATAGGTGTCCTCGGTCGAGTACAGTGAGCAACGAGTAAGCCAGGTGTATGCTTCTGCGGTACCGGTGGCGTATGCAGCTGGTACTACTGCTGCCCAATGGGAACCATTTGCTAGACTGGTAGGCCCCGATGGGCCTCAGTGACTGTGTAGGGCTTAGTAGGTACTGAGAGGCTGCTATGAGAGCACTCTACTGGTTGCGGCGTTGCTGGCTATCGAACAGGGTAAACGGGAGAAGGTTTATCTCACACTGGTCGGGGGCGGTGTCTTCGGCAACGATGAAGGGTAAGTCGTAGTCGCAGGCCTCTTATAGTGATGATGGGCATTCAGGTGGATCGTGGATGCAATACGAGAGTCTCTAGTGAGTCTGGAGGCGAAGTTCGGCGGTTTCCTTCCGATTGATATAGTCGTTGTCCATCATAGTCGAGTCAAGCCAGCCTTCGCAGCGCTTGAGGACTGGGCGATTATTCGTTCTATTGTTAACTAGTTGACTTTCTTCTGGGTTCCTAAATAATTTTTTCTGCTCGGATACCGCTCCTCGCTGAAGTTTTTCAATTATGACCAGCTATTCGCAGAGTAGCTATGGGAGATGGTGGGAATGTTTAGGCAACCATTCGAGAATACTTGCTTCCCTTCGTCGAGACATGTGCATCTCTATTTGTGCAGGACTGGTGACTTCGAATGAATAGTGGGCTGATGTGTTAGTCGCAGGGTTACGGGTCGCAAGTGGCACATGCTGGGTAGGTTATTCGAATGATTCGGATAAAGAAGAGGGCGATGCCTTTGAAAGGCATCCGGCTACTCGAATCAACTAATTTTAGGCTTGCAACTTTTCTAGTCGGTGCTTGGGCAGTTTGGAGTTTTCTGAGCGGTGGACTCTCTTGGGAGTGAGCGTTCTGATGCAGCTTACGTGCACAGTTTGTAGTGTGATAAGAGTGGCTTCTGCGAAACAGGCAAGCGTGCGGGAGATTAACCTGGATAGATTGATTCACCGGTCGAGGCGGGAAGGCCTTGCCTTCATTCTCATCGAGATTCATCGTAGTCTTCCACTTAGGAGCCTCTGCAAGGTGTTAGGATCGCAGGGGCCGGGGTATTGGCGTCATCTACCTGGTCGCTATCGGTGATGTACTTTGACTGTTGTAAAGGGTTGCCTGTTAGTCTGTGGTTCCACTACTCATGACTGGTATTTCGGATTCATTCGAATCGAGGATAGCTGCTCGCCGTAGAAATTTCAAAAAGGCCTCGGGCGATGCCAACGACATGCGTCGTCGCAGGGAGGTGCTGTGTGGCGGGCGGTGCTGTCTGGGAGTAATGGTTGTGTCTCAGGATGCTACTGTGCAAATTCGCAAGAAAGAAAAAGAGGATCAGCTGGTCCGACGTCGTAGACTAGGGGCCGCCGAAACCGAGGAGAAAACACAGGCGGATTTCAAGACGCCGAGTAAATCGGCGACTCATGTTGGCTTGAAGGAGGAAGGTAAGGATGGTAGTGAAAGCACTCTTGCTGTTTGTGATGGAGCTCAGATATCCCAGCGTTGAAAGCGGCACTCAGTGGGAGTGACGAGGCGGCTGTGATGGAGGCACTGGTGTCCTTTAGAAAGCTGCTGAGCAGAGAGGACCGGCCACCTATTCAAAATGTCATCGATTCTGGAGTAAGTCTACAGCGGCCGTCGACGGAGCTGAGTCGGCTCTACTAGGTGTTACCACGCTTTAAGGAACTGCTGGACAACCCTATGTCATCTAAGATGCAGTTTGAGGCCGCATGGGCGCTCACTAACATTGCTAGTGGCAACCACGACCAGACTCTGACGGTGGTTGAGCTCGGTTCGTATGGGATCATATACGCCAGCCTCAGTAGTGGCACTGCAGGTGCTGTGGAGTCATTTCGGAAGCTCCTATCGTCGAAGAATGCTGAACTGCAAGAACAGTCTATTTGGGCGGTCGCGAACATTGCTGGCGATGGACCAGGTGGGGTCGCTGCCAACTCGATAGCCTCCCATGTCTGCGGTAGGTATCAGAGACCAATGTTTGAGACTGGGAATTCTCCAACCCTTGTTGGACGTTATCCGTGCTGGTCAGAGTATCGGCCTAGTTAGACTGGGCACGTGGGCGTTGAGTAATTTCTGTAGAGGAAAGCCGGTGGGAAGGGAAGCAGTTTACTACGTACTGAGTGATGGTTATTTAGGCGCCTCCCCTTGAAGTTATCTCACCGGCTCTGGCCACCTTGGCTATGGTGGGTATGACTCTCGGTGCTGTGGGTGACCTGGTCGTGGCAGGTCCTCGGTCTTGATGATAGAGAGGCCCTGACGGATGCATTGTGGGCGGTGTCGTACCTATGTGATGGTCCTAGTGAGAGGATAGAGGCAGTTCTGATGAGCGGAGCGATACCGCGTATTGTGCAATTACTAGGCCATGATAACCCTTCGGTAGTTGGCGTGTAAGGGTGTATCGTATTCGACTCCACAACGTGCAGGTCCATACACCAGCACTACGTGCAATCGGCAATGTAGTAACGGGGGAAGCTCACCAGACAGCGGCTGCGGTAGGCATTGGGCGGAGTCGTCGTGGTAGGTCTATCTAGGTTGATGCTGGGCTCGTGCTCGCTCTGAAGCCTCTGTTACGGAGCTCTAGGAAGATGGTGAGAGGAGGAGGAGGAGCACTGTTGACTAGTGTGGTTGGGTTGTGAAGATACGGAAAGAGGCGGTCTGGACCCTGAGTAACATATGTGCCGACAAGGACATACAGATTCAGAAGGTAGGTGTCTTGGGCCTCACTGTGGTGAAATATACACGTGGTCAAGTTTTGGTGACAATCTGGAAAATCTGGGAAAAATTCTTGTTGGTTTTTTTACATATTGATGAGTAGGCTTCTATTATCAGTGGAGGAATACCAGAGCTCAGCTGAGGAAAGCAAATATATGTTTTAATACTGGCTACTGCGCGAGTCAGGTTATTGATAGCGGCCTGTTGGCCGAGGTGTTCGAGATGATACTTGGTGCGAAGGAGCACGAGATACGTCGAGAGGCTGTCTGGGTGGTCTGCAACCTCTGCACCGGTGGTACGCCGGCACAGGTCCGCTATGTTGTTGATCACTACAAGGCTATCTCGGCTATCTGTGAGAGTATCGCGGACTGGTGGAAGACAGCAGAATATATGGTATAGGTACAGTACTGAACGTGAAGGACTCCAGAATGGTCCAAGTCGCGTTAGAAGCCATTGAGGGCATTCTCAAGGTGGGCTCCGAGGTACAGGAGAAGACGGGCGCGAGCGTAAACCGCTATCTGGAGTGAGAGGCCTGTAGGTGAGCTGACGAAGAGGCTGTGGTTATGTATAGGTTGTTGGAAGAGTGCGGCGGCCTTGATAAGATAGAGGAGCTTCAACAGGACAGCAGCAAAGACGTCTATGAACGGGCTGTTAGCATTTTGGAGGGGTACGATAGGTCTATTCGGCGCAGCGTTGGAATATATGTTTGCTTTCCTTAGCTGATCTCATGAGTTTACTCACGTAGTATAGGGGTTTATATACGCGTTCGGGTGGAAGTGTTCAGAAACTAACAATAGTTTCCCAACATTTCCTCGAAATTTTCACATTGTCACTAACACATGTAGTTGACCATGTGCATATTTTCCCTCACTGATTCGGCGAAGGTTGTTAAATTGATGGTGGTTTTCGAATGGCCAGTTACTGTGAAGTTGAGGAGGAGAATGGGGGCTTGGGAAACGGCAACATCATGACCGATGGCCTGGGCTCAGTTCACCAACAGGAACTGCCACCCTTCGCTTTTGCATGACTGATTCGCGAGTAATTCACACCGTCGTAAGCATCCACCCCGCAGTAGGGTCACTCAAGGTCGATCTCAACTAGCAAAGGGTAGAGTTGTGTTATTGTTTCTGTCGGAGTCAATGGCGAGGTTGCTTAGTTGTTATGCCCAGTAGAAGGGTATTCGACGACAGGTTGGTGGACATCGTGGGCGATCGACAAGTCGCGTGGTGGCTAGTCGTGTCTACGGCGGTATATGCCCTCCTCTCAGTACTACTGTGCTGGGGTCTCTCGTGAATCGGCGGTGTTCAGATGTCAGTGATTCCCCCATCACTAGCGGTGATGATATTGGCCGCGCTAGTGGTAGTAGCTGTGTAAGATTATGATGTATAGTAGGTGAATGTTGAGATGTTAGCGCTGCAGGTACATCAGTAGTTATAGCGGTATGGAGCCTCTGGAGCCGGCTCATCTGCTGCTCTTTCCTGGGCTCCATCCGAGGTCCTTGAGGGGTAGTGCTGAATGTGATAAGACGTCTGAATGGGAGGATAGCAGACGGCGGTCGGAGGGTTGGTCATCATGATAGTGGTGGTGGTGGCTGTCGCGGATTCATGCGTTAACAGTTACTCCGCGAAATGTGTTGGAATCGGCTTCTAGGGCGAAAATGAGCCCAGGATCGTCAGGAACGACGAAGGCTAGTCTGAAGGAAGACGCTCCTCTAGCGACTCCGGTGAAGTGGGTTTATATGCTGAGGAGTTTTGCTCCTCATTCATGCAGATTGACGTTGCCTACGCTATCGGGTGAGAACTGTCGGTGTAGAGTGGGGGGCATGGCCGATGGAGGGGTTGGAAATGGCTCTTCGCAAGCTGAGGGCGATGGTCCCGGCTCGCGGTGAGTCTCCAGTTGGTCGCCTATGGTTGGTATGCTCCTGGTAGGCCTATTCCAGCGGCTCTGCCTCGTAGGGGAGATGAGGGTATGTGGTTTAGTGTGAAGGGTAGGGAAGGGGTAGTATGAGGCCCAGTAGATGGGGTCTCAGGCACGTTCCTGCATGTGGAGTGTTCTAGGGAGGCGAACGAGTTGTTAGATGACGATCACCCTGCGGCCTCTCGAGAAGGCAGTATTGAAGCCTCGGTGAGTCAGTGAGGAACTGCTTGGATTTATTTGCAGGTTGGGTGCAGGTGTTGAGCGCCTCTGAGGAGGGTTCGGTGACTGGAGCTGTAGATAGTAGTGATTCTAGAGAAGCAATGGTGGCAGCGGCGGCGGGCAGGAGACGATTCCGGAGGCGACGGAGCATCAGCGATGCAGATCTCACGTGATAATAGGGCCAGTGTGGGTTGGTGGTACGTGGATAACTGAAAAAATAGTTTCGTTCGGAGTGAATCCGGAGTTCTCCCCAGTGCTGAGGTCGTGAAATAATACTAGATACTATATTAATAATGGTGGTTCACCCGTTTTGGCATAATACTAAGTGTAAAACGCGATATTCGCGATATGCAGTGGTCGTGAAATCTGTTTTTTTCGTATTACGGGTGAAATTCCGATATAAATATGAAGTATTATGTAACATGTATATCTAGTCTGTATATATGACGATAAACATATACTAAATGTATAATATACATGACGATGATCATTTTGAATTGAATGACTAACTGTGTTCGTTTGAGGTACACAGCGTACTTGGCAGAGCTGGCCATGGAGCGGAAAGAGGGCGTCTCGGTAGAGTGTGGTATGTTGGATGAGTTTAGAGGAGACTTTACGTAGGAGGGCATCATCAGTGTATTGATCACAAGCCTCGCCGTCGCAGATTGTCATCGGGAGATAGCTCAGTTGAAGTCAGTGTCCGCGGCGCCCCAACGTCAACAGGTGGGTTGGAGGGATCCGTCAGGCTCTATGTGGGGTGTTACTTCCCCAGGTAGGGATGGGCAAGACAGGCTAGGACTGAATCCAGATGCTCCGGAATTCGTACCGCAGTATCTGAGTGGATCGTGGCTCTCCATGAGCGCCCCACCTCCCGGCATCGGCCATCAGAGGACAGGTAGGCAACCGTGAAATACAGGTCAGTCGCTATACGGGGCGTGCTAAGCGGCCGATATGTCACAGACATGTGGCTGTACTCTCAGACGGTTTCTGGGAGTCTCGAAGGTTCCGGTGACTTCATCTACACGCGTGTTTCGTGGTGAGCGCGGTAGCGGTCGGTGAATGGTGTTATCCACTCACAGGTACTATAAGGTGAAGTCGACTACCATTTATTCTTGTTCGATTGCTTGCATCATCGTCACCATCATCAACAACAACTTCAGTCGGTTAAGTACAATTGTGGCTACATATCACCAGCTGTTTTCTCAACGGGGATGATGCTCATAATTCAGTAGCGCATGAAGCACAGCCAGCGTTGGAGTTGTGTTACAGGCATGTAAAATGCATTTATATTCCACCTACTGGTTTTGGGTAGGCCTTTTCCAGTACATGTCTATTGATGAGAGCAGCGAAGAAGGTGTTCGGCAACCGTTGACAGGGGGAAGCGAAGCGGTGGGTATTCGGGAGATCAGCTCGTTGGACTTCCTACCTCCGCAGGCCTGTATGTGCCTCCTCAGAGTCGGCAAGGCCCCAATCCCCTCCTGTGCAGTTCGCTGGTACGGCATCGAACATTTCACGATAATATACCGTTCGCGTTGCGAGTGTTTGTAGGAATCGCCGCTGGTGCAATGGGAATGAACGGGTGAGTTCATCTCAACTCCTGATGGGAGTCAGTTGTGGCCTTCAGGATTACCTTTTTCTTCTGGGAAGGGCACGGTTATACTACTCACGTCTTAGGAGTGTACATGACGGCATTATCCGTCATCATTACAACAGCTGAGTTCTTACCATTCGCTGTGGACACCTTGATACCGGTATTAGGAGCTATGCCCAGTCCCGTATCGATTTGCGCTACATCGCTTTTCCCCTCAGTGGATGCCGTTCCTTAAGCACTACGGTTCACGTGCGGTGGTTTACCTATTGGCAGCTTTCTTATGCATGGGAGAGGAGATGGGCTTTACAAGTAGTGTCGGATGCATGTTCGTTGACGGGGAGTGCTTGCCAGGTCGATGCGCTGGGGTCCTGATGTTCATGGGCTCGGCGGCTTCGTTCGCCTTCCATCGGTTCTACCCTGGTGCGATGGAGCACGCTCTTCGGCCGGGAAGAGCGGTAGCGTTAGATGGGAGCACAGATGATGGTGTGGCTATGGGCCTCATAGGCGAGAACCCATGCGCGTGAGGAAGCGGTAATGTACCTATTGAGTGCCTCTGTATTATTATTATCTCTCGTGGAGCTCCGTCTTGAGTTAAGTTTGCCTACTCTATCGCTATCAATAAATATCTGGTGAACTCCGTGCGATGGAGGAACTGTAGTTGGGTTCATATACAGTTCGATCATCACTGATGACCGGCTCGCCCTGCAAGAGGGAGAAAGGTGGTACTGAGAGGTATCCGAGGTCAGTAGAGGCCAGCAGCTTGAGGCGGATGGCGCTGCTGGGCAGGTTTGAGCTTCGAGAGGAGCACAAGACGGAATTGAAGGAAGCCTTTGATGTCTTCGACAATGAGGGTACTGGCACTATCGACATCAAGGATCTCCGAGTAGGCATCCAGGGGGCGTTGGGTGGGTAGGGTTGTTGTGTTAGAAATGCTTCTTTAGGTCGCGTTGCGAGCTCTTGGATCTGAACCGGGAAAAGAGGAGATGAAGCGTCTGGTTGGTGGGACGCTGGGCATGGTCCGACAGTGATGATCTACATCAGGCAAGTATACGAGGGGCGTGGGACCGAGGAAGGGGTCGGCGGGAGAAGAGATGGTGACAGAAGATGAGCAGTCACCCTGGCAGCAAGAAGAAGGGGATTCATCAGCATCATCGACAGTGGGTCAGCAGCAGTATGAGGTAGAGGACGAGGAGGGGAGTAGTAAGGATGGGCAGGAGGAAGGTGATGGAGGGCCAGTGAGGGAGCATGGTAGTAGAGGGTTGTTTATTCCAGGGGGAGGTGGGTATATTGAGGTACCTTGGACTTCTGTGAGTTTCTTGAAATAATGTTGGAGAAGATGACAGAGAATTGCTCAAGGGCTGAGGTAGAGCAGGCCTACCATATGGTCAAGGGGGAATCTGGGAAGGTGTCTCGGGAGGATCTCAAGGCGGCAGCGGCTGAGCTCGGTGGGTCTGGCGAGGTATTCATGGTGGTTAAGACAATGAGGCATCAGGTGAACATATAGGAGAAGAAGAGTTGGATGAAATGATGAAGGAGGCGGATACGGACGGCGATGGGTTAATCAGCGAGGAGGAATTCATTGGAATCGTCCTCAATCCGGATAGCGCCTCAATGTGAGCATGTTATGAGGGGTGTACCAAGTGTTAGCGCTAGACCCTAGCTTGCGTTCATAATGCTATATTAATGACTGAGGGCTGTAGGTAGCATAAGGATCATGAACGGCGTAGTGTGGGGCGTATGTTCACCGTTTCTTGAGTTTTCAGAGATGTTTACTAACCATTGAAGTGGTACTAAAACCAACAAGAATTTCCCAAAACTTTCGCAGAATTTCCATATCGTCGCCGAACCATGCAGTTGACCATGTGCATGGTTTCTGACACTGGAATGGTCTTCATATTTGTGAGGTCGTCGATGGTACTAGGTAGGACCGACCGGAGAACGGGGAGCTCCAGAAGTTGGGAGAAAATGACGTGGTTGATGTGGCGTCTTCATCGTGACGGAAAATGTTATGAATGTGATGAGGCGTTGGGGCCTTTGCTGAGTTGCTCGTGCATGTTGTACGACGTAGTGTGGGGCAATGTAAGCGGAGGAGGGCCAGCGATATTCTCGCAACGGATGTAAGTCATACGAGGATGTCATTGTGGCACAGCAACTCAACTTTGGCGAGGTGATTGTTCTGCGGTCAATGTTGGCGAGCTTACTCGAGGGAGCTGTGTCTTTGGCGGCTCGCGTTAGAAACAGACCTCCTGACTTTGGCTGGTACTAACGAAGGTCAATTGTACTCAAGACGGGATTTCAATTCGGTGATGAGGAGAGGCAATCGAGGCGAAGCCAGTGTAGTTGTGGCTGTTTCCTGTTGTACAACTGCTGTGCTATGATGCTGACCGAACATGATGTGGGTTGATGAACTTATCTGTGATGATATAATGCAAGTCTGCACCCGGTTTCTAGTGCTTCCCTCGGTGGATCATTATGGACCGAGGTATGATTAATGGGAAATCTTTAGTAATCTGAGATGATCTGTCGGTGATTGGAGCTCCCCCATAACACACATGATGTGTATGTGTAGAACCTAGTATCATCTGTGAGGCTCACAGAGCATGATATCTTGTGGTCGAGTTGATATAATATAATGACTCGAGGCATCATCAGGCAAATTTTTCATTATGAGGCTACAACGACCGTCACTGCCAAGCCATCGGACGGAGATCGCCTTGCTGGTGGAGAAGGCAATCTCTGTACTACAAAGTAGTACTACTACAGCATGGCATAGTGAACAGTCGTTTTAACAGTGGTATGTCTCAGTGACTATATCAGCCCTGGCCCGTGAGAGGGATATGTTGGATGAGGAGTGGCGGCGACTGGAGGAGGCTCAAGACCAAAGCGATCATCTCGCTGCAGTTCAGGCTCATACCATCCCAACAGAACTCTCTTCTGAGACTGGCAACGTACCTCCTATAGAGGAAGGAGCTGTGAGAGACTTCGTTGTCTTTAGCATCAAACAACGGCATCACGAGTCAGGTTAGTGTAGCTGAGCTTCTCCCGCCGGCACCGCAGGCCGACGATCCCGTCTCTGCAGCAGCTGCCGTTGCCGCCATGGAGTTCGATACGCACGCTGCTATCTCTCCCATGAAGGCAGTGGCGGCAGCCGCTCAGCAGCTGTCTTCTCGTGGACGTGGAGGCCGAAGATCAAGTGGGATTCCTGGTGTTAGCTGGCATCCTCGGACAGGTGATGATTGGGTATCGTTGTCGCCTGGGACGCAGGGGTTCGTGATAGGTCGGTGGGTAGCACGATGGACTGGCGAGGATAAGAAGGAGCATTCTAAGGGGTTCTCTTCGAAGCGACATGGTGACGCTAAAGCGCTTCAGATGGCCGTTGGTAAGTGGCGACTTGAGAGTATTATTGTTCATCGGTGGGGCCTTGTCAGCTACTAGAAGAGCAATGCATGTTCGAGCGACGGATCACCCATCACCAATCGTTGAGGAGGCATCGATGTCGCCCCCCTCTGAAGCCTCCGAAGAGAACGAGGAACCAGCCGCTAAGAGGAGTCGTGACGAAGGACAGCTCTGTAATCAGCGTTAACGATGAGATTGCTCATTCTCCCGTTCCAGATGAGACGATATCAGCGCTGGCTCAGCTAGCGAGTGATCCCGTGCTTGGTCATCCTGGCCCGCCTGATCATCTAGCAACTGTAGAGGACTGTCTAGCCTTGTGTGATCTCGGCACCGTAATAACGAGAACTTGTGCTCATTGCTTATACGATGCTACCCTGGCAGCTGGGATCGCATCCTCTGACGCCCGATGCGGAACGAGAGGTTGCCGAGGCTGTACTGCCTCCACTACCTTCAGGAGCCCATGCTAGCTCGGATCGACCCAGTGGCGTGAGACTACAGCCCACGATGGGGGACTTTATCTAGTATGTATCCTCTGCAGATACAAGGAGTAACTTGGCACCCATTAAATCGGACGTGGGCTACGCGATGGCGGGAATCCGAAGGGCAGCAACGGAGCAAGAGCTTTGCTATGTCAAAGTATGGAGATGACGGGGCCTTCAGGCTCGCTATAAGACTCCGGAAGGTAGTCCTGGTTTGTTATGGCGGATACACCATGCGATGGTCAGCTTCTTGAAGATTTGGGCTTCGTCTCGCCGCATATGGGCCGACCATCAGAACGAGGGACTCCACCAGTCCCTGCTCTCCCAAGCACTGAGGCCTGGATACCAAACGCAATGCCAATCGCTGATGGCCAGACCTCTGAGGCTGCTTCAATGCCGCATCATATATCTGGCGGTAAGGTGAGGAGTGGTGTGCCTGGTGTTACCTGGAACGAGACCTACCAGATGTGGGTTGCGAGGTGGCGAGAGGAACCCAAGGGTAGTGTCAGTCCATTACTGGGATCGATGTGATTACAACCACCCTCAGGACGAGAGAACAGCCGAACGTTCTCGGTGAAGCAATACGGGGCACGTGAGGCTTTGCAAATGGCAATTGATTATAGGAGAATGATGGAGGAGGTCGGGAGAGTATGTCTACCGAGAGGAGCTACATCTTCGACCACTCCGATGTCCCATCACGGTGACGCTGCACAAGACCATTGATGATAGTATCATTCCGCCATCGCCGTATTGAACTTTGTTCTGTCGTTAATGATTGAGGGGAGAGCTCTCAACAGTTTTTCTTTCGCTCCCCTGCCTCGTTATGTTCCGACTGGAGGCGAGTCCTCGGAAAAATCGTAGGGTACTCTTTGGTAGTGTCGCGTATCTATGATATAGTCTTACGGATGATCCAATCGTCGGCCATTGATCGATGCAGCATCATTCTTCAAAGAACACTTGGTTCAGGACTTTGTGGTAGGGATCGACATGGCAATACTCTATACAACACAGACCTTAGTGTTCATCTCATTGTGAGGGACTACTCCAGATTAGGACCTTAACGTCGGAACCGAGACGTACGACGGTGTATTAAGTACGCTGACGGTACGACGGTGTATTTACGATGTTCCATTCAATCCGGTATGCCACCCGAAGATGTCACTCAGTAAAGCTGGGGCAACTATGCCATCCCGAGATGTGGCCGCATAGACCCAATCTCCTCAGCTGGGGCAACTATGCCATCCCGAGATGTGGCCGCATAGACCCAATCTCCCCAGCTGGGGCAACTATGCTTTTCCGAGATGTGGCCGCATAGACCCAGTCTCCTCAGCTGGGGCAACTATGCTGCCCCAAAATGTGGCTTAACGCAATCAATCTCTTCAACTGGGGTAATTATGCCACCCGAAGATATGGCTCAGTTCTATCAATCGCTCCAGTTGGGGCAACTATGCCACCCCAGAATATTGCTCGATGCCATTAATCTCTCCAGCTGGGGCAACTATGCCACCCCAGAATATGGCTCGATGCCATTAATCTCTCCAGCTGGGGCAACTATGCCACCCCACGAGAGGTGGTATAGTTGCCTCGGCTCGTTGGAGAGATTTTACCCAGGGCGAACTAGGCGTTGTAAAGGCCGTGGTGTATCGTATCGTGAACCATTGATGTGTATGATGAAATCACGCACGATGTAGGTTCAGAAATGCGTTGAAAAGAGTAGAATTGGAGTGGTGGGAGCCAATTAGAATCAATGAGTGGGAAGCAACGCATAAGAGCGACACATGCTGACCGAGGCCCAGGGCTTCGGTCGCTCAAGAGTAAGGACCTCAGGCCCTTACTATCGTTCGTGATTGTGCGACGAGGGCTGATGTTAAGAATCTCTTCAGACGTTTCGGGTGTCACAACTATGCCGTTGCTGCATAGGTTTTGCATGGTCATTCTTCGCTGGACTTCGGGTGATATCGTACCGGCATCGGAAGAAGAAGTTTTGCATGTTTATGGTATAGGAGGATCCAAGCCTCAAGTGCTACACCGTTGTTTTATTGAAGAGTTCTGATTGCTATTCAATGGTGAAAGACTCTGGCACAGTGTTGTTCGGAGCCGCGACGTGAATCGATTGAACGGGCGCTCGCTAATGTGGTTGACGTTCTTGTCCAGCGTATACCAATCTTGTACTTTACAGTCTGCGAGTAATGGCTTCCTCATCGCATTCGTCGTCCTCGCCAAGAATGTCGTTGATGGGTCATCCTCTTGACCCCGGTCACTCGTGCATTGAAGAAGTGCAGGCTTCTGCTGGTGCCACCGATCATGCTTCTGGTGGTGGTCTTAAGTGCAGTACACCTAAAGAGGTGACGGCGCAAAAAGCAGCGAGCAGAGTTGGATTTGACTTACCAATACAGTCGGATTCTCACAGTAATCTTGGTCTGGACGATTCTACTTCAACCCTTGGGGGTTATAATGATAGTCTATTTTGTGACATGAATATGCGGGTTTCCATGAAGAACTCTTTCTTGAACGTTGATGAACCCAGTGCCGGTGGTCTTGATGACTTGGCAATGCCGGACCTGATTCGAGGGCAGACAGCGCCTGGCATATTCCCTTCAGGCAGACGGGCTATCGATTCACAACTCCCCACTTCTGGATCTGAAGTACCATTGATTGGGCTATCTTGGGCTCCTCTTATGCACTCAGTACCAGAAGAGGCCAACTACTTGTCCGACAATCTCATGAATGCAAGCAATGGATCTCTTTCTTATGGTGCTCACTCTGATCATGGTAGCTCTGACTCACAGGATCTGGCCGCTACGATATCAGCAGCATTGGGGTTGGAGAGTAATAGGGACTCGGATGTCGCTTCCATTCTGGGTGCGGCTGCCGCTGCGGCCACAGCTGATGGCCCGAGTCAAGACGTGGACTCATTGAGATTGCAGAATCAGCTCTTAACCAACGCTCTCTTCTCTATTGCAGCAGCCGGTGGAAGGCGTCAACAACAGGATGGTATTGGTGGTCGTGGTGCTTCTAGTGGTGGTATGACTGTTCCTACGAATAGTAACTCTGTATCGACTCCTCCTCAATCCGTATGCCCCACTAACAGTCCGTCGGGCATGATTTCTGGACCGTCCACTGGTAGTGACTATATCGGATTACTACCACAGATGGGCGTTGCGGTTGGCCCGCCTCCTCCCCCTGAAGAGGGTGATGATGATATTAATAATACGACAGTGATGCTGAGGAACATACCTAACAAGTTCGATACACGCTCCTTGATCGAACAGATTCATCTTATGGGTTTTGAGAACACTTTCGACTTCTTCTATTTACCTATAGATTTCAGGAATAAATGTAACGTTGGCTACGCTTTCCTCAATTTCCGTCAACATTCGAGAGCCCTCGAGTTCAAGAGAACATTCTCTAACTACAGATTGCCAGCCCAGAATTCTCATAAAATCTGTCAAGTATGTTGGGCGCGAGTCCAGGGGTTTGACAAGAACGTTGAGCACTATAGGAACTCTCCTATTGCGGAAGAGTATAGACCTTTAATTGCCGATGCAACTGGACGATGGATTCCTTTCCCGAAGCCCGATCCTCATGTCGAGGAGATCATCCGATCCCGTATGGAGCAGGAGGAGACGGTTAGAGCATCTGGCTCTAATAATCGGAAGTCTCATGGTACAGCATCTTCTAGGGGTAAGGAGAGCCATAAGATATTCATTGGTGGTTTGGGACGCAGCACTACCAGTGGGGTCCTTCGTGATCATTTCTCCAAGTTTGGCGTGGTCAAGGATGCTTCAGTGGTGATGGACCGGACCTCTGGTAAAAGCAGAGGCTTCGGTTTTTGCCTCTTCGAACACGATGTCCCCAAGGCCGTTTTTGAGACATCTCATGAGATCGACGGAGTACCTGTCGCTGTCAAATATTACTCATCAAACTGATGATGATGATGTTTCCTCAGTGCCAGTGTTCTAGCACATGTGTAAGGGCTGTAACCGTAGTCAGGCTCGTGCCTTCCTATTGCTCCTGACTTGCTCCTGTAATTTGCTGTACAATGATATTCATGTCCCTCTGCTGTTATCATCATCATCATCCTTCCCGCCGCCAAGTTTTGGGAGTAATCGTACACAGGCTACCGCAGTCATGCTATCATGTTTGTCAATCATATTCAGTTGATGTGGTAGGTTTTGGTCGGCCTCATATCTGTCATTCATCTTGTCGTGATGTTGATAGTCAGAATACCACCGGTACAGAATCATCAGTGTTTCTGAGGCAAGCTGGCATAGTCTGCGGTCTTCCTATATTGCTACTATTATTGTTACCATATATACATGAGCCTTATCCACTCAACTCTCTCTATTCGGCCTTCGTCGTCGTCACTCCCAAAATTCCTTTGCGAGACTTAATTCTTTGCCGAGCCCTAATAGTTGGATTTAGTGTCTATCCTGTGATAGATGAAGGCGGTCTCCTTGCCTTAGTGGCTCTCTCACCACTGCTACCTTCGCAATACTAGGCACTACAAGAGGAAATACCCGAGCACTGTTGTTGGTTCATATTGTCGTAGCCTTCATCAGAACCATCACCATTACTATAACTATCTGTATCGCGTTACTCGTATTGCGTTGTTAGCTGCATTCACGGGGCGAGTGAACCAAATAGAAGGTTAAAAGTGTACATCACGTATAGTGGGAGGCCTGGAAGAGATCGTGCACAGATCCAACGTTCCTCCTCTGCACATGAGTTTCTCATTAGGACAACTCGATCAACTGTCGCCGCAAGTAACGGTCCATGACGCTCGCTTTATTCTGGTGATAGAACATCTGTGAACAAGTCCAACCTCCTCGAATATCAACAAGGTATTCGCTATCCTTGACCAGAGACACAAGGTAGTAATGTGAGGTTGGGATTGTTGGCAGACTAGTGAGGAGGGTAGCCGTGCAGCTGATGACAGATCAATGTTCTAGATGCATATGCGCAACGAATATATAGAGGACACGAATTAGTACATCGTCAGCTTTGTCACCATTTCTGACTGCCCTGATGATAGGATCTTGTATTAGGTTCTCGTCGATGCTCTTACATTAATAGTGGACCAGATAAGTAGGGCTTTGTAAACGGCGATAGAAGAGCACTCTCATCTTGTATTGTGACTGTTAGTTTGCCTACGTGTGCTGGAGGAGAGGGTGTACTCAGATAGATGGTGGCCTCATGTCACAGGGAATGACAAAGGCATTCTCCCCGCGACTAACATCTCTGCTCTTTGTAGTTCCGCAAGACTTCATCGAGGATACTAATATCGCGAATATGCATTCCAAGTAGGATGAGCTGAATGGTCCTAGGGAACGTGACAGAGGGTGGACAGGGGGCTCATTCGGAGCTACTACAACATCAATGGGAGACGTTCTCGATGCCCTCATGGGCTGAAGCGTGACAAACAACAGCTAAGTGTAGAGGAGGACCATCTAATGGCTGAATATAGGGGGTATTTCTTCCTACATGTACGGTGTTGCGGATCACTTCGTGGTATATGATTTCAGCGCTCGAATTCCGTATCTCTGGCATCTGCGGCATATATGTGGCCAGCCACTGAGATAAGGTGACCAAGTTCAGCGCCTACCTCACGAAGTGCGTCAGGTGAGTACTGATAAAGGCGGATCCAGGGATGATGTTGGGGGCACTTTAGGCGCAGCGTCTCAGTTGGCCAAGTCTGCGATAGGCTATGCGCAATGACGTGCATGGTTATATTGCTCGACTGGAGCAGATCATCGCAGCTCGCAGTGCACTGTGTGGATGGCGGGACAGCGCGAGGAATGGTCTCAACGTCCCTGGTGTGGGCACATCGTACTCCTGGAGGGACTATTTCGGTGTTTGCAGATTGATGAAGCGATACTACTGGACGTAGAGGAGGAGTTAGGTGACCAGAGAGAAGCTGTCGTGATGGAAAACGGTCTGCAGGTGTAGTAGTGGGGTGTGAACGCACGGTGGCTGTTGTAGGTTTACAGGCAGCAGGCTCAGCTCCTGATGGATCACGAAGCGATGGAATCCGAAAGGAATCGGGACGGTCGCGCTCGCGTACCTCTGATTTTCCGCAGGTTAAAAAAGCTCAGAAAGATCTACCAAACGGTTGAGGGCCAGTTTGGTGTGCTCGATCATGATGAGCTCGGATCACGCTCAGTGAAGATCCTTCCTTGCAACTGGCTGACCTAGAGCCTAAACTACTCTGAACGTTGTAGTACCCATTGTCTGTAGTATAACATAGTGTGCACTCCGTCAGGCTTCGGAGGCGGAGTTAGCCGCTGATGCCGAAAAGAGAGGTGAACCGCCTTGTTGCTAAGGGCTATCAGTATCATGGTGTTCCAGTGCTGTGCCATGGCGAATTCCTTACTGTCATGTATTTCTGACGTGAAGATAGACGAGTTGTGTTACACTTGAGTCACTCAAGTTGAGTGCAGCTAGGTGTCAACGGGATACTACTGATAAAACGCAACTATGCGTATAAGAGCATCTCGCTCTAAGCAATACGTAGAAGTTTGCACTATAAGACATCGCAGGTGGGGCGATGTAAATGGAGTGATGTGGCCGTGCTATCCAGATGAATTTGGGATGCCCGCGGGCATCCTCGGACACCCTGGTCACAAGTGGGCAGGTGAACAGTCTACATGTGGCTAAAACTTCTCCATTGGTTGGCGAATCCCCAGTGCCGAACTATCGATATGTGTATGGATATCCTCAACAGACCCATAGATTTCTTCACTGGAGATGAAGATGCTTTCGTTAGTATCAACTACGTGGTACCAACGTACGAGAGTTGTGTCTGTCCAAGATGGTTCACCATCTCAAATAGAGACCCTTGGTATCAGCTCCTTTATTCATTGAATGTGCCATTGAAGACGGCTTCGGCTAACTGAGATGTTTTATCAACTTATTTGGATTTGACCGTTCTCGGGTATGCAATGTCTGTCGTCAAGTACTTCAATTCGCTTAACGCCCAACTTCACTCAAAACACAACAAGCCTTATTTTCCGCTATGAAACTCACTCAGTATCTCAACTCTATCGCAGGAATATTACAGATACATTCCCTCAGGGATATTTCCCTTCTTGCGATACAGTGCCTTCTCTCGAGCCTTCCTCAGATCCTCAGCAGTCACACGCATGCGACGCTCACGCAGTGCCAACATACCGGCTTCAGTACCTACCCAGATGACCATTAATCACAACCTCGATTCTGTCGCCCTACAGATGGCCTTGATATCAGCTCCGCTCAAGTCGTCCTAAGAAGTACAATTCACAACGTAGACAGAACCCCTCGAGCTCACCTTGCTGTGGACAAACTCTTCCAAGTCCACGTCATCAGCTAGAGTCATTTTCGAGGTATGGATTTGGAAGATGCGTCTTTTAGTGTTGATGTCCGGCAAGGGGAACTCAATCTTACGATCGATCCGACCTATGCAGAATCATATCTCGAGTGTAACCACAGTATCACCCCCAAGATTACCAGGCCTCAATAGAGCAGGATCCAGACTTTCAATTTTGTTCGTTGCGAGGATGACCTTCACATCAGCCGATTGATCAAAGCCATCGAGCTGATTGAGCAGCTCGAGCATGGTTCCTACGAAAAGTCGCAGATGGAAAGCCAGAATGACCATCACTCACTTTGGATCTCCCTCTCCCCTCCCGATGTGGTATCGTATCTACCAACATCATCAGAAAACTTCTCTGAGTGCACACGAACTACTACCGTTTGGTGCCGACAGCATCGATCTCGTCTATGAAGACAATCGACGGCGCTTGCTCATTAGCCACTCGGAACATTTCTCGTACCAGTTTAGGGCCATCACCAAGATACCTATACACGGCTCTATGGACCCCACCGACCATCCAGTGTGCACGTACTTCTGAATGAGCTCGGAACCCACGACCCTGAGGAAGGTCGCGCTGGTCTCGTTCGCCACTGCCTTCGCCAACAGTGTCTTCCCTGTTCCCGGCGCCCCATACAAGATCACACCTGATGAACAGCAAATAGGATCTGGAGATGAGCATGATGATGGTTACCCTTCGGAGGCTTGATACCAATATCCTCATACAACTCCGGATGTGTCAGAGGGAGTTCCACGGCCTCCTTGATCTCCTGAATCTGCTGCTCCAGACCACCTATGTCACTATAAGACTCGAGAGGCGCCTGAAAGTCAACTATCAATTCCAAAAAACCATCAATCGGTCGAGTATTCTCATGATCAGTCACCGCGGACTGACACTATTGTTTCATTCAGTGAGAACTAAACGATGAGCTTATGCCGAGGCACCCACCTTGTCAACCTTCATAACGCTGACCAACGGGTCAACATCATCAGCTAGTATACCCACGATAGACATAGACTGAAGGCAAGCAGAAGTGACCGAGTTGGGAGGCTAGGCTTATAGACCTACTTTGTTATGGAGGAGTACTGAGCTGCCTGGCTCGAGCTGATCTTGATCAACAATGGAGAGAATGTTGACGTAAAACCTGAGGGATAGTAGTGAGCAATAACAGCAGGGAACACTGTACTACTCGGGGCCATTGGAGGTAGAGACGATGGCATGGCTGTCGTCTATGAGCTCCTCCAGGTTGCCAACACTGATCGGCTTGCCACGGATCTCATCAACCTAAAACAGAAAAGTTGCCAGATGCCGGGAACGAACCTGGGCCTCCAGCACCACCTTGTTCCTCTCCTCCTCAGTCCTATCCTCTCCGCCAACTTTCATGGCCTCTTGCCTGTTGATGAACTCCTCCTCCATCAGCAGGTAATCCTAAGACAAGCGCCTCTCCTCTAACGCGACCAACGACGAACTTACCTTGATCCTATCCAGCTTGAGCATTCGGAGCCTGCACTTGCTCGTGGGAACTACCGTGGGTATCTTCGACATGCCAGGTGGACCTAGCCGTTAACCAGGTACTGTCACTAAATCTAATGCATCTCGAACTACCCTTATTAACGCGCTTCTTCCTCCTGCCAAAGTGCGCTGGTGGAGGAGCAGGTCCCTTCTTCTTCGACTTGTCCTGTTTCTTCTTATCACCACCACCCGGCCCTCCAGGGCCTCCCATTCCTCCTGGTATATTTCCCATGCTCAATACTGATCAAAAAGTGACTGGAAATGAGAAGGATCAAAAAACCTACGCCGGATCTCACCCGTGATGATCCCGCGAACACAATCCTCTCCCGATGAAAAAAATAAATGTATGCGGTCGTCGATAGGAGAAAATGAGGGAGACCAGCGTAAAAAACGATGCCGTTCTCCTGGTTGTAACAATCACAAGTGAGTTAAGTAAATGAAATATTGTCGAACGATTACATCCACAATCTCTTCTGTGAGATTGTGTCTGTCTGTTATCAACAATGACTGAAAATGTGACAGTCCGCGTGATAGGAACGAGGACGAATAAAATGAGTGGATTCCCTTATATCAAACCATCTCCATCACGGAACCAAATTCGCCGCTAAGACCCTCGTCACGATAACTGCGGAAAAGAGCAAGTCGCTGTTAAGCGCATTACACAGTGCCGACCTGTTGAACGTCCTTGAGCCCATATCCGTACTAGCTGAACTGCGGCTCGTTTTGAACCTCCTCTGGGAGTGAGCGAGTTCGCGTTCTCGGACCTGATACCATGCATGGAGTTGTTGATAACACTGGCCAAGCAGGTACTACCTCCGCGAGCATCTCCTCCTGATGGGACCTCAACATCCTTGGCCACCATATCCAAATGTACGTCTGAAAAATTGAGTCATGATCCGAAACATGGACAGATAGGAACCTTTTACCTGGCAAAATAGTACTAACAAAAAGAGCACCAGAGCCACAAGGGCATGCTTCAGACCATATAGAAGGGCCCTGAAAATGTAAAGCGAATACGAGAAGAGGGGCTGAGCAGATACCTACGCGCCACATGCCAGACCGCAAACGAGACTAGTAGCACTGGTGAGGAACCAGAAGGCTGGTTCGCGAAAGAACATCCAATAGCCACCGGACTTGAGCTCGGCCACGAAACGGGGTAGCATAGGGTAAGGTACCTACTCGTAGGTTGAGAGGAAGATGAGGTATGGTAGGTGATGATGGTCACCTTATTAAATGCCAGACTACGAGCATATGAGGCCGTGACGCTGCAGAGGGCGGACAGACCCGAAAGGCTCATAAAAGTGACGTATATGGGAGCGACAATCATAGCGTATTGCTCCGAACGCTCCAGCCAATCGACAGATGGAACCTACCAAGACGATACTCTCATCACATCTACTTGTATTCAGCATACTACCATAAGCCCAGCAAATGCAACTCCCATGAAAAGAGCACTGGCGATGGCCAACTGCTCAGAATCATGTAAGAGTCTTTCCGACACCCACAACTGTGCAGGCCGCTGAGGTATGCAGTCGTTGGCAAGCTCCATGACTTGCGTCCAACTCCTACCACGTTATCAACCACAACGACAGTAGTTGATACTACCCTACCCGAAACTAAAGTCATCAAGTCGTGGTCTAACCCTGGTGATCGCCGACTGAGTGGCTAGCAGGAAGGACTGGCGCCTGGGATGGAGATGCTATGATATTTGTGAGATACCGCAGACAGTGCCATGACCTCTCTGAATGGTCAGTCCCTGCACCCGAGCCTCCTTCTTCCACCTGGCCACTATGCAAGCTGATCGCCTCCGGTGCTGCCTCCCCATTCCGTGTTGGTAGGCTAGAGGGCGTGCCCAGACATCTAGGGTGCTCCCGACCTGATCTTGGTGGCGGCCGCATTGCAAATAACTTCACCACTGCGGAGAAGTAGGACAGACACGGGCTCCCCTTTCCACAAAGTCCAACGACTATACCCCGACGGGTACCCAACCCGTTCTTATTATGATAACTAGTGATAGTGAGCGCCTCTCAAATCGGATCGAACCCCATGGAACATGTGCTGTGATCATCAGTTTTATCCGCGAGATCGTATTACCAGACGAAATAGAAAATGACCGCTGCCAGGGATAGATCCGGGGACCTGTGCGAAATCTCGAAATGGCGCGCGCTAAAACAAATGGATAGCTTAGAGACATATAACCACCCGAAGAACTCAATGGATCTTTGCAGTTGAACATAAGCTTTATATCTCAATAAAATGGTTCGTATGGCAGCTGATGTGTCGCAGGACTGGAACCCTGTGGTTCTCAACAAGGGTCGGCCGAAGAACCCAGCGAGCAGGACTGCAGTAAACGACGCCAGGAGGTGATGACCAACTTAGATCCCATGCTGCTCTCTATTTACCCTTGGTCGGTTCAGGACTGGTCAAGACGTTGAAGTGACCGCTAAGTGGCGCGGCGGACAGAACATGAGTACCAAGGAGGGACTTCCCGCCAATGCTGCCAAGCTCGATCAGGACAACGCTGTAGGATAGTGACACGAAGACTGAGGTGTCTCATTGTCTTGTGATTATAGGTGTACAAGCATCCTCATATCAGCACTGAGTTCCGACACGCCCTTCAGCAGGCCAGGTTGGCTAAGAAGATGAGTCAAGCTGATCTAGCTAAGGCAATCAACGAGAAGCCCACCGTCATTAATGAGTACGGGTCCCAACTTGCAACCATTTTCATCTATTATGCTCAGGTATGAGTCTGGCAAGGCAATCCCTAACGGAGCCTAGATGATCCCGCGAACACAATCCTCTGTAGATGGAACAAACCAATGTATGCGGTCGTCGATAGGAGAAAATGAGGGAGACCAGCATAAAAAAACGATGCCGTTCTCCTGGTTGTAACAATCACAAGTGAGTTAAGTAAATGAAATATTGTCAAACGATTACATCCACGACCCCTTCTGTGAGATTGTGTCTGTCTGTTATCAACAATGACTGAAAATGTGACAGTCCGCGTGATAGGAACGAGGACGAATAAAATGAGTGGATTCCCTTATATCAAACCATCCCCATCACGGAACCGAATTCGCCGCTAAGACCCTCGTCACGATAACTGCGGAAAAGAGCAAGTCGCTGTTAAGCGCATTACACAGTACCGACCTGTTGAACGTCCTTGCGCCCATATCCGTACTAGCTGAACTGCGGCTCGTTTTGAACCTCCTCTGGGAGCGGGCGAATTCGCGTTCTCGAACCTGATACCATGCATGGGCTTGTTGATAACACTGGCCAAGCAGGTACTACCTCCGCGAGCATCTCCTCCTGATGGGACCTCAACATCCTTGGCCACCAGATCCAAATGTACGCCTGGAAAATTGAGTCATGATCCGAAACATGGACAGATAGGAACCTTTTACCTGGCAAAATAGTACTAACAAAAAAAGCACCAGAGCCACAAGGGCATGCTTCAGACCATATAGAAGGGCCCTGAAAATGTAAAGCGAATACGTTTGAGAAGAGGGCCTGAACAGATACCTACGCGCCACATGCCAGACCGCAAACGAGACTAGTAGCACTGGTGAGGAACCAGAAGGCTGGTTCGCGAAAGAACATCCAATAGCCACCGGACTTGAGCTCGGCCACGAAACGGGGTAGCATAGGGTAAGGTACCTACTCGTAGGTTGAGAGGAAGATGAGGTATGGTAGGTGATGATGGTCACCTTATTAAATGCCAGACTACGAGCATATGAGGCCGTGACGCTGCAGAGGGCGGACAGACCCGAAAGGCTCATAAAAGTGACGTATATGGGAGCGACAATCATAGCGTATTGCTCCGAACGCTCCAGCCAATCGACAGATGGAACCTACCGAGACGATACTCTCATCACATCTACTTGTATTCAGCATACTACCATTAGCCCAGCAAATGCAATTCCCATGAAGAGAGCACTGGCGATGGCCAACTGCTCAGAATCATGTAAGAGCCTTTCTGACACCCACAACTGTGCAGGCCGCTGAGGTATGCAGTCGTTGGCAAGCTCCATGACTTGCGTCCAACTCCTACCACGTTATCAACCACAACACCAGTAGTTGATACTACCCTACCCGAAACTAAAGTCATCAAGTCGTGGTCTGACTCTGGTGATCGCCGACTGAGTGGCTAGCAGGAAGGACTGGCGCCTGGAATGGAGATGCTATGACTTTTGTGAGATGACGGAAACAGTGGCATGACCTCTCTGAGCCTCCTTCTTCCACCATGCCACTATGCAAGCTGATCGCCTCCGGTGCTGCCTCCCCATTCCGTGTTGGTAGGCTAGAGGGCGTGCCCAGATATCTAGGGAGCTCCCGACCTGATCTTGGTGGCGGCCGCATTGCTAATAACTTCACCACTGCAGAGAAGTAGGACAGACACGGGTGTCACTCCTAGATCCATAAATAGTATCTTCCTGAGTCATCACGACAATGCTATCAGTTGTATGTCTTTACTTTTCCACCGAACTTGTTATCGGTTACTCCGCGCAATGACATGCGTACTGTCTCCAAGGAGAAGGGCGTCACGCCATTGATCATTGCATCTTTTCCCCTTATGTCTCCACTACTCTGCCTGTTGATTATGGCATCTATTAGCGGTAATGACTTGAGTATTGAGGAAGTGGGGAGTGATGTATCACGTATCTCTAGCGGAACAAGAGGTTCCGGAGTTACAATTGGCACCCACCGTGGGGCAGGGAACGTTGCCTTCGAGGATGTGCAACCACCCTGCCCCGTTCCCGACACCATGGTATCGGCTATCATTACTAGGACGGGTCATGGGCAAGACATCGCTGATGACTATGAGGAAGAGGAGAGCCACGACAACGGCACCGAGTCTGATGATGGCCCTGACGAAGATGACAAAGCCTCGGAGAGGGATGATCATGAGAGATATGGGAGCCGTCAGTCTACTCCCCTGTCATCGGATATCTTGCTACCACCGCTAGGTGTGCCGAATCACACTAAGCGCAACTTGGCGGCCATTGATGCGTTGATGGCCGAGGCCGACCCTCGTGCTGGGGATGCGAACTTGTCCTTACCTCGCCTAGAGGGTGCTCTAATGATGAGTACGTACGAGCTCCTAGTCACTATCTTGGGGGTAGGCAAAAACCCTTGGATTTCATCGACGACCTCTCTTATCGGTCGAGATGGCCAAGCTCTTGGCACCAATATCAACAAGTTCAGTGAGAACTGGGATATCGGTTATCTACCTAACTCTCCGTGCTCTAGAAGTGCCAAGCACAGCAAGAAAACCCCACGTCAAGTCGATGCTACCAGCCGATCGAAAAAGTTTGGTGATTTCTGCGACAAACTCGACAGATCTCTCTCAGCTTCTAGGGCTAGCCCGACTGTCGAACTACTCACCTTGGTCTACCTTTTCCCGCTATCTGTTACCTCTGCTCTACGACGTTGCTTGGTTTCGGTGTGCTCGCAGTCGAACTACCTTGCGGCAGCGGGATGGCACAAATGGCATGGCTGTGACCTGACGAAGGCATCCGAACACCAACGTTCTCAGTTCAAGAGTGACTACGTGGAGTATACCACCGTGATCCGCGAATGGATCGAGTTGGTTCGGAAGGCCATCAATGATGAACGGCCGAAGATCTCTATCGCCAAAGTCATGGCGGGTTGGTCATCTATCGTAGCTGTCGAGAATGACACCCTATGTTCTCTCCTCGGGGAAGAGGAAGAGCTATGGACGCTACTTGTGACCAATGGTGGTATCACGTGGCCTCAACGTCGAGACAGACTGCTGAGCGCTATGCTGTCTAACGCATCATGGCGACGCCTCATGACCTTGTGGTGGAGTAAGCTGTCGGTGGCAGGCGACTACGACGCGTTCTACGAAACTGTCATGTGTATGAGAGAGTCAGGACTGGCTCTCCGTGTGCTGCCGAAGGCTGAGTTGTCAGCACTGAAATCGGAAGCGCTTGAGCAGCGAGGAGTGGGACCTGAATTATACTACAGTCCAAGCGGCGACCCTAATGTAGATCCCCATGCTCCTCAAGGCCTAGCCAAGTCGGGTGACACCGACCAGAAGCAACCTGACGGGTCACGAAAGGCCCGTAATAAGAAGAAGCACAAGGTCGCTGATGGCAAATTCTCTCAGGGTAGCGCCAAACCTACCAAGGTTGACGTCAAGAACAACAAGCGTGATCCTAAGAAGGACCTAGCGTTCAAGGAGGGCCGCTGTTTTGACTGCAACGAGAAAGGTCATCGAGCTTCGGAATGTCCGAAGAGAGTGGTGAAGAGCAGTGTCGCTATTGAGAAAGATGGGAGCCCACAGCAAGACCAGTGTGGTGATCCGCAGTGTACATCCCACTTCGTATCTACGGCGGTCGCGGTTTCATATGCCGTGCCGGCGAGTTCAGGGGACGGACATAACAGCATCGCCGGGGAGGTGAGTGGTCAACTACGAGAACATGATCTATTACTTGTGAACCTCTACGATGGTCGAGCAAAATCCAAACCCTTCAGAGCACTACTGGATTCCGGTAGCCAAGTCACTTTGGTAGGGTCGAATCGCTCTTCTACTCCCTGCTCTCATGTTGATCCTTCACGGCCAGATATCACAATCACTGGTGTTGGTGGAACTTGCACAGCGAAACCGGTCTCGCTTCTTATCAAGACGGATCCTTCTGCTGCCACCTTGGAGATCAAGGCCTATCTGGTGAAGAATTTACCAGTGGATGTTGATGTCATCGCCGGGATAGACTGCCTTCGCCTTTTGAAAGCAAAACTTGACTTTGCGAAGACAGATATTGTCTTCTCACCATGCCCGAAGCTGAATAGGTCACATATCCCCCAGGTGGCCTCTTTGGGACTAATCAGTGTTAAGCAAAATGGAGGCGATCAGCTACCGCCTCTACCTGTCGCCAACATTGAGTGCAAGAAACGGCATCCCACTATACGTCACCGAGGGTATCCACTAGCTCCAGAAAAGCGTAGGATCGCGGAGGAGACTCTCCGTGACTATGAGAAGAAGGGCTACATCGAGTTCATCGACAAAGACGGTCCACCTGATCAGTGGATCTCCCCATGCTTTCTGAAGCGCAAGAAAAGCGGCGCGTGGAGGTTGTTGACGGATCTAAGATCTGTCAACAAACGTCTACCGGTTTATTGCTTCCCCGATGAGGCCCATACTGAGCACTTACTAGCTCAGATTCCTCGTTGGGCTACCTCCTTTGCTTCGTTGGATGTGAAGGATGCCTTCTACACGGTACGAGTGTCTCCGCAGTCTTCTGAGCTTCTAGGCGCTACCTTGGGATACCATACCTTCCGGTGGAAGGTTCTTACGCAAGGCCTGTGCACGGCTCCATATTGGTGGAGTCGTCAAATACACTGGATCCTATCTGGTATATCTGAGCTCGATAAGTTCAAGGGACGAGTTGTCGTTCTGACCTTTGTCGACCATATATTGATATGCGGCTGTTCTGTAGAAACTACGAGAGCTGTTCTCGAGATTATCTGTAAGCGTCTGGCGGACTACCATATTCCCATCAGCCCTGAGAAAACTCAACCTCCTACCGACATCATCGGCTTTCTCGGAATGAGACTGTCATCCAATGGGTGGCAACCGGAGCCAGCGGCTGTGGCGGCTCTGGAGTCACTCCCTAGACCTCTCAATAGGCAGCAGCTACAGTCATTGTTGGGGACTATCAACTACCTAAGAGCGGCTTATGGTCAAGGTGAGTTACAAGTGAATCTTGCTCCCTTACAAGATATTCTCGGGAAGAATAAGCCCTACAAATGGACCGACCTGCATGATGCTGCCTTTGATTGGCTGAGATCGGCCTTGCGGCAGCATGTCTTCGCTTTTCAACCGATCGACTCTGAGCTCGAGGAGGGCGAAGGCTTTGTGTTGCAGACAGATGCCAGCGACTGTGGGATATCCTATGTATTGTGGAGAGTACGTTTCGGTGAGTGCCCAGGCGCACTCTCGGATATGGGTGATCTAAACTCTGAGTACTCTGGCCCGACGCCGGACATTTTGGCTGAACATGGTGCTGTGCTTATGGTCGGCAGCCGTCGTCTCCGTGGGCATGAAAAACGTTATGCAACCTTTGACTGTGAAGGTCTCGCCCTGGTAGAGGGTCTCCGCAGAGCGAGGGTGCTGCTGCTAATCCCTACCAAAAGCGGGAGACGAGCGCCTGTCGTTGTTCACTCCGACAGTGCAGTTGCCATTCACAAAGTTCAGGCTGTCCCTGACTACTCCGAGTTCACCCGTAATCAAGTCCGGTATAAACGCTGGTGTCGATGGGTCGAGAGCGTTGTTGATGTGCTCCCATTCGTCAGAATATTTCACTGTCGTGGCTCTGAGAACTGCCTATCGGATATGTTTTCGAGAGTTCTCGCCGAGGCTGATACTGACACTATGGGGGTGTACAGTACAACAGCTGTATTGGTGTCTGATAACTTCGACAATAGCTCACTGTGCTCTGAGGAAGACGACGAGGCTCTCATGAACGACAGCCTTTCAACTGACGATGGCGTGGCCGTGCTCCCTGTTGCGGGTCAAAGACTTGAGGAAGATGTACCTCCTGAGCTTATCGGTCTCGTTAATTCTAATCGAGTACGGAGAGTTGATCCGGACTGGGTCTACCAAGACTCCAAGGGCGGGATCCGAACTTATGTCCCAGAAGGAGATCGCTCGCAAGCCTTGGAAGCAGCGCATGGTGATGGCCATGCTTCCCCTGAAAGGATGCTCCGCGCCATGATGAGCACAGTCTGGTGGCCCAAGATGAGCCCTGACATCGACGCCTACTGCAGCACTTGCGTTGGGTGCGCCAGACACGCTGCGCGTGCCGCTGCTGCCAGCCCGCGGTATGACCTTTTCTCCACTATCCCGGTTGAGGCCAGAAGGTTCTCCTCGGTCGCTATGGATCACTTGGGACCCTTCAATGGTCTCTATGTCTTGGTTGTCGTTGATAAGGTGACAGGCTGGCTTGAAGCGTGCGTGGTCGATGACAAGTCTGCTCAGTCGACTGCCTTGGCCCTTTACGATGTTTGGGTAAGCCGATGGGGGTGGTTTGATTCGATCACCCATGACAATGATGCAGGCTTCTGCTCGGCGACTGTGAAATCTCTCTTTGAACGTCATCAAGTGACGAGGACATTATCACCTCCGTATTGGCCGAGAGGGAACGGTATCGCTGAGGCTGCGGTAAAGGAGATTAAGTATGTCATTCGTCGTTCTGGCGAGGTCATTACCGGTGCGGTCCAGCTGAAGGCTCTCGTCGCAGCTGCCCGACTGCTCCATAATTCTTCTGCTGCAGATGGATGTGGCTATTGTCCTTATGAGATTGTTACAGGAAAGAAGCCTAAAACCTTACTTGAAGTTGTCTACGGTGATAATGATCCGGGTCCGGCGGATCCGGAGAAGATCGAGAACATGCTGAACATCATCGTTGAGCAGAAACGAAGATCTAGAGATCGCAGCCGAGCTGCTGCTATCTCGCGCGCCGAGAAGTGGCGCTCTGGCTCTTACGGCAACGACCTGCACGAGGGCGATTTGGTTTTTGTTGTCCAGCTACGTGGTTATGGTGGCCGGGTGGCCCTAGGCCCCTTCCGTATTGGAAACGTCGATGGCTCCCTCGTCTACCTGCGTGGTGAGGAAGATCCTGTCAGCCGTGGACAGTGCGTCCCCTATTGCCCTGATCCCTGCTATTCTGACGTCGCGGGAGAAGACCACCAGGCCATGAAGGTCGAGTTTAACTCTCTCACTCCAGACATGATGATTATGTTCGAAGTCGAGGAACTTGACGGCCAGGTAAAGTCTCTTGATGTTGGTAGAGTCGTGTCTGAGCCTCTGCGTGACAAGGTCAAGGTTGAACCGTATGCGTCCCCTACTCATCTGTTCTGGTTCCGTAGACAGCCGCGTGAAAGAAGGCTGGTTACGGTTTCTAAGTCCGAAGTGAAGTTCTCAACTTCTGGTACTTTCCTCGAACCGGATGGCAAGCTCAGCTCCGAATCGATAGAGCTGCTCAGCCAGAGAGGATATATACAGTGATAGACATTGTCGTGATGACTCAGCAAGATACTATTTATGGATCTAGGAGTGACAACTACCCCCCGACAGTATGTCGGGTTAGCTGGCAACATTCCTCTACTAGGAAGTTGTTGAGAAGCTCGTTGTGGACCCAGGACATCCTGAGGATACCACCCATATCCCAACACACTAACAGAGCTCTCACCCTCAGCTGGAGGCCGATCTCTTTCCTTAGCAGGCTGGAAGGGAAAACCTCGTCGATCACACGCAGAAGTGAAAGCCGTATGAGCTACATCAAGTAGTGAACGTGAAGTAGCACCAAGAACAACATCATCCATATACGGTTTCCAACAGATACATTTTCGACCAAACTTCTCCGACTCGAGCTTCTTAGAAATGGGAATAGGCAATTTAGCAACCGAAAGTTTGCCTAGACGACACACCGCATCTTGCAAACAAGATGGTGCATGAGGGGCCCCCATACCGGGACCTCTCAGACGAAACACACGAGAGTTCCAAACAATGCAAAAAACATACTTAGCAGCTGGAGCATTAGCGAGCTGATAAAAGGCCATCTTCAAATCACTCAAATACACGTGCTCATAACAACGGAACACGGTGAGAGAGGGTATAGTACTACGGAGAGTATTAGCCTTCGGATCTTCATCTCCTCGACCATTGCCGATGATACCCCTATAATAAATACCATTGATGACGGGACGAACCTTCGTAGACACCGCACTCGGAGCATAAACCGGAAAATGTGGTATAACAGCATCAATCTGAGCAAAATCATCAGATTTGATAGGAATCTCCACCATAGCTCCTTGGTCTTCATATTTACGGAAGACATTATCATAAGCATCAAAATGTCCTTCCTTCTTGAGCTTCTGTACCAACATAGCATCCTTCTTGAAAAGACGAGCCCAGTCTTCTTTCAAGGGACGTGGCAATCTCTTATTAGATAACCATGGAATATCATAAGTATAACGCAGTGCCATTCTAGTACTGCCATCAGAGCAAACATGACGATCTGGTGTAAGACCAACAAATACAGTAGATTGCCCATAACCAACATCACCGAATACCGGAGGCAGAGTGCAAGGAGACTGGTCATCTGAAGGCGAAGGAGAAGAGGTAGCAAGATTGCACTCAGGTGACTGCTCAAGATCATCTTGTGTATTCTTGCTCCCCCAATTCAACATCGTCGCAGATACAAACTTATTAAACCCCTCTACATCATCATGCCCATCAACTATACGGCACAACTGTGTGTCATAAAGCAACTCGGGCATTCCGCAGTCGTCCGGCGACGTAAAATCACAACACGAAGGTGAGGAGTCGTCAGGCAATGGACTCGCACAACCAGAAGATGACGAGTCAACAGGCTGCTCTTCAACTGGAGGATTATCCTGACAAGTCATTATACGAGTAGCACTGTCTGAAATAGCACGGCGGACATCAACTTCAGTCAGAGAGGCTCTCAGTAGTGTTGCATCGCTGCTCACGAATACCAGAAGCGACAAACTTCGCAAAGCATTCATGCCCAAAATCATATTGCAGCTGAGCACAGGAGATACCAAAAGCCAAACACCAGCTTCAGCCCCAGATGGCTGTGGAGTCACAATTGTCACACGAATAGCCTCAGTGAACCGCATGACAGTTGAATCAGCCAAAGTAGCTGATGCAGATATAGCACGAGTCTCACGGATATAAACAGAATTCAGTGAATCACGAACAGACTTGTGGATAAACGATCTACCAGCTCCAGTATCGAGCATAACTGACACTTCTAAATCACCCACATTAACATCATATGACCGCAGTGAGACGTTAGCTTTCAACGGATCATGAGGACCGTCATCCAATCCCTCAATACCAGTAGTACAATTCAAAAACGAAAACCAACTTGCAGCAGGAGCAGTAGGTTCCACTACAGAGAGAAGGGCTGACTTCTTCTTTGAACTACCACCTTGATCTCCATCGGCGGGGACAGCCTTCTCCTCACTCTTAGTGAGATCAGCAGATCTTCTTTCCTGGGACTCAACAACTCGGTCTTGTCTGCAGATATAAGACATATGTCCAGTACCAGAGCAACGCTTACACGATAACTTCCTCGACTTAGCCATACGACAATCAGACAATTTATGACCATAAAAACCACAACCAAGACATCGGAGAGATATATCTGTAGGCATCTCACTATCACAAGCATCAGCAAGATGACCTTCCCGGAAACATCGTCTACAGGCATTGGTGGGTAAGCGCTTAAGATTCACAGAACGAGAATTCACCTTCCCAGTAACACTCTTAACCGAGTCACCATGACCACCAGACTTCGAGACATCTTCCGCAGCACTCGCCAAAGAGTCAAAGGGAATGCGAGTAGCTTCTAAAGCCACTCCAGCAGACTGTGAGCGCTGTTGTACCAATTTAGCGCGAGATACCAAATATGAACGGGCCAACATCAAACTTGTACCTTGTAATTTATACATAAGAGCCAAATCATCATACGGAGAACAAGATTGGGTAATCAGTTTATCCCAAACCTCATCAGTTGACACTGTTGAGCCTACCAGTGAAAGTCCAACACACAACTCGTCAATCCGGTCAGAGAACTCGGAGAAGGGCTGTTGTGGTTTCATCTCCAAACTATGCCATTCTCTTCGAAGGCGCGTGATCTCAATAGCGTCTAAGTAACAGGATAAGAGGGACTTACGAAGCGAATAATACTTGTTTGCAAAGTCAATACCATCATCAGGTTCAACAACCGACTCCGTCGATAACCCCGACTGAGCGACTACTGCATCTAGTCGGGCACGGACAGGATCATCCAGGGAATATAGCAGCATAAAATACGAAACTCGAGATCCAGCTTTTATAGAATTCATACGAAGCAAGCGGTCAAACGATGCCAAATGACCTCTGATGGTAGTACAACATGGGCCACTACCCTTATATCGATGGTTTCCCACAAACACCGGGAAACGAGCAACAGCTAGCTCTGCTCTTGCTTCCTTGCGAGCCAACGCATCAGCAGAGGACCCATATGACCCATTCTTGATAGTGATCGGAGATAGGCCTTGTACAGTGGTCGCAAGCGTCCCAACCTGAGACACCAAGGTAGAAATAACCTGAGCCATACCAATATCAGTCGCAAAGCTACTGTTCACTGGCTCTAAACGAGAGTTTCTCGAAGAATGAGGAACTCGAGGAGCAACACGAGGTGGCAAACGCTGATTATTCCGCCCATTCACCGGTCTACCTCGGCCAGATGAGTCACCCCTTGAAGGATCGTCAGTGGTGTGGGGAGGATCAGGAAGATTATGAGCATGAGAAACATAATCCTGGTTAGAAGCACTAACACGTTCACCAGCTTCAGTCAAACCAGAATTCACCACAGTAGCTACACCTAGCTGGTCATCACCAACACCAGCAACATCAGTTTCATCACCAATCGAAACAAAATCATGACTCTGAGCGATCATACGCTCAGTAACCTCATTACGGCGAAGTCTACGCTGAGCACGCTCAGATTCCATCATAGTATCAGATAAGGCGTCGGTCTCGAAATTCATTCTCGGATGATTGTTGGAGATAGAGAGAGGTTTCCAAGTGATAACCCAACTCCAAGGTAGCTTAGTAGTAGAAGCAGATAATCAAGTAGAGATCCTTGGATCCGAACAAGACAAGAACTTATACTTATCTATAATCAAACCTATGCTACAAGCTAGCACTCGAAGCTACATAGCTCAGTTATAGCCTAAGGATACTCATCACACAATATTAGGAATCATCCTCTTCTTCGCTCGTGGTATTGTGCGCATCGCTCCGTCCGATGGCAACACCAAGGAGAAGGGCGTCACGCCATTGATCATTGCATCTTTTCCCCTTATGTCTCTACTACTCTGCCTGTTGATTATGGCATCTATTAGCGGTAATGACTTGAGTATTGAGGAAGTGGGGAGTGATGTATCACGTATCTCTAGCGGAACAAGAGGTTCCGGAGTTACAACGGGCTCCCCTTCCCACAAAGTCCAACGACTATATCTCGACGGGAACCCAACTCGTTCTTATTATGATAACTAGTGATAGTGAGGGCCTCCCAAGTCGGATCGAATCCCATGGAGCATGATCATCAGTTTTACTCGCGAGATCGGTTCTATACTACCAGACGAAATAGAAAATGACCGCTGCCAGGGATAGATCCGGGGACCTGTGCGAAATCTCGAAATGGCGCGCGCTAAAACAAATGGATAGCTTAGAGACATATAACCACCCGAAGAACTCAATGGATCTTTGCAGTTGAACATAAGCTTTATATCTCAATAAAATGGTTCGTATGGCAGCTGATGTGTCGCAGGACTGGAACCCTGTGGTTCTCAACAAGGGTCGGCCGAAGAACCCAGCGAGCAGGACTGCAGTAAACGACGCCAGGAGGTGATGACCAACTTAGATCCCATGCTGCTCTCTATTTACCCTTGGTCGGTTCACGACTGGTCAAGACGTTGAAGTGACCGCTAAGTGGCGTGGTGGACAGAACATGAGTACCAAGGAGGGACTTCCCGCCAATGCTGCCAAGCTCGATCAGGACAACGCTGTAGGATAGTGACACGAAGACTGAGGTGTCTCATTGTCTTGTGATTATAGGTGTACAAGCATCCTCATATCAGCACTGAGTTCCGACACGCCCTTCAGCAGGCCAGGTTGGCTAAGAAGATGAGTCAAGCTGATCTTGCTAAGGCAATCAACGAGAAGCCCACCGTCATTAATGAGTACGGGTCCCAACTTGCAACCATATTCATCTATTATGCTCAGGTATGAGTCTGGCAAGGCTATCCCTAACGGAGCCATCATCAGCAAGCTCAACAGGATTCTTGGTACTCGACTGCCCAAGGCCAAGGCCGGCAACTAAATGAGCCTCCACTGCATGGAATGTTAAGAGGAGCTCGATAGTTTAGGCCCCGTAACTATACAGTTGCTATCATTATTGATGGGGAATGAGTTGACATTTACCTCTCAAGACACTTTCCCTGCTCCTCTCGTTATTTTGATATTGTGTTAACGCACAGTGGTGTCAGTGATGGTGACACTCATCGGTGAATAATTGCATGAGGCTCTATGGCGAGTAAGAAACCCGTAGGGCCTTACCTACCTGTTTTCCTCGAACCCCCACGATGTGCTGATGGAGTGGTATCGGATCCTCCGAGGCCAGAGGGAGTCACTGTTCGGGAACTACTAGTCATACATCATACGGCAAGGTGAACCGGAACTGATATCACCGGTATCAGTTGACACAGATAATATGGCAACAGTAGGTTCATGAGAATTCACGGAGAACAGACCGAGATTGCATGCCGACTGAACCCAGCAATGGAGGCCTATGTTCCTTTCTTGTCACCTGAGCATCCTTACTATGCTTATTATGCGTACTACTACTACGAATAGAGTGTCACTGATGGATGTCGCATGCAGGTATGTGAAGAAGCATAATTTGACGCTCAGCAAAGTTCTCGATGCCACACCTGCGTATCAGTCGCTGTTGCCTCCTGGATGGAAAGAGAAAGACCAGCAATTGTAAGTGCAGTACACACCATCTAGAGACTGTAAATACGACAGAACGACTTCAAGGCTAAAATTTTCAATATAAGACTCAAATTGCATGGAGCCGGTGCGTAATCGATGCTGTGAGGAATTCACGCTCATCGTTATCGATTCGCTGCCAAATCTGGATCGGCCACTGGAAACATGCATTAATAGTAAGATGTCGATATATACTGCCACGATAGACTCAGCTCCACTACGGAGATTGTTTATAGCAAAGCTTAGCAATCGAAGTAGAACTTCGCAAGTGTGGCCTCTTCTTCAGGGAAGACTACCTTTCCGCAGCCCAAGATGGATCACATTTCGACCAGTCGTCGAGGAGGTAATACTCCCCGATGCCGTGGTGCTCATTTCGATGGTCTATCCTCAGATCAGAGCAAAGCCCGTCGGAATCAGGGTCGGCCAGTTTGAGCCTCACATCAAGAAGCGCTGCATTCAAAGACCCGTTGGGATTGGAACCACCGAGGGACCCCACGGTGAGTATGACTTCCACTGCTCAAGAGGCCGAAGATGGAGATGAGAGTGCCGACGATGGGTTGATATGCTGATTGCTATTCCCCCTCACTGTGTGTTGATCGAAAGTTTCCGTTCATCTGGCCAGTGTTAAGTCACTTGAAGTCGACCAACTCCAAGTTGGAATCTCCAACAGAAGTACATTTCGGGTCATGACACATTGGAAGTCCAGCCTCATAATGTGGAACACTAGCAAATTTCACTTTGTACTGGACACGTATATCACGCATGCATTAGATAGCATCGAGTACATGAGATTCTTATAACAAACTTCCATAAGGATGTACCAGGAAACCTGTTCTTCTTCGGAATACTTTTCGCACGAGTCGCTCACCATTCAGAAGTTTGTGCATAATGGGCTTTCATACATTTCTACCAATTCAAGTCACCTTCGATGAGTTTCGATCCAATAATCGTAAAAATCGTCTATAACAACAGACCGCAAAATTATCTGGTTATTACACATAACTCGAATATTGACCAACTGATACGCGAACATGTTTTGTCTTCCTAAACACGATTGTGCCAGTTTGTCGGCCCCCATAGTCGTGAACGATTTCCCTGGTGATCGTTGAGTTCGAGGTCCCTATGAATACTGGTGAATTCTTTATCGTTGTTATCACCAACCTCGATGGCTGTACGACTTCGTGTATCCAGTTCGAATAGAATGTTCTTCGAAGAAGTACATTCCCACTGGTACTCGATCGTCAATACGTATGTGGATGTATTTGGCATGCGTTAGTACACCGAGTTTCCATCAGAAATCCGCATGAGATCGAGTTGGAACCTTTCGAAGCAAAGCGAGCAAGGAGCAAAGCAGTGTGGAGCACCAGATTCCCAACGAGATCACTTTCGTTTTGTATGAATTCGAAGTTTCTTTCTCAAAGTTCTTCGCAACTACTGACATGAACCAAACTCCGCCTCGGGTCATGAAACATCAACATAATCAGAAACGTCAATTAGCAAGTCTACGAGGAAAAGGTCGGCCACCACAGCCTCGCTCACGACTGGCAGGCCCATCTGCAGCTCCAATACCGTCCCAACTTCAGAGTGGATCCTACCATTACCCGATCGAGGCGTACCAGCCTCCGCTTTGATCAGGTCTCGTAGCGTTGCCAAGGGCAGCGCGTCGAGGTTCCTAACCCCAGAACCGAGGAGGGCCCCGAGTACTTGCCTACAGCCGACCTCATCGAGATGCACCAATGCCCCCATGAATACTCTCGGGAGCACGCCGGTCGCCATTGAGACGGCATGAGCCGCGATGGCAAGTTTCTCACCACCCGCTGCAATAGAGCTATGATCCATCGCGGAATTAATACGCGACTTCAGCAATCCTCTCCAAAGCGGCATAGCTCGGTGAACCAAGTCTAGCCGTAGAAGGGCATTGAGACACGGGTCTATTTGCTGTACTGAATCTCCCAACCAATCCACCCTTTCCCAATAGGCCTTGCCCAAGAGGTCTAGTAGCGCCTTCTGGGGAGTAAAGTCAAGCAATGCTAGCGCGGTGAGTACAACAGCCAACGGCCTCGTGTCACCGCTGACAGGTGCCATTTTCGACGCTATTAACGGTACCACTCCGCTGGCAAATTCCACTGCCTTGCTATGGTTGCATCTAGCCAAACCAAGGAGGAACATCGCCAACTGACCACTCGTGAGATCTTTTCCCATAAGGCTCGGCTCGCTCTGTAACAACTCCACCAAGTTCGCCAGGAATTCCTCCGCCACGACCCTCTGCCGCTCGGTGGGCTGGCCCCCAGTCAAGTACGTGGCGATGTCGGGCGACAGCATTGCAATGAGCTGGCTATGCTTCACGAGAGCTCCCATTCTACCAGATAAGGACCCAACCACCACTGTTTCAAGGAAGGCCCAGTCATAGTAACCAACCTTGGCCATAGCATGCAGACTATAAACAGCGTCCTTAGCTGACTTACTTCGACATTCAGCCAAACGCCTGGAGCCAACTTCAAACACGTTACGCACGAGTGAGAGAGGCACCTCGAGATCGGCCAGTGCCCCCCAGACCAGACAGATAGCCTGACCGTCAAACTCGCTTATTCGAGAGGAAGCCGTCTCTGCCAAGCGAGATATGAGCTCCTTTGAGGGGCGACCACCGACCCGGACGATACCATGACAGAAAAGGGACATGTCTTGCGGGCTCCACCTGGCAATATCAGTAGACTCCTTCTCGCACCAAACGAGTATAGCTCGTATAAAACCGGCATCTATATAATTCAATTTCGCCATGGCGTTAAGTGACTGTGTCGCAACTCGACCTAGACTATTACCACCGCCATGGTTCTCTCTCAAGAGCTCCGTCACTCTCTTACTGAGCCGCTGCAGGGCGGGCTCATCCTTAATTTTCAGCCGCGCGAAGGCATTCAATACGATTGCACAGTCGACTCCAGTGAACTCAGCAGCCTTGAGGACAATATTAGGCACCAAGAAACGTATAAGAGATTCCCCTTCTCTAACGCCGGCCTTGGCATACGCATTACAAAGCATAGCAATTCCCTGAGGTGTGAAGTCTTCCGAGACTTCAACGCTCCTCCGGGCAAGTTTGGCCATAAGTCGACGAGTTTCCACGCTGCTTCCAGCCTTGGCTAGAGCCCCAGCAGCCATAGCACAGTCCTGAGCGTTCCCATATGACACCGATCTCGAGTCCAGATTGACGCCAACCAATTTCCCTATCCCATTGCTATCGCCATTCCTGAAGCGAAGCTACATACGAGGCGCTCGCTACCATGGCATGAGCCTATTACTTGGCGACCGCGTGGAGACACCTTGACAAATCTTTGAGGTCTATTGCTGAACTGCCCTTCGCAGTGCTCCCTGTCATCATCTTCATCGCTACAGCCGATAGAACCTCTTTCCTCATAGAATGATCGATAGAAGGCAAACTCGAGAGAAGGCTAGCTGCGAGGCCTAGATGCGTTGGGGTCTGAACAAACAAGCAATTGCTAGCCTCTCTCTCAGACTGCAACTAATACTAACGATTCATCCAGGAAGGAACTCATTTCCAACTTTCCACATGCGAAAAATCATATTCTGCCAACAGTTTCCTTTCGAATTTGCATTTAGGAACATTTTCATCTGGTGAACATTTTTTGTCTCAGCTGAATGAGCCCCTTGAGTTAATACCATCTCATTTAGTCGTCCTCGAAGCTCGATCGTGGCCGCCTCCCAAAATCCCTCCTTTCCTTGACATCCCCCAGCAGCAGAACCTAGCCTGTTGAGGCCGTATACCAAGTCATCTGTTCGGAGACGTCTGAGATGGTCAACAATTGCATCAATGTTCGCAGCCCTACGGCCCATCCTGCGATAGACAGACTCCAGTGCGGTAATGCTACTCGTGCGGCTCGCCATTCAAAAGGCTACAATGCAACTATCAAATACATGGAGCCACCGTAAAGACCCAACACAGTATATCAGTGACAGAAAGTAGTCGCAAATTACTGCATGCCCGACGGTTCCAGTATCACTGGACAATTGTTTTGAACATTCACAGGCAAAGTAGATCGCAATGTGGCGATAGTTGAGGCGAGCGAACGAGCTCCCCCTGGCAGCGCGGTTTTCATCGAGTGCTTGTGGCTTCCTTTGCTTCTCAGAGACAGTAACCGACGTATATCCCCTTCCACCTCGGCAATCTTCTCTCGTGAGCCCTCGAGCTCCTTGTGTAACTTCGATATCTCATATGAAGGAAACCATGTGGAATGTTTGGGTACATCGCAGCTCACCTCCGCCTCCGCCTCGCCTAGCCGTGCCCGATACTTCGCAATCTCAAGATCTCGATTTCTGAGGTCCACAGGATGAGGAAACATCTGCGAGTGATTCCCTCCATACTTAAGACTTTCGGCGATGTATTGTTGAGGTCTAGAAGCTTCCCCTAGCCTTTTCGTGGACACTTCCAGTTCTTCTCGAAGAGCATCAGCCTCCCTAGTCCTGAGGCAATAATAAAAAATACTAGGATTTCACCCATAGTATGAAAAACACTAGTGCGAAAAACATATTTCACGACTACTGCATACCGCGAATATCGCCTTTTTCGCAGAGTACTACGCCACTTCACGTAAAACGGGTGAAACTCCATCTATATATTTAGTCATACTATTTATTGGAGTTTCACCCGTTTTACGTCAAGTGGCGTAATACTCAGTGAAAAGCGCGATATTCGTGGTATGCAATAATTGTCAAATATAATTTTCATTTGTGTTTTCCTCATCACTAGGATAAAACTCCTTTGATGACAAAATGTAAAATTTGCCATACGAATACACAGGAACGAAATATGTCGTAAACTATCGCACAATAAGGGCACGACAGGGTCATCATCACTAGCGTCATTACGCCGTTTCGTATTTCTGTTTGTAACTGGTTAGCTGAGCCGTGAGGTCCTGCAAGCGCCTCGTGAGGAGGAGGTTCTCCTTGACCCTCCTGCGAGAAGTCACTGGGATCGACCCCAACACCTCCGAAATCACTGCGTCGTTTCCACCCGTGTCACCACCCGGTGTGCCTGCCAATCTCCCCCTAACCAAAACTGACAACAACCATGCCACTTTCACATGTCGATTCCAGAGAGATAGCTGCTTGAACTGCTATAGTCATATCTTCCTCCATTTTTTCATACGAGCTCAGCCTTTCCCGCAACACCGCGATCTCGCCTCGCACTGAGCTCAGCTCCCTTACTTTGGACGTTCGCTCCTCGTCCAGTTCAGTCCGCAACAACTGACAACAGTTTATATGCTACCGCTGGGGAAGTTTTCCACTTACTTCAACTTTGCTCCTCAGAACTTTACACTCTTGTTGCATCTCCTCCACAACAGCCGCTCGGTCCTCGGCAAGATTGGTCGCGCGTTCCGTCTCAAACCTCTGCCAGTGAGGGGATATTAATCTTGTCCCATGTCCATCCACTCACTTGTAACTGCAGCATGCCTTGAGCCTCAACGAGCTCACGCTGGAGAGCCGCAGTAGAGCGAGCGTGAGCAACCTGCAAACTCCTCCTCTATACGTCATAAAGAAACTGTCTACCTTCAACTCATCACAAGTTGCCTCCAACTCCTCAGCTCTCCGCGAGGCTTGCAATCGAGCTGATTCAGCCATGCCCAGCTGAGCCTACCCAGTTCACACCGATTCACACATACAACGCCGCGATGCACCCTACCCTGAGCCCCTCGATCTCCCTAGAGTGGAGTTCCACAAGCCGCTGTTTGACCGCTATAACCTGCACTACAACTGGAGGACCAGTTTGATCTGTCACTCCCTAACCCCGTGTGGGAATATATGATTGGTTTCCTCAACTGAGCTCGTGTAAGTTTCCTCGCTACATTATGGAAATCCACGCAGGACTTTGGGTAAAAGTCTACGAAAACCAACGATGATTTCCCAAAATTTGCCAACACATGTAGTTGACCATGTGCATATATTCCCCCACACTGATCTGACTGACCTCCCTCTCCTGCTTCTCAGTCAGCCGCGCAATCTCGGCATCCACCCTCCTCTGAGCCTCAGCAACCGTCGTAGCACTGTCCCTAGTAGCAACGACTCGTCCATAGTGCCTTTTAGAGCCCACCTCTCGTTCGCAGCAGCCAGCTCCCTTTTTCTGGCTTTCACCACGCTCAACTTCGCCTCCGCAGCCTCCAAGTCCCTGGCACATATCCCTTACAAAGCTGCTATTCCGAATTTCACTGCGACCTGTCTTTCCTCTCACACTCCATCTCCAAGTGCTTCATCTGCCTTTCTATTGCATCTCGATCCCGACGAGCCAGGTCTCGCTCACTCTACAGTGCGAAGCAAACAGTTATGCATATCTAGATTTTAAAGATGGCTTTCTCATGCGAGAGTACGAATAAAGACTACGGAACGCTTCTGAAGTGATTTTAATCGATTCACGTTGTTATCATGTTGACATTACTCAAAGTAGATTTTCGAAGGTGTTGAAAATATCACTTCGCAAAAGGGTTTGGTTCACACCAACAACCACATGCCCACAGCAATCCCTCCACTCACTTGAGCCTGGGCTAATGTCTCAGCCTGTGAGCTCATCTCCGCAGCGAGCTTATGCAGACTGGCCGCCGAAGCTGAGGAGACCTCTCGAGCTTCCTACAACACCACCATCACAATTCCCTCCATCGTTGTCCATACCGCACCTCGAGTTCTTTTCGAAGCCTCTTTACTTCGTCTTCAACTGCCTTGTACCGCATACCGTAACCCTCCAGCTCAGCACACTTCTCTTCAGAGGCTCTCAACGACTCCGCCAAAGATTGGACCCGGGCCTGCAGGGAGGTTTGCGACATTTCTGAAAACAGTTCGAATACCGTTCGCCTCAGTCACTCCGGTTTACCATAATCTAATTTCAATTCTCCTAGTTGCCGCTGAGCTTCGGTTTCCATTCGCCCTGCTCTTTCCCTAGCAGCCCGTTCCTTCCCGAGCTCCTCCACCAACGAGTCGCGCTCATTCTCAAGACGCTTCACCTGCGTAGGAGCTGGAGACCGAAAGCGTCACGCGCCACGAAATTATCACCTCCGTAGCCTTGAGAGAGAGACCACGTTGCAAGTCCTGTATGGCCGCATCCCGCAAGCTGAGCTCAGCCCTACAGCAATCTTCTACACTAACACTATACGTAGCTCCTCACCTGACCACCTCTTCAGAGTAGCCACGAAACGTAGAGGAAGGCCTGGCAGCTGTCACTGCCTGGTTCGATGATGCCAAGACCGCGTCAATATTCACACTCGAAACATCCACGGACGATTCTTCCAGCGAGCTGGTGTTGGCGCTGGGATAGTCGCTACTGGTTGGAGGCCCCAATGACATGGTCATCGTAGAGTCTCTCTCATCTGCATCAAGTTGCTCCTACACATTCACGGCAGCTCACCTGCTCACCACTCTCCTCCATGACCTGCCCTCCATCGCTACTAGCAGCAGAGGAGGCCGTAGATGGACTGCCGTAAACCATTGAAAAATCCTCGCACTGCGCAGACACAAGCACCCGCGAACAAGACACCATCAGCTGATCTAGAAATAACACTGAGTTCATGCGCCCACATACTAGACATCTGTCTCCTCCGACTCTGGCGTGACCTTGCCTTGCAGCTCGTGATCATTCGGATCTTCCTCTTCGATGTTGATCTCTGGTATCACCTGCCCTTCACTCCAGATAGTAGCCGGATCACAGGCCTGCACGAGCACTACCACATATGTCGGTGACAATAAAAAAATTCTGAGGGGATTTTAGGAAATTTTTCATTGGTGTTTATACACTTCTACTTCATGTCGTCTATAAACTCCTATAATTAGTGAGAAAACTCCCGAGCTCAGCTGAGGAGAGCGAACATATATTCCAATACAGCAGTTCACTCCAGGGCATCGGCAAGATCTGCGTGCTACGGCCTACATCCTCCGGAACCTCCATGGCCTTGCGTATGTTGTGTATCAGAGCATCATGTTCTGTGTCCAACAGACACTGACACAGTTTCTCCCCAAAGTACCGATCTCTCATCACGTACCACACATTCCCTGCCGTCTTGGAAGACCCTACCACAACAACCACTTCAATGCAGAGCCACGCAGCTTAGCAGAATTCACTCACTCTCAGGTGATGAGTAGGGTTTACTCGTACGATAGTCGTCGATCCCAGGTACTCCCACAGCTGATGCCGCCTCTGGCTCTCCCAATGCTGACTCGTCCGCTTCGCGATCCTACTACCATTCTACATACTGCCAACAGCAGCAGCAACATGGTCAACTACATGTGCGGTGACAATATGATACTTAAGAGGAAATTCTTGAGAAATTCTCATTGGTTTTGTACATTTCTACCCGAACTCGTATATGAACTCCCGAGCTCAGTTGAGATCAGCGAACAAATATTCTAGCACACCTCATCACCTCGGAGCCCCACTCGCTGTACTGAGGCCCAACAAGTTTCCAGGCGGCCCGAGCCTTCTCAATCAATACGTACATCCTCACCAGCTTCTCATAAGCATTCACCACGTGCTTCCGAGACTCTACAGAAACACTGCGAGAGACGCGATGGACTGCGCCCACGTACCAGAGGGATTGATCTCGTCCAGTTTCAACACTCCCTTGTCGCCTATGATACGGCGCACCTCCTTCTTATTTGTCAGCCACATTCTAATAAAACCACACAAATTCAAACTCATTCTCATACCACTCCTCCGTCACTTCTCAATCAGATTACTACTAGACTCCTCAATCCTATCAGCAAAGGCAAGCAGTGAGTCCCTGATCATGCCAGTTGCCCTCAAAGCATTGATCGCCCCATCGATCCTTGATACCAGCACTTGATATTTCACCAGCAAAACCTGACACTTCCTGACCGTTGCTCAAGGCAGGTGCTCAGCCTACGTCCTGCTGTTCCTCCATATTCTCCTTGGGGTGCTCTTCACTCTTCTTAAGAGCATCTACTGTCATTGGCACGGACCCTTCCATCGTCAGCCGAACGTCTAGGAGCTCCGCCTTGCCCTGGAGAGCAGATTGTTACTCTACCGTACTGCTGAGACCCACATCGCCTGCTTCCCCTTCTCCTATTCCCTGGTCTAGTCCTTCTACATCATAATGAGCATGGTTACCCTAAGAAGGACACGTCGTCCACTACCGCCAGATCTCAGCTCCAACGAATCAACAATGAGGTTAATGATTTTGAGATTAGCGACTTAGGGCGCAGCCTCTATACCTCTTCTCCCTGACCATCCACGCTCTCCCCCTGCTGCTGATTCGTCGTCCCCTCTCCATCATCACCAGCATGACCATGGTCTCCCTCCTCTTCATCATCATCACCATCACCGGCGCCATGTTCCTCCTCCTCCTCATCATCTCCCGCGAACTCCATATCCTCCTCACCGCCGTCCTCCTCCATCTCCTCCTCATCGTCACCTCCACCCGGGCCTGCCTGTAGGAGGCTACCAGAGGCCTTGGTCGGCCGTTTCGGTGTCTTCGTCGTCTGTGCGCCATGAACAGACACCTCAACCCGCCTCTCCACAAAGCTCGAAGAGCCTTCCTTCTTGCCTAACAGTAACCTACGAAGTGCCCATCTCCCACCAGAGCGGTCCCCACCCTCTTGGTCTTCATCAAAAAGCTCCTTAACGCCATCCAAATAGTCGTATTCACCGCTGCCTTGCTGATCTATGGACAGTGGCTCCGTTGAGATCCATAACGGTAACCCATCCCCACCTCCAATATCCTCGTGCTCGTGTACATGATGGTCATCATTGCCACCACTTCCATGCCCACCATCTCCAGCCTTGTGGGCAGCATCAGACCCGGGTGCAACACTACTGTGGTGGTGGTCGTCCTCGTGTCTGTCCCTCCCATCTGCACCACCCTCCTCGTGGTCATCGTCATCCATGGTGTCGTGCTCCTCTTCCTCCTCCTCTTCTCCTCCTCCATGGTGTTCCCCAATCTCATGCTCTCCACGGCCCTTCTGCTCAGCACGGCTACGCTCCTCCTCGTCGTCAACAGAGACCTTCGTGCCACCCTTCTTCGATAATTCCGCGTCGGCTTCCGCCTGAAACCAACTGCCACTCGCAGCCACCCCACCGGCTCCCCTCCACCATCAGCTGACCTACCACTGCAGCCTCCGAGTTGACCATGTCCTTCGAGACCTCCTGGACGAGCTTCTCCAAATCAAGACCTTTCTTCACCTCAATGAAGGATGTTTCCTCCCCTTCCTCCTCATGCTTCGCGGAGCTGCCACCTCCCACACCCCTATCCTGCTTTCCTCCTCCACCTCCTATCAGCTTCCCCTGAGTGCCATACTTTCTCGAGAACATCTGCAGCGGCTCCAACCGCTTCTTCTTCTCCGCATAGTACTCCTAAGCATCACACCGTCCCCGCCAACCATGACATTGACTCACATCCTGATCATTGGTTCCCAACACTGAATGGTACTTCCCCAGGAGAGCTCTAATGCGGCCCTCTTCCTGCTGGTCATCCTAAACAAGAGCTCAGTCCCACTCACAGCAGGCCAGACCAGGATCACCCTTTTCCCCTTTGGCCAGGGCATGGTGTAGACCCCTTTTCCCACGTAGGTGTCCAAGCGAATCTTCGCCGCTGTTTCCTTCAACAGCACTGACATCATTCGATTCCTCCACAGCAGACCAGCAACCAAGCCCCACCATGCAACTTGGCCAACAGGTCCATGAAGGCGTGCAGGTCGTTAGCCCTAGAGGCGAAGCCGTGCGTGCCAACTGACCACTGAATGTCAGCCAGATGGTCGGGATCCTCGACCCGTCTGAGGCACAGCAAGTCTAGAGTAATACCCGTTGTTCTCTCGAGCAGTACTACTTATCACTAGTAGGGACATAGGACCGCATCTGTCCGATCAACTCCCCTGCCATCTCAGTGAAGAACTCCTTCTTACTAAAGTAAAAGGGGCGCTCGAGGGTGATCTCACTAGAGTGACTCACGAATCAGGTTTGACATCTGTCATCAACGGGCTTGCCCTAAAAAACTCAGACCGTCCCCGCCCCTCTAAACTCGAGCCTCTACTACTTGATATTGGCCAGGTGTGTCTTAACCTTCTCGCTGTTCTCTCGAAGGATATCTCTGGCCTCCCCCTCCGTTGTGGCATCACCTATAACCGCCATACCATAACTCCGCCAACTCTGCCCTACTCAGCTTGTCCCACTTGTCCGATACATCCTTAACGATGTTCACACTCTCCACCTTCAGCTTCTCGCCCCTATCACTTTGAGCCAGCTGAGACCACCGAATCACCACATCGCCCCTACAACACCACCTCCCTACAGCCTCCGTCTTGTAGTTCTTTGCAGTCTTATCTAGCAGCTCCAACTCCGCAGTAAAGACCTCCATCAGAGCCTTCAGGTCTTCTATCATGCTATCTGCTATAAAGCATCCCTACCAAAAATCCACAGGGGCCCACCTCCGACCGTCCTCTCCAACAACGATGCGAACTGTTCTCCCAGTATCGCATTCTGTTGACGAAGATTCCCAAAGATGTCCTGTCCGGCCATGTCTAGGAACTCCTTCAGCCGATCGAATGCCCGGCGTATTTTAACCTCGGGGTGGTAAGCTGAGAAAACGACGACACCTGGCACTGCAACCGAAACGTGTACGAATACTCCCAAAACTGATCAATTCTGAAGGCTCGCCTACGCTTTAACGGTCCGTGATTATGTTCTTCGTAATGAGAGTCATCAAACCACTTGAGGAAGTGCGAGTCAGCAGCTCGCTCCTCAGTGAGATGCTTCTGTACTGCCTCAGCATCTCGATCTTCCTCCTCAATAGCCTGCCCACTCGACCAGGCATGCACGCATGCACAAAGATTCCTCCCACTCACCTCGATGAATGATGACCCCATGAGAGCCGAGACCACCTCCGGATCGAACATTCTTACTTGTTCCTCAAGGAGGGACATCTGCTCCACTATAATGCTCGCCGCCCCCCTCCCATACCACTACCTTCGAAATTACCGTCTCCGCACTCTCTCCGTCGCAACCGCACCATGCAGCGACCATCCACCACGCCTTAGGAGCTCTCATGGACACCAACAACTCTGAGGACTGTGCCCATTGACAACCCAACACGACTAAGGTGAAATCGTAAAGTAGCTTATTTCTTGAAGCCAGTAAGTTCATTGAAGTAGTCCTGAGCCGCGCCCTGCTTCTGAGCAGCCTTATGAGCGGCATCAATAGCCGCCGCCCTCTTGTTCTGATTCTCTGCTGTTCGATTCGGATCAGCCAGCTCGATACCCTAAACCCTCTGAGCGTACCAGCAACATACCATACCCCACACAACTACCTCAAACTGCGTGAAAGCCAGGCTACTAGAAAGGCCGCTATTGCCACTGCTAGCAGCAAGTCGCTGCCTTCTAGTTGCACTCAGCTTCTGATTGTGCAACATGCTCTCCATCAACTGTCTCCGCTTCTTATCCTGCTTCGCCGCACTCTAACAACAAACACTACCATCCTCCCCTCTGCCGTTACCAGCCATCCCACCTGCCCAACACGGCCGATACCCTCAAGGCCTTGGCCAGCACCTTGAGCCGCTGCCGACAGCATGCCCAACCCTCGCCCGAACGCTTCGTTCATGTTCAACTCTTCTTCAGCTTCCTCTCCAAACTGAACCACAAATCATCGACAAATCCTTCCTTGGCCGACCCAAGGGAGATAGAGAAAATCCAGAGGGGCCATAACTGTTGTTTGTTGCGCTTTTGAGTTTTCCACACGAGCAAGCTGGTGGCATTGAAACTCAATATAGTACTCACAGAGGATACTCATAAAAAAGGTTTGCCTCCGTGTACCCAGGGCCTCACCTTCATCCTATTAACCTGCTTCCTAGCCTCACTCATACCATACTTCTCCTTGATCGCCCTATGCCTCTTCCCTCCCCTCCTGGGGCCTGGCAGCTCATCCGGGCGCGGCAATGGCTTCTTCTCTCGCGCCTTAGGCGGCGCCTGTGCTTTTCCCTGAACACCAACAATGAGCCCACGAGCCAATTCCCAAGTGCTCTACCAAGGAGGCCAGAACATCTTCGCGCAGCTTAACGCCAATCTTGCCCAGTCGAGCTGATTCGTCCGCACTACCCGCATTGATATGAAGGGAATTGTCCACCCTGAGAGAAAAATATGCACTTACTCGACTACATGTGTTGATAACAATATGAAAATTCTGAGGAAATTTTGGGAAATTCACAAAGGTTTCTGGGCACTTCTACCCTAATTCGTATGTGAACTTTCATAATAAATGAATGAGCTCTTCAACTCAGCCGAAGAAAGCAAACGTATATTCCAACACTGAGCAACATCAGCTCATTCAGCCAACTCATATACTAAAACTTCCCTACCTCGCACAAATAGCCGACTTGCCCAACAACAGCCTCACAGCCTTCCGCTTGAAGTCAGGCGGGGTCATAACAACGATATCACTTTGCCAGATCAGGCCTTGCTTCACCGACGCGGCAGTCGATGCCCCCATACCTTGATGAAACTCAATCAACCATAAACGCCATTCGTGTAAGCAAAGACTATCTGCCACTGTGTGAAAATATGCACATGGTCAACTACATGTTCTGAGGAAATTTCTGTACGCTTCTAATCAAATTCGTATATAAATTTCTACAGCACGTAAGGAAACTCCTGAGGCCAGCTGAGGAAGCGAACATATATTCCAACACTGCGATCAGCTCCCGCCGGCCGCCCTACCACTCAACTGCTTCTTCTGCGCTCCAACATGCTCGATGTTCTGACTAGGCATGATAGCCAGTTTGTCCACACCGCCAGCGCTTGAGATCAACCTGGCGGCCAAAGGAGCCCCCAAAAGAGAATTCAGGTTGGGGGCATGCTTAGCCATCTGTCCCTGCAATGACGAATAAGACTCCTCCCCTCCGCGTGCCCAACAATAACGTCCTCACCTGTAGGAAAATCATAATGTCGTTCTTGCAGTCAGCCAAGTCGTTAGCAGCAGTGATGTTGGCTAACAACTCGTCGTTCTCTCGAGCAGGCAGCCTAACTCCACTGCCAGCGCTGGAGGTGGCTGTAACGGTGACAGCCACAATAACGTTGTTCGGTAGCAGGTCGGAGAGGTCCACTTTGGACATATCTAGTGTAGCGTTCGGACCTGGGATGAAGGCCCTACTTCCCCTCCACAAGGCGCCTAGTCCCTCACCTGAAGCGTTACCGAACACACCAGCCTCCTCCTTTTCGATGAGCCTTTGAACGACTCTGAGGTAATCCAACGGCATCGACACGATACTCTCCAACTCGGGAAACTTCTTAGAGTACACCTGATGATGAAACCCATCACAACTTCACCAAAACACACCCTACTGCCACCGCGGGCTAATACGACCATTGCGATGACAGAAATGAACGACTTAGGAATATACGAAATGCAAACAATCAACCATAAAGCACTTCTAAGATTCTCAATTGAGGCGGGACAGACCTGTGGTTTAACGTCTTCACTACCTTCTTAACATAACGATGGATATGGTAGATATCCTCATCAATAGTAACAGCAACTGTGTTGCACTTTGACAACAGCTCATACTCGGCCTTCTTTGTCCCCGTACCAGCCGTAGTAGACGGAGTCATCTAGATAATATTCCACAGCGATTCGATAATCATATCGCTACCTCAGAACTAGCCGTAGTGCTGTCCTTCATTTCCTCATCCTCCTCCCCGTTCTCCATCGCACTCGAGGCGTCCCTTATCCGCTGCATAGTCGACAGAAACTCCTCATCAGCCAGCAGTTGAGACACGCCAACTGACGTGTCTTCCAATTTCTCATCCTCTGACAACGCTCATCCTTCCAATCCTCTTGCCTGTTGCATTACCTCCCAAGGGCACCTTCTCATCCTCTCCATCTTGAAGGGCCTCAGCAACCTTACTCTTATCGTCTCCCGTGTCCTCATTAACAGGCCGAGCGTCCTAACACAAGGTTGCTCGGAGAAAATAAACATACGTAGACAACATTCTAAGAACAGACATAATATAAAATAACAAAGCGACTGCCTATCGCCACGAGCCTTCATATTAACTTTACCATGTAATTTTCATATGTCGCTCAGTTCACTTTAAAACCCTGTCGATATAAGAGGCCTCAAACAAGGCAGAAGGCGCGAGCTATGCTGATCATAACCATTCATATATACATTGTGCTGATAACAAAGGCAATGCCCAATAGGGAAGCGACAGGCTATTCTTAAAAGCGTTCTTATTGATTTCAAAACAGAGTTGGAATATACGTTCGCTCACTCGGTGATTGAAAAGTTTACATACAAATTGGAGTGGAAGCGCCCACAAGATTTCCAGAGCCTCCTCAGAATTCTAACATTATCACCAACACATGTAGTTGACCATGTGCATGTTTTCCTACTCGGTTTTAAAATGTGACTAATGGTTCATATCGAAACACTCATGCCTGCCTTACCAGAACGTCGTCCAAATCCGCCAAGAAGGAGTCGGCTAAAGACATGCTCTCGAGGTTAGTCCACTGCCACTACAACAACAAGCACTACCACCTCTAGTAAGTACTAAACCCAACAGCCATCTGGCATTCAAGAAAACTCGGTAAAACTGATCACGCTGAAGTACCGCCAGAACGGCCCTTCCCCGTAGCAAGGCCAAGACGACGCACTGTGTCCAGCGGTAAGGCCCAGACCGGGTCCACCGGCCGGAGATGGAATGAGCCGCTCGTATCGAGAAGGCTCAGGCCGGCCAGACCAAAGAAGGTATGGAAGACATCCGGCACGTCTCCAGGTCTGCATACCACTCCTCTCGCAACTTAACTCAATATCAATGATACTACTACCTGTCAGCTATACCTCCATCCTCCTCCTCTTGTGCCCGCAATATGAACCCAGTAAGAGCATCGCTATCTATCCAATGCAGTTTGCCAAGCACGGACAGAGCGGACGTTATCCACCATGAGTAACAGACATCAGGAGCCTGAGGATCGAGACGATCCCAACCACCTTCAAGTCGAACTGACAAGACCTTCTCAGGGCGACCATTGAAGCCGCCATGCTTGGGTATTTGCCTCTCGGCCAGCCAGTGTCCCAATCGCCAGTTATCTATCTCATCAGCCTCTTCCCCCAGCAACGCCAATGCGGCCACAGCACAGAAGGTGTAGGCGGCATGACTCTCAGCCCCAGGGATTGAACCAAAGGCCCCATCGTAATTCTGGCACGAGCGTAGCCATGCAACTGCTCTCTGACGATCGATGTCTTGGTCCTCAGCCTCTGAGAAATCAACGCCTACTATATCCAGAAGTGAAGGAGGAGTGGTATCTACCTTCGGGAGCTCCCACCGCATTCAGCAACGAGAGGATGGCCACAGCCGAGTAAGAAAAACGGCCATCCACCTCCCCACTGTAATCGCCCTGAAAGCCACCATCGCTGGTCTGCATGCTGATGACGAAACGCCTCGTTTCAAGGCGCTCCTCCGGGGACAGTGTGTCGAGCGCATCAAGCTCGGCCAGAACCAGTAGTGCATAGTGTGTTGAGTTTATGTGGGAATCCATACCCGGGAAAAACCTGCGGGGAACTCCTCCTCACCCTCAAGTGTCCAGTCATGGCCTCCACTACCCGTAACCACCATCCTGACCCCTGCAGGAATCGATAAAGTTAAGGACATCATCCCGTCGAGTGTAACTCTGGGCATCCAGTTTACCCAGCACGTCTAGAGCGGTGATACCCCAGTACCTTCCACACGAGACAGTGATGGGTCCACTTCACAACGAACCTACGCGCCCCCCATCCGTATAGACTCGGACAATACAAAGTCCATGGTGAGCGCCCTGATAAAGGTAATAGTTCCTCTTTAGGTCAGCCAGAAGCATTCCTACTTGTCTGGTGTATCGAGATCGTAGATGTACTTCTCGTGTTTGTCCACGAGTAGTGGAGGCTGACTACTTCCCCCTGTCATAGTGAAAACAGCAACTCCTCTGAACATGGGTCTCGCCAGTCAACTCTGATTCCTGTACACGAGTATAGACTAAACGGTTCATCCTGATAAAGCCTTAGGACAACCGCGTCCCAC